GTTGTAGCTGCTGCTGCTGCATTTAGTAGCGGAAGTGAAGAGATGAGTAGTTAGTTGAGTGCCGCCAAGTTAGTTTCTCTTTTGAAATCATTTTCATTGGCATGAAAGATCACATTATTTAAATTAAATTGCCAGTTCGTCGTTTCTTCATCTGTTGTTCAATTTATCTTTGCATCGCATTTACACACTCATATATATATATATATATATATATATATACAGTGTCTCGCAGTTCAACTGGAACAGCGCCTAGCAAAATATTTAAAGTGCTATAACTTTTAAACAAAACAATAAACGCAAAATGTTTAAATGCCAATTTGTTTTATGTTATATCACGTTTGAAAAGGAAGCTTCAGTTTTTATTAAAATATTAAATAATTAACTGAAATTAGTCAAAAACTGAAAACATATCCAAAATACATGTCAAAGTTTTTTTGGAACAGTCTTAGAAAAGTAACATATTAGGCGTATAAAAACTTAAATAAGGATGTTAATACTTAGTATGATATCCTTTACCCCTAATAAAGTCCCTTGACCTATTATTCATGGAAGATACCAGCTTCCGGGTCGTTTCTGGACTGATTTTGCTCCACTCATCCAGCAGAGCATTCTTGAGATCGGATCTGTGATTCCGGATGGTATTTTCCAGCAGAGCCCACAAATTTTAAATAACATTTAAATCTGGAGACTGGGCGTGTGGAATTATCGTGTGGCGGCAGTTCCAGATATGCCAGGACTGTACTAATCCGGACTTATGCTTGGCTTTTGTCCTGGTCGTTGTCGTGGTAGAACCGGAAAGTACGTCGGATTCCTAGCTTCTTGGCACTTTGGAGTACATTTTCCTTTAATATATTGAAATACACACTCTTGACCATTGTTGTTTCAAAAAACACCAAATTCCCGACGCCGGCTGCCGAGATACATGCCCATACCATGACACTTCCTCCGTCGTGCTTGACTGTTGCCTTTAGGATTTTGGAACTCAGCTCAGTATTGGACTGTCGCCACACATAATTTTGTCCGTCTGAGCCAAAAATGTTGAATTTGGGCTCATCTTCAAATATGAATTTGTTCCAGAACTCCAAATCCTTGTCCAAGTGGGTTTTGACGGAGGCCATCCTAGTCCCTTTATTTTTGGCGCTTATAAAGGGCTTATTCCGTGGTACTTGGGCATTAAAGTCATGGTTGCGCAGAACCCGGCGCACAGATTCCACACTGCACTTTTGCCCCATTTCGTCCTCCATCTGTGGAGTCAGTTTTTGAGCCGATAGCTTGGCATTTTCCCTTATTTTCCTGATGATCCTCCGCTCTTCCTGTTCGGTGAAAATCTTGTTTGGTGTCTTTCTGCCCTTGTCCTCAATCCGATTTTCGCCGACGAAGCGCCGAATGATATTGAATACAGTTGTGGTACTCAGATTTACCATTTTAGCTATTTGGCGATATGAATATCCAATCCTGAAGTGTTCCAGGATCAGTTTCCGTTGTTCAATGGTAGTCCGCTTGCACATAGTCCTTGTTGGCTGGTTGCACTCGAGATGCAGGATATAACTAATCTGACTACGAAGGATTGGTCTATTTATACCAAAAATAATCAACCTGACGTAAAAAATCTGGGTTTTATGGCACCCAGGTGTCCATAACGCCATTGTTCCACATAATATGTGACCACAAATTAAGGTACTTTTTTACATAACCCGACCTAGCCGGTGGGAAAACCCCAGTTTATGGGGGTCATATAGTCATTTAGGTAGTCAATATATGTACCTGCCATAGTTCTTTGGAATTTTTGAAAAATATTGAATAATTTGTTTATGGCAGGCAATTAACTTTTTTGCAAGGCGCTGTTCCAGTTGAACTGCGAGACACTGTACATATACATACACATGTATGTGTGCGTAAAATGAAAAGCATTTCCTTTTCTTCAAAACGTTTTTCACTCGACTCATTTATTGTTGTTGTTGTTGGACGAGTGAAAGGAGTATTTTCTGCCGCGCTTTTGTTGTTGTTTGTTTTGTTGGTGAAAACGCCAACAACAACAACAGCAAGAAATACACGCGAGTGAAAACTCATGCGATAATTTGTTGTAAAAAAAAATAAACAAAAAAATGAAAATTTTCACCATTTTTATTATTGGCCTGGCTTTTGTTGTCGACTTTCGTTGTTGTTGTTGCTGTTCATTTTCTATAAAACTTCATTAAAATGCTAATGAAAAGTTGCCGGAAGTTGTTGTGTGGAAAAAGCACCACGCGAGTCGCTTTCAATTATATAACATCAGCCACTTTGGCGCGGAAAATTGGTGAAAATGTGTAAAAAAAAATTCCGTTGTCCAAATTTGGCGCAATTTACCATCTCAGCAGCTGCCAGGGCAGATCCCCCCACCCCCCAGAAAATGCTGCTGCTTCCCCTTTCATCTATCAAATTTATCCATCTTTTCTTTTATCTATTTTTCTCTCTTTGCCCTAAACCGATTTATTGTGCGGATTTAAACACGTGCTGCTCTTTGTGTAATTTTAAGTCTCTTTGCTCTTTGTTGACCTCACTCTCCTGCCGCCGCTGCTGCTGCAGTTTTCTCTCTCTTCCTTTGTCTGCGCCCTCGCATTGCTCTTTGCTGCGTCCGGTGTTCTGCGCCATTCTGCGCATAAAGATCACTCAAGGTGCTTGCATTTACAGCGTGTCCGTGACGAAATACATTCGATTCAGCTGCCAATGGCGGCGGCTGTTTCTCTTGTGTTGTGTTTTGTTGTGTTCTGTTTGCACAGCGAGTAGAAGCAAAGAAGCAAATGCATGAAAAGGCTGGACCTTAAACACAAACAGCTGAAGTTTTGGTACAGTGCTCAATCGCTAAAATTGTGGACACAGCTTAAGGATTACTTGACAGGTTTAACAAGAATTAAATCTTTTTCAAATTCTTACCATTTCTGTCGTAAATGAATTTCATAATTTTTTTTTTTTCATGAATTATACACCAAATATATAATAAACTAATTTCATAATATGTCATACCCTGTTGTGGCTATTTGTTACCACTGTATAACTACTACCCACATAATATATTTTACATACATATACATGTATATGTAGCAAATGCACAGCGCAACATTAAAGGTCCAGCCTAATCGACCAGAACGCTGAGTCATTGCTCACGTTGGGAGTTCTTGATGGATGGCGACGGAACTCCATTAATCATCACGAGTTTAACTGCTGTTCACTTGGGGTGCCGAAAAATCACTTACTTACCGCGCACCTTCCCCTCTGTTCCTCTCGCTTAACCTTAGCTTTGTCTTTCGGCGCCGCCAAAGCCAAATGTTTGGAGACCTAAACAACATTTCCCAATGTCATCTCACAAACAGAAACCAAAACTTTTGGCTCTGAGCCCTTCGAAACGCAAAAAAAAGAGAGCGCGTGCAAGCACGACGAGGGCACGAGAGAGAGAGCGTAAGAGAGACGACCGCTTGTGCTTTACGGCAGGTGTTTGTCTCTCTGTCTCGCTGTCTGTCTCTGTGTTTGTGTTTGTATCGTTCTCAATGCCAAATCAATGTCATTAACATTAAAGCACACTCACTAAAATTGTATAAAGCAACTTGAAGGTACTAAACCTGACGACTCTGCGGTCGCCGTCGCCGTTTCCATTCTCCCACTCCCCCCATCCGCGCTTCGCCACGCTTGTTTGACGTCGACTTTTGTTATTGTTGTTGTTTTATTTTCGGTTGTTTTGGGTTCTGCCCGCCGCTGCTGCTGCTACTGCGGCTGCGACTGCTGCTCTTTCGGAATGCTGGTTTACGGTTTGTTCACCTTGATAAAAAAAAAGCGCTTTTAATACACACGCACGCGCTGTCACACACACACATACACTTACATTGCTGATGTGAAGGTCCTTTTTTTGTCAAGCATTTGATGGCCAGCTGAAGTGAACTGGAAAACTGGCAAGAAAAACTCTTACAGCGCCTCAGCATCTTCAGCCTTGTACAGATTTTCTCAAGTTTTTCTTTTGCTTAATTGTTGCTGTTGTTGTTATTGTTATTGTTGTCGATGTTTCCTTTTGCATCTGCGCCAGCTCAAAAACTCACATTGTTACAGTAGATCTCTCTCGCTCCCTCTCTCTTCTACTACCTCCTCCATTGTTTGTCAATTTTACACTCTTGGCTACATATTTTTGGTCTATTGTTTGCTGTCATCTGCAGGCGACGCTGCATGCCTGAGTTATCCTTGCTGTTGCTGCTGCTGCATCCTGTGACGCATCTTGGCCGGCACAGATTTCACAGATTTGTAGGCCCAAAACGATAAACGCTGATTTGAAGCGGCCTCAGTTTTCATTTGCCGTTTCAGCAGGACGGTCGTCGTGCTCGTCTTCGTGTTCGTCATCGTGTTCGTGTTCATTCTCTCTCTTCTCTGTTAGACAGTTGTGCAAATTGTACTCGCTTACGAAAGCTTCTCTTGAATCGATAGATCGATCACTCACTACACGGACGCAATAACGGTTAACGCTTGAAGCTTTCGCTCATTTTTCGTTTCGTTTTCGCACGTCTTTCGCGCGCGCCTTTTTTCGAGCGTACAAATTATGTTCTCTGCACAACATTTTGTCGCATTATTCTGTCTTGTGATTTCCGTGTGCTTGTGTCTCTGTCTGTCCTTTGTCCGCAACAGCAGCACTGCTTAAAATATCGCATTTGAGAGTAAAACACTTTTAATAATTTATTGATTTGCTGTGTGTGCCTGTGCGTGTGTGTGTGTGTGAGTGGCGTCAAGCTGGAGAACTCGCTGCTGCTAAAGCTGCTCAATCTACTGGCCAGACACTCGACTGCCGACAGCAATTTTGTCAAGATTGAGTTCGAACGCAGCATCATGGAGTTACTGCAAGAGCCAAGGTGCTCATCTTTTACATACATATATCACTTATCATATTGATATTTATATATATAAATATATATTTCTATTTTTATATTTATATTTGAATATCGTAACGTATCTAACCTCACTTTTCGGTTTTGGCTTATTTGCAGATTGCCGGTAAACGAATGTCAGGCAAGCCAAACAGCTAGAGTCACCTCGAACCTGCACGCATCCAGTAGCACAATGGCGGTTAGCCGTGTACCCTCACCGCCCCTGCCGGAAGTAAATACGCCCGTTGCCGAGAACTGGTGTTATACGCAGGTAAGATTCTTCCCCCTCCCCTCCACTACACCACGAGAAAAGGATTACATTACAATGTAAGCAAAAGAGCCACAAAAAAAAAACCTGCTGCCTGCATTCCTATGGATTTATTCACTGCTGCTCAAATTTCCATAATCCATGTGTGTGTGTGTGTGTGTGTTTGTAAAGAGAATCCATTTTTGTGGTTATGTTTGCTGAGCATTTTATTCGCCAGGCTGGCCAGGCTCAGAGGAAAAATGCATTTCCGCTGTTTATTTGTAATAAAATGAAATGAGCCCCGTTTCGCAGGTGTGCGCTCAAAATGCACAAAACTGTAACTGTAGACGGGTGATGGGCGATGGGAGATGGTAGACGACGGGAAACGCGAGACGGCAGACGGGGCAGCAGAGAGAGAGAGAGAGAGAGCGAGAGAGAGATCCGTTATGTGAACAGAATCGGGCAAAGAGCAACCAGAATTCGTCGACACTCGTTGAAAAAGATCCCAACGATTCTTGCTGATTTTAGCTCTTTTATTAAATTTCTGCTTCAATTTGAGTCATCCAAAAAAATCATTAAATATTAATAGCTCATAGAAAACTGAGTAACTCTTTTATTTCTAGCTGTTTATAAATTATATTTTCCTTATTAAATCATTTCTTTCTTAGATTTCTTTAATTTAACTAATTTATTTTAGTTATTTTCAAATTATAAATATTAAATATTATTAGCCTTCGTAGCATATAGAAACCTGAGTAACTCATTTATTTAAAGTCTCAACAAATTATATTTTCATTTCAAATAATTTGTTTTTTCTATTTGGCTTATCTTCTTGCTGATTTCAACTCACAGAAACCTGAGTAATTAATTTATTTTAGTTGTTTATAAATTATATTTTCCTTATAAAATCATTTCTTTCTTCAATTTCTTGAATTGTTAGTTATTTTCAAATTATACTTCCATTATTAAATTTCTGCTTCAATTTGAGTCATTCAAAAAAGTCGTTAATGAGGAGCCCAAATATTATTAGGCTTCGTAGCACAGGGAAACATGTGTAACTAATTTATTAGAGTTATTTATAACTTGTAGTTCCTTTATTAAACCATTTCATAAATTTCTTCTTCCATTTTCAGGTCAAAGTTGTTAAATTTAGTTATATGTGGACCATAAATAACTTTAGTTTTTGTCGGGAAGAGATGGGTGAGGTACTCAAATCGTCCACATTCTCAGCCGGTGCTAATGACAAACTAAAATGGTAAGTTTGAGCGATTGAGAAAGCAAACTAATAATAAGAGTGTTGAAATTGAAACAAATTCATTTATTTAATTGTGCAGGTGTTTACGGGTGAATCCCAAGGGTCTAGATGAGGAGAGCAAGGATTACTTATCATTATATTTACTGTTAGTTTCGTGTAACAAATCTGAAGTCAGAGCCAAGTTCAAATTCTCCATACTAAATGCAAAACGTGAGGAAACCAAAGCAATGGAATCCCAGCGGTAAGTGTAACTGAAACTACCCAAAAAAGATATATAATTATAATTGTTGTCTCTCCCACATATTTAGAGCTTACCGTTTCGTGCAGGGCAAAGATTGGGGCTTTAAGAAGTTCATACGCCGCGATTTTCTCTTGGACGAGGCCAACGGTCTCCTGCCCGAGGATAAGCTGACCATATTCTGTGAAGTCAGCGTCGTTGCGGACAGCGTGAACATCTCCGGACAATCCAATATTGTGCAGTTCAAAGTGCCCGAGTGCAAACTATCCGAGGATCTCGGCAATCTCTTTGACAACGAGAAATTCAGCGATGTAACGCTCTCGGTCGGTGGCCGTGAGTTTCAAGCGCACAAGGCCATTTTGGCAGGTAGGACACAAATTCCTTATACACACAATCGACTTAACTGTTAACCAACCACCATAAATGTTGAGTCCACTTTAAACTCGTCGTCCAAACCAAGGCCTTTTTAAGCCGAGTCTTGATTCGTTGTATATTCAACATATTTTCATTTATTTAATATCTATGAACAAATTAAAAATTAAAATTTCTTTCGGTTTTGGTTTTGGTTTAATTTCAAGACACGTTTTCATATTTAAGGCACTCAACTTTCCAGATATTTGCTACCCTGAAAACATTTAGACTTTTATAACTTTGTCAAGTGTAAAGCAAATCTCATTAATTTTTTACCAATATTTATGCATCTTAATTTATAACGATTATCGTTGAAAAATAATGATAAAGTCTCTACTAATAAATGGAAAAATTTCAATGCATAAAATCTTGCGCCTTTAAAGTTAACGAGTCTCCACAATAAATCGCAACTAAAATAATTTGCAACTTAAATTTTCGACTTTGCAGCGCGCAGTGATGTCTTTGCGGCCATGTTTGAGCACGAGATGGAGGAGCGTAAGCTGAATCGTGTCGCCATAACCGATGTGGATCACGAGGTTCTCAAAGAGATGCTCCGATTCATATATACGGGCAAGGCGTCTAACCTAGAAAAAATGGCTGATGATCTCTTAGCGGCTGCTGATAAGGCAAGTCTCTCAACTGATATCCAATGCACAATACACACTAACTAATTGCATTCTCTGTTTTGCTCTCTGTTGTACAGTACGCACTCGAAAAGCTGAAAGTGATGTGCGAAGAGGCGCTGTGCGTCAATCTCTCTGTTGAAACAGCAGCCGAAACGTTAATATTAGCTGATCTCCACAGTGCGGATCAATTGAAAGCACAAACGATAGATTTCATTAATACGTAAGTTGAACGAAATATAAATATTATTATTATTATTGTCGAGATGATAATGCTTGTTTGTCTTGTTAATAGTCATGCCACCGATGTGATGGAAACCTCTGGCTGGCAAAATATGATCACAACACATTCACATTTGATAGCGGAGGCATTTCGTGCGCTCGCAACACAACAAATCCCACCAATTGGACCACCAAGGAAACGCGTGAAAATGAGCTGAAACCATAATGCTGCAGCCAATCAACACAAAACAGTAACAGCAACAGCAACACCAACAACAACAACCAATTCAACAGCAACAGGCAACAACAATAGAAGCAACAACAACAACAACAATACCTACAACAGCAACAATAATATTAACAACAATTGTAACATACATTTTAACGGTTGCAAGAAGCACTGCAACAGAAGCGTTTCTTCCACAACAACAACAACAGCAGCAGCAGCAGCAAAGGCAACTAATAATATCAATAACAACAACAACAACAATTGGCTTAAGCCATCAAAAATGGCGTTTATTGTTTCAATATCGAGTAATTTAATTTTCAAAAACTTGATAAATGTAATATTCTTATTTTGTTGATTTATGATTACGATTAATGCTTATTTCTAAGATTTAAAACAAAACAGAAAACAAAAAAAAAACAAACATAACAAAACAAAAAATATATACAAAAGAAGAGAAACCACAAACAACAACAACAACAACAAATACAAAATAAAAAATAAAAGAAAACAAATCAATAAGAATAGAAGAGTTCATTAAGAAGAAAAGATGGCAAACAAAACAAAAGCAAAAGCAAAAGCAAAAAAAAAATATAAAAGCATATACATAAATAAATAAAACAAACAATGCGTAACTATTATAATTATTAATTATTATTATTATTAACTATATTATTATGATTACCGCGTATAATTACAAAGCGTACACTTTGATTGTGATGTATATTCGATGAGTATGACTAATGCATAATGATACGGATATGATAATGAAGTTGATTTATATATTGTGTATATGTAAAACTCTGCAATTTGAATTCAAGAGAGCATTAAAGGTTTTATTTTTGTATTTACCGATTAAAACAACAAAACCAAAACAAAAACTATTTCCCCTACACCGTCCCCCAAGCCACACAACACAACACTATATATATATATATATATATATACAAAACTTCCACACTCGCGCAATGGACAACAACAACAACAAAGCAGCAACCACCGTCGTTACACACACACAAACAACACACACACAGTTATACATAGAAAGAGCCTAACAAAATAAAAATATAAATAAAAGCAAAAATAGCACAGTTAATGAAAATACAATGTATACAATTAAAATTCTTCTCTTTTCTTTTCGTTTACAAATAAACACCAATGTTTTTTTTTGTTTTTAAGTATTTAACGCAACTTCTTTATTTCTTGTATAAAAAACAAAACACTAAACAAACAAAAAAAAAAAAAAAAAAAAATAAGAACAACATCAAGAAACATTGTCGAAATAAATGCAAAATGTAGCACTCTGTGTATAGTAAGCAAAAACAAACAAACAACTAAGTCTTTCAACTAAAAACGCCTCCATTTTTAGCGATGGGATTAACAACCAAATTGATTATGACGACGATGATGATGATGATCCTTGAAAGGACGCAGGCTTGTTTTTATAGCTTTTTTTGCGTGTGTGGGGAATTTATTAGTTGAATTAGGCTCCCCGCCCCACCCTTATTTCATTTGCAACTGAAAACTAAAAACTACAAAATGCGCAAAGGCAGCAGCAACCAAGAAACCAAGAAACGAATAAAGTAACAGTGATAATATTCATCCAATTAATATATGAATACTCCAATTTTTTGTAATAAGGTCAAATTCGTTACCAGAATCATGCAATTGATGTGAAATTATGAGGCACGATTTGCTTTGTTAGTTGACAATTTGATTTAGGCAGCATTTGCAAAAATGTAAATAAATATAGCATTAGTTTCTCTGATTCCGTTCTTGTATGGCTAATTCAATTGCACAACAGAAGAAGAAGAAAAAACAAAACAAAAAGCTTAAGCGGTATTTGCACAGTACAAAAACCAAAAGCAAAAAAAATAACAATAACACAATGAAACGCTTTCAAATTTGGCCGAAGGTAATCCAAAAATAAGCCAATATTAAACTTATATGATGAGTAGGCTTGCAATAAGTAGACCGATTCTTAGTTTCATTCCAATTGACCAAAAAGCAAAGCAATACATTTAAGAGTGCTGTGTGAATGCCGTCACTGAAAACAAACAAACTAAAGTTGGTAAATTATCAAAAGCAAACATATTGAAAATATACTATAAAAAAAGACATTTTTATGCATGCCAATCTAAATGTGTAGAAAACAATAAACGAACAGGAGAACAGAACACGAGAGTTCGAGTAAGTAATAGAACTTTATAGTAAACAAATAAAATACAAAAAACTGGGGAATACGAAAGCGAAAAACAACAGACAAAAAATGAAAATGAACACGGGAAACCTTTTTAAAAAGCAAATTGTAATTGTATTTAACAAATTAGATAATAAATTAATATGTTCTAAAGACTATGGCGACTTCAAATCTATTTATTTCTTCTGCTCCTGCTCATCCAGAAACTGTTGCAACAGCGCCGAGTCAATTGGAATTGTTAGCTGCTCGGAGCCATCAGCGACACGCTTTGACTTGACCAATTTGTGATCGAAAAACTCGGTCAATTGGGCACGCAATGCCAAATCGGAGCTAACCAGGAATGCCTCGCGACAACTCCAGTACAAATCCTTGAACGGCATGCCCTGATAGTTGGCGTTGCCCTTATTCTGCAACTGAAACTTGACAATCAGCATGTAAATGCCACGCGAGTTGGTCGTTAGCGAGGAGAAGACACTGCGCATCGAGGACAGAGCCAGTTCACCCGAATTCTGCACCAGCAGCGAATTCTCAAACGCCGTCTCATCCGTATATGGCAGCATGGTGGTGCAATCCCACCACGAGAAATTGTAGTTGCCCAATTTGTTTTGGTCCCAAACTGGTGAAATATGTTGCAATGCAAATGCTTAACTAGTTAATTAATTCATTATTTTGGGCAACTCACGCAATGGTGTATTGATGTGATCTATGGAGGCCAGCAGATGAATGTTGGGCACGCGAGCCAGGCGGGACAGGATGGCCTGTGATTTCACGTTGCGCAGCATTGCACCATCCAAATTGTGCACAATCAGATAGAGATGCGTTTCGGGTATCAATGCGAACTCCTCTTCGATCATGTCCACAGCCTCGTGTGCATTGGCTGGACTTGGACCCGCATCGAGAATCTCACTCGTTATGCTGTCCAAGACATCTTTGAGTGTCAGACTGGGAAAGAACCCATTGATCACCAGCACCGTTTGTTGGCCGAGAATATCACGATGAAAGGACTGCAACAGCTGCCGTTTGGAGCCCAATCCATAGAGCAGAATGTTGAAACCTTCGTTCAGGATGCACATCCATTTGGGAAAGTACGAACGATACTCTTCCATAATGGCACCGATGGCCGTCTCATGTTCGGCGGATGCCTTCATATCGGCCAGTAGGCTGAACACACGATCTGCCGCGAGCCGAGGATTCTTCAGGCGATCCAATGTGTGATCTGAGGTGAGTATCTTGCTGCTGGCATGCGAGTGAAAGTAGCCATCGCTCTCCGGCACAAACTCATTGGATCTCTTGACACGCGCCGACTGACGTTGACGCGCTGCCGACGGTGTCTTGGGCAGCACAGGCACCACAATGGCACGACGTGCCTTGCACGGCGTCTTGGACTCGTCGTCGGCGGCATCGTTGTCGGAGCCAGAGCCATTGCTGCTGCTGCTCGAGGAGTTGCCATCGCTGGGTCGATAATCGCTTTCATCAGCGGAGAAATCCTCATCGGAATCTGCCACAATCCGTGCAATCTCTGCAAGAGAATGGAGAATAGAGTTGATTAGTGACAACCAAATGTTTTTGTTGTTTGCCACTTACGTTTCTTGACCTGTGTGCGCACATGCGATGGCGTCTTTGGTTGATCAGCCTTCTTCCGTTTGGTGTCCGGTGTCTTGACACCCAGGCGAGGTGTCTTTGGAGTACCCGGAGTGGCATTGAGGGCAGCCAATGACATCGCATCCCTCTTCTTGGGCGTATTGAAGCCAAACAAACTGGTGCCAGCCACATTATAGTCAGTCTGTATGAGCTCGACATCGCGTGAAGTTGGCTTATCCGCACCCGCAACATCGTCTTCATCTTCTTCAGACTGCTCCTCATCCGTACACTCCACATAGTTGAGAACAATGCGCTCCTTGGCGCCTTGGCCCTTATATTCCTGATACTTCTTGGTGGGACTCGGTTTGCGGGCTGATCGACGTGTGCGCGGATGCTCTACGGGCTCTGCAGCAGCACTCGATTCATCGGAACTGCTACCCATTTCAAGGGATTTCCGAATGGCCGATTTTGGACCTCGACTTGTTTGTTTTTGTTTCTTTGGTGTCTTGTATTCGGCAGCTGTGTGTGTTTTTGTTGGAATGGCACTCATTATTTTATATGTGCTTTAATGAAATATGACAAAGAGATTTAAAGGTAAAAATGAGTAAAAGCACAAATGCAAAAAATGCCATAGAAAAATAATTCTTGTTGTTTTTGCCGCGGTTTTGTTAATAGAATATCGATTTATCAGATCAGTTGTCATCGATCAAGTCGTATACTTTCAAATTCACAATAGTTAGCTATCGCATCTTCGTTACGATTATTAAAGAAGAAGCAGAAGGTGCTTAGCGCCAAACTACAGTTTAAAAATACTTCACGATTAAGACTGCATGTTATTAAACATATATTGAATTGCATAAATGTGAATTGTAACCTTCTACAATATATATAAAAGGTGCATAATTACCTGTGCAAAATAAATGATCGATGATTTCATAGTAATCGAATAATGGTTATCGATACAGTGAGAGGGACGCATCACTAACTCTGAGTCAGGCGGTTTAAGCGTGCGGCAATTTTTCACAGAGCAGCAGCGGCAGTGTATATTTCATTTGTTTAAATTTTTATTAAAAGTCACACAACACAGACGCAAAATGTCGACAATGGCAAGTCCCTTATCCATCGCTGGCACGCGACAGTCCGGCGCATCGGTTCGCACACAGAACGGTAAGCAATCGTTGATTTGAACAACAGCTGCAGCTGGCAGCAGCCGCCGGGGACAAGCACGTTTCTAATCAGACCCCCAGACGACTATGAAGAATATTCTCGAACGAAACTTAAGAAATGTTACTCAGCCTTAGAAAAACTCTTTTTACACAATACAAAAGCAAACAAATCAAAAGATGAGAGTTATAAGCTCTGACTGGGCACTCAAAGTGAGGTTATGGCATTCGGAACACCCATAAATGCATCTGGCATCAGGCATCTGAGATTGTAATTCAACAATTGTGATAATTGCATTTTTAATAATTGCAGTCATGGCAGCGCTCTCCATATCGAACATTGTCAAGAGCTCACTGGGCCCCGTCGGTTTGGATAAAATGCTGGTGGATGATATTGGGGATGTTACTGTTACCAATGACGGCGCCACGATTCTGCGTCTGCTGGAAGTTGAGCATCCAGCTGCCAAGTAAGTTCACAAAATAATCAGTTTGAGTGACTGTAACTGAGTGTTCCCTTAGGGTACTTGTGGAGCTGGCTCAGCTACAGGACGAAGAGGTTGGCGATGGCACCACATCCGTTGTCATTTTGGCCGCCGAGCTGCTGAAAAACGCCGATGAGTTGGTCAAGCAGAAAATTCATCCCACCTCGATCATTTCGGGATATCGTATTGCCTGCAAGGAGGCATGCAAATACATTTCGGAGCACCTAACCGCCCCAGTGGACGAGCTGAGCCGTGATTCACTGATCAACATTGCCAAGACATCGATGAGCTCGAAAATCATTGGCGCCGATGCTGACTTCTTCTCCACAATGGTCGTGGATGCCACTCAAGCTGTCAAGATCACGGATCCCAAGGGACAAACAGCGTACTCGATCAAGGCCATAAATGTACTGAAAGCGCACGGCAAATCCGCTCGCGAATCGGTTCTGATTCCTGGTTATGCCCTCAACTGCACCATTGCCTCGCAGCAGATGCCCAAGAAGATAGTCAACGCCAAGATTGCCTGCCTTGACTTTTCGCTGCAGAAGACCAAGATGAAGATGGGTGTGCAAGTCTTGATCAATGATCCCGACAAGCTCGAGGCAATTCGCGCTCGTGAACTGGACATCACCAAGGAGCGCATCAACATGATTCTGGGCACTGGTGTCAATGTTGTACTCGTCAGTGGCGGCGTTGATGATCTGTGCATGAAGTACTTCATAGAAATGGGAGCGATGGCTGTGCGTCGCGTGAAGAAGAGCGATTTGAAGATTATTGCCAAGGCAACTGGTGCCGCATTCCTTACGTCGCTGACGAACATGGACGGTGAGGAGAGCTTCGATGCCTCCATGGTTGGCGAAGCCGCCGAGGTGGCACAGGAGCGCATCTGTGACGACGAGCTTATCCTGATCAAGGGTACCAAGGCACGGTAGGGCATCTAAAATCGAGTATAATCAGCGAAACATATCTCAACCTTTGGATATTTGTGTGTGTTTACAGTGCTGCTGCTTCGATTATTCTGCGTGGTCCCAACGACTTCTACTGTGATGAGATGGAGCGTTCTGTGCACGATGCTCTCTGCGTGGTGAAGCGTGTGCTCGAAAGCAAAAAAGTCGTTGCTGGTGGCGGCTGTGTGGAGGCAGCACTCTCCATCTATCTGGAGAACTTTGCCACATCGCTGTCGTCGCGCGAACAGCTTGCAATTGCCGAGTTCGCCAAATCGATGTTGGTCATTCCGAAAACTTTATCTGTAAATGCGGCAAAGGATGCCACCGATTTGGTGGCGAAGCTGCGCTCCTACCACAACTCCAGCCAGACAAACACCAAGCATGCCGAACTCAAGTGGACCGGCTTGGATCTAATTGAGGGCGTTGTACGCGACAACAAGAAGTCGGGTGTGCTGGAGCCGGCCATGTCCAAGATCAAATCGCTGAAGTTCGCCACGGAGGCGGCAATCACCATTTTGCGTATTGACGACATGATCAAACTGAATCCAGAAGACAAGAGCGGCAAGAGCTATGCCGATGCCTGTGCCGCTGGCGAGTTGGATGGTTAAAAATCTGCTGCTAATATGGCATTTCTTATACTTGGTTAGGCACTTAATCTAATGTAAAACTCACTGCAAACTGCAAAACTTTCGCCCCCATTTAATTGTAACAACAATTTAATTGTTTCTTTGCTAACTGCAATTTTGTATTAATCCCGCATCATTTCTTGCTCCTCATCATTTCACGTAATATGCATATTAATAAATGAAACAACCGAATATATGCTGCGGCGTATGAAAAACTAAATGTTTATTGTTTTCCAACGGAAATCTGAAAGTGTATAGAAAATATTTCTGAGAGAAGAGAAGTGCTCGTTGCTGTGTGTGCTGCAGAGAGCCCGAGGAGAATATTCAAAAAGTCGGCTATAAATAGCGCGTGCATCGATTTTGCCTATATATACGAAAAGAATAACAAAATACTGACTACAATCGTGTGAGCAACGGAAAAGCGTGTGAACATTTTTTGTAAAATATAAGAAAATATTTTGAAAATATGTCTGCAAATAATACTGAATGTCCAATCGAAGGCGATGTGAATAATAATGAGACGGCAAGTGGTGGACAGGCGGAGCAAGTGGAGCAGCAGCCAGCGGCGCAGCAGCCACAAAACGAGCTGCTCGACATGGTGTTCACATTGGAGAGCGAGAAACAAGCACTGCTCGAGGAGTCTCGCAAACGAATCGGGGCGCTGCGCAAAGACTTTGAGGTTAGTTTTCAATTGGCCATTCCAATTTATTGAACTATAAGAAATAATCAGTAAGGATTTTTACAAAGGAAGCACGCTGCGAGAATGAACGCTTGCAGAAGCGAGTGGCCAATTTGGAGCTGTCACTGAAGCAATCGGTAATGCTGGGCGGAGTAGATGCACCAAAGTCACGGCAAGAACAGGACGAGCTGCTGCTAAAGGCCAAAACACTGCTGTTCGAGAAGACCAAGGTGAACAAGCAGCAGGAGCAACAGATTGCCGTGCTCCGGGAACAAGTCGAGTCCATTAAGGATGTGCTGCAGGTGACCAAAGACATGCTGCAACTGAGAACCACAGAAGGGGAACACACCCAGGCGCGTCTCGAGAAGAGTCAATTGTGGATCAAAGCCGAGCAGGACAAGTGTGCGTTGACCGAAAAGAAATTGCAGATATCGAAGGGTGTCTATGACAAACTGCGTGCCGAATACGACACACAGTCAAAGATATTTAAGGTATGGAAATGTTTTTAATAATAAAATATATATAGCCACTAACATATATATCAACTCTTTCCAGGATTTGAAAGAGGCCTATGAGCAAAAGTTGAAAGTGTTGACTGTCGCATTGGCAGAGGCCAAAAAATAGTTGAACAATTTAATAAACTACATATGTTAATTAAATGCACAAATATTCTTTATATATGTTCAATAATTTAATCAACTTTGTTCTGCGCCAATCCTGACGGAGTCCCAAGTTCCCTAGGCGCTTTGCTTGGTCTGCTGTTGTTGTTGTTGCTGCTGAATCAGTTTTACGGCGGCCGCCTGCTTCATCTCGAGCACGCTCATCACAGAGTTTAGGAAACGTGTCTTTTGTATGTGGATCTTTTCAATTTTCTCGATCTGTTCCTGCACATACTCGACGCGACGCTTAAAATAATCCTTGGACCCATCCAGATCCTGTTAAATGCAAACACAGACGGCGATGTGAGCAGAGCATAAAAATAATTGATTTCATTGAGTCGCTGTTACCTTTTCGATGTAGTAGCCGGTGCCGATGTCTATGATGAAATTGTTGAGATCCTTGATGCGTCCTGGCACATACATGCTGCTTGTCAGCGGCACGAGTATTTGACGATTCTCCCAATCGGGCTGAAATGCTTCCAGCGCATCTTTGGAGCCAGCGTATTTCGCTTTGCAGCCGTGCAGAGTCGACAGCGAGTCCTGTATGTTATTCATTTCCTAAACGAAAACCCAATTGTTAGAAACATGTGCAACTGCGGCATTTGTGGCAGCCCCCTTCCCCGAAATGATATTCGGTGATGGTGTGTGAGCAACACCCACACGCGACTCTGGCACTCACCTGCTCGAACTCCTGCTTGATTTGCATCAACTGGTCGGGGCTGAGCTTGGTGAGATCGATCATCTCGGTTTTTGCTGCAGCATTTGCGGTTCCAGACATATTTTACGCTTAAATTTATAACTTAGTAAATGTAAATTTTTATTCTTAATAGTCACACGCAAATCTGCTAGAGTTGTATTGCAATCGTGCGGAACAAGCTCAAACGAACGACTCACGTTACAAAAAGAACTGGTTTCGTGATTCTCTCATCCCTAAAAACTGTTATGCGCCGCTATCGTTTACTTGCAACCTTAACAGGGCGCATAATATTAGTAATACAAAATTGCAGTGACTCATCAGTCAGTTTTGTAAAAATTGAGTAAATTGCAGCAGGTTCCTCTATGCTCCAAATGGTTCTTTGATTACACCGACATAACAGAGAACTGTAGCCAGTGTTGACAAAGGCGATACAAAATTTTCGAATAAAAAGTAACGATTCGTTTTTTTTTTATACTTTTACTTTATTTATTATATGCAATGTTATAATTCTGTGTTTTGTCAGTCATTCTGTATTTGTATGCAATTTTATACCTTTTTTTTACTTTCTTTCACATAAATTATAAAATCTAACATAAAACAAAGCCATTTCATTAACAATCACTGCCGCTACATGTTACATACACGTTACGATTTGTTATGATATAGGCGCAGCCATTACATGTTCATATACATATTCTTTGTAGTTATATACTGGGTCAGTGTGAGTGTGTGTGTGTGTGTGTATATATGTGTATGTGTGCTCATGTGTTTTTGTTTGGGCTTTAATTTCGTATATATATATATTAGATAACAATGATATTAAGCCTAAATAGATATATGTAAGTTTAAGTTGTATTGATACATTGTTTGCATTTCATCATTCGCATTTATCTGTTCCTATGATCATTCAACTATTACATGCTTTAACTAAGTTACTTTTACTCATTAAACTAACTTTACTTGCCTCGGCCCACTTATCATTTATGTTTATCATACATAACATTATTCTTTAATCAATTGGTATCTGTATTGTTTTTTTTTTAGTTTTTTTCTTTTTTCGTTTATCTAAAATTGTTTTTAAACAATTTATCAAGTAATAATTTGCATGGTGTGTAGAATTTTCAATAGGTTTGAAGTTTTCTTAGTTTTTCCGTTTTTTGTTCTTAATTTTTTTTTTCGTGTGCACTTTTAATAATCGCAAGGCAAAAATTTGAGTTTTGGTTTTTCAATTGAAATGAATAAACTTCGTGGTTTGTTTTAAATGCAGAGTTTTGTTTTTTTTTCCTTCTTTTCTTTGTATCTTGTGCAGCGTTAACATTGTGAAGATATATAGAAATTTGTTGTCGTAGCCATTGGAGATCGGGTACATACATATTTAAGTGGGAATGGTAATTTGTTTATCAACAGCATTTTAATTTGTTATGAATTAATATTATCAAATCGAAGGGACGTAATACATAATACATAATAATAATCATAATTAATTACACATTATAGTATTGTATATGCAATGTATATGTTTTGTATATATATATATAGATGTACATATATATAAATAGTAGAGTATGTATGCATGTTTAATTTGTATTTTTTCTTCTTTTATTTTTTGTTAGTAGGGTTTCCTTGTTGTATATAGTATATGTATATATATGTATGTATGTGTGTATAAATAAGTGTGCATTGTATTGTGTAGTTTTTGTTGTATTTGTTGTTGTTGTTGCAATTGTCCTAAGTGTTTTCATTTCGCTAGATTCGCTAGTTTTTTTTGTTTGTTAGTTATGTGGTATTTCGGTTGTATACAAGTTGAAGTTCTTCAAAAACTCGAAAATATATCAAAAATTGTTTTGTTGAAATGCAATATATATATGTATATGTGTAGTTAGGAGTCAAATATACATATATGTAAATATATATATATATATATAGTATTTCGATATATAAACCAATGTTTTGGCTAAAGATAAGTCAGAAGAAGAATTAAATAATTTAGCTAGGAGTTAGATCTCTGGTATGCGGGGTAAGTAATTTTATGTATGTATGTATGCAAGTATGCAAGTCGATATGTATGTATGTATGTAAGTGTGCGTGTATAACTCCAATATATGTATAAGTAATATAAAGTCTTGATTACAAACATTTTGGTATACAAATAGCAGCAAAATTAAAGGAAAGCCCTAAAAATTGATATTCCATTAAAATAAATTATAACATTTTCTTGGTGTAGGTGTAGGTGTAGGTGTGTGTGTGTGTGCATTTTGTGTGTTGCCTTATTAAGTTGCCTTATTGTTAGTTTCTGCTGCTGTTGCTGATTGCGTATACGTCACGTAAGCCTCGAAAAATATGCACAAAGCGGCTCTAATACTGTAAAATTGTTGCTTGTTTCCGTTTTCTTCGTTTTCAGCTGTAAAGTAATTTTGCTCACATTTGATCGCATTTTTGTAAAAAAGCTAGGTAGGTTCGCGTCAGTGTCTAGTTTTGAGTGTATAAGTGTATTAGGGTGTGTGTGTGTGTGAGTGTGTGTGTAAGAGTTTGTGTCTTATTAATTGATATGTCCGAGTTCATATTGCATAAGAGTCTATGACAATATTTAGTCTCAAATACATATACATATTAAAAAGTATACATGTTGGGGTCTTTTACGAACCAATTTAGTGGTAAACTCAATATGGCATTTGTTTGTAGTATTTGCTGCACGCAAATGGAGAAATCGCGTTACATTCTACATACGTATTATTCAATCGAAATGTTTGCGAATTGTCCTAAGTGGTTCTTGTCATTAACTAATTAAAGCCAGTTTCAATTCAATAAACAATCTTATGCATCATTATCATTATCATTACTTTTATAATAATAATATTTGATCTGCGTCGTTCATTTAGATTACAGCACCACATTTTGTAATTTTACACGCTGTTCTTGCAAACAAACAGAAACTGCTTACATAACTTTAAATGTAGTATGTGTGTATTTATTATATATATATATATATGTATATATGTACATATATACGTTTAAATTACGTTTACATCGAAATTCGCTAAATTGTGTAATTCATGTATAATTTGCAGTTTACGTTTTATTTAATATATATATTTATATATATATATATATATAGTTTGCTTTGCTGCTTGGCGCTTGGCGAAAACTTTAAATAGATGTTCCATATTTTTCTTTACTTTATAGCCCATATATTACAATACACAATTATTTGATTGGCTAGTGGCATAATTAATTATAACATAATGATATATGCTGTGTTTCCTATTTCTTTTTTTTTTTTTCTTTTTTTTTTGGTTTTGTATTAGCAAGTCTTGAGTTTGAAGCTATAATTTCTTAGGCATAATTTTTGCTGAATTCTTTTTTTTTAGAGTTTTTTTTGACGTTTGTGTTTTTTTTGTTTCTTTTTTTCTGCTAGATTCAATGCCATTAAAACTTAATGCATATGCAGCTAAAATATTGTATTTATATTGAATGGTTTGCAATGTATGTGTGAGTGTTTTTCGAATGTTCTTATGTCCTTGCTAACGTATGTATGTCCGTGCGGGCTTTGCTTATTATCCTTCCGTCATTTGTACACTTTGAGATGTTGTGTTTAATTAACGCCATGAGGTTGCTAAATAAATATAATATATCTATATATGTATATATATTTATATATATATATTCTTTTTTCGTATGCATGCGTGTAAATATAAATGGAGTATATATATTTTTTGTTGTTTGTTTTTTCATTTTTCCGGGATCTGTGGATCACGTGGTTTATTGCTAATTTGACGCGCTTTTTTGTCTTTGGGCTTTTCGCTGGCGGGAGTTGCTTACACATACCACTCCTTGACGTCTTTGGAGTCACGCTTCTTGGCCTTCGGCTGCACCAGACCCGCCATCTGTGGCCGTCCATCGCTGCCGTAACCAAGTGAACCACTGCCACTGGACATCATGCCGCCGCCGCCACCGCCACCGCCGTTGTGTCCGTTCTGTCCGTGATGCTGTTGCTGCTGAAGCTGGCCATGGAGTTGTCCTTGGTTGACGCCACCAGCTGCTTGATGATGCTGTCGCTGCTGATGATAGGAGCCATTGGTGCTGGTATTGCCCAGCAGAGCCGCATTCGGATTATGCGAACCATAAGCAGCAGCCTTTTCACTTTCCGTCTTGTAGCCACGATCGCCGTTCGATTTGAGCCACAGGACGAGCAGGATAACGAGTATAACCGCAATCAGAATGCCAGCCACAATGCCAATGATCATCGCTGTGCGCTCCTCCTCAATGGAATTGATGCGTCCACCCTTGCTCTTCGGACGATAGTTGTTCACATTGTTGCTGTTGTACGTGTTGCCGCCATACGGTCCATATGGCGGTGGATCTGGCTGTGGTGGCAACGGTGCTGGCATCGGCGGCAATGGATTCTCATCGGGCAACTGTATACGCTCATGATCATGACTGCCACCACCAACACCACCAGCACCACCTATCGCACCGAAGTCATCGTGTGTGGTCTCGCGGTCTGTGACTGTGGTGCGTATCTCCGGCATCATTGTGGTGCTGGTCGTTGTTGTTGTTGTTGTCGTGGTTGTGGATATTACTGGCCTGCTGCTGCTGCTGCTGGCGGTGCGTTGGGTGGTGGTGCTCACACTGCTGCTGCTGCTGGTGCTGCTCGGTTGGCTGCTGGACGTGCTGCTGCTGCCGGCACTTGGCATTGTGGTCATATAATTGGTGGTGCTGCTGCCACCCACGCCGATGCTGCTACTGCTGCTGCTGCTGCTATGTTGTTGCTGTTCTGTGGTCACATCGCTGCGTCCTGTCGTCGAGGCGGTTACCAGCTCGTTATTGGACTCTGCAAGTGGTTAGCAGCAGTTTTTAGTGTTTCAATTTGGCGGCAATTTAGTGTTGTGGTAGTGTTGTGCTGTGTGCCGTGCTGTGCAGTGACAGTGCAACAATGCGACAGTGTTTTCCCTCCCAGAAAGAATATACAGTCGAACTTCCCTATATCGAACCGTCCTCATTAAACTTATTTCACTCAAAGAGACTTTTAGCTAATGCCAAATTGAGTGTAATGCAATAAATAAATATATAGAAACAAATAAAAAACGCTTCAAGATAGCCATCAAATAATCTCGAATTAATTATTTAATAATTCATTTTAATGTACTTTCAGAGTAATTTTATAAAATTTAAATAAAATATAAATCTAATAAATTATAATATGTAATATTTTTCTATTAAACTTAAACGGAAACTTTTGTACCAAATCGAAACATATGAGAATATTAATCAAAATCAATATTTAAAAAGAAAACATTTAAATTCAAAACAAATACATAACATAAACATTGTGGATTATAGATAGATGTAATATTAAAGGATATTCAAACACAGCTTGTATTATTAAAATTGACTTATGGAATACGCATATCAAACATTTACTTAAGCCACAAAGAATTCGACTTAATTGGTCTGCAGTTAAGCCAAGTTCGATTTAGAAAAGTTCGACTGCTGGTCCAAAAGTAAGTTTCACAATTAGTTTTATTGAACATAAGGTTAAAGAGCGTAATTTGATATTCGATATTTGATAGAGATATGCTCATGCTGCTGCTGCTGTTGATATGTACAATTGGAAGATAACTGAACGTACATTGAGAACTGTACATTATTCATGTAGGTAAGCTAATATGTGTGTAAGTAGTATGTAAGATAACTATGCAAAAATACTTTCTTTCTTTCACTAACTCATTCCTACGCATACGCATTGAGACTTATGGACAGAGGTATCGCTACTGCTATATACAATACATATACACATATTTGGGGTATATAAGACTACCGAATGCACCCGCCTCTCTCCTCTCTCCTATCTCATCCTTCATCTTCTTCTCCTCATTCTTCTCATCTTCTTCATATACAAAAAACGCTTTTGTTTCGGGTTTTTCTTTTATGCACACACGCTTTTGATCGGTGTGGCTGTAGTTGTTCTTGTTGTTGTTGTTATTGTTGTAGCATTATTTGGAGATGTTGTTGTTCTTGTTCTTGTTCTTGTTGCTGTTGTTGTAGTTATTGTTGTTGTTGTTCTTGTTGTTGTTGTTGGTGGTATTGCTCAGATACATATAATACACATATACATAAATATATGCTAAAGTTATTTAAGTAGTTTTAGACACTGTCTAAGTATTTAGTAGGAGCTTAGCCCATTTGCATTGCATTTGTTATTTGCAACGAGACGTTAGCTTTGCATTTGTAATTGGTTTTTTATGCTTTTTTTAGTTTAATTTACAGAGTATCCAAGGCGCAATCACAGTCAGAAATATGAAGACGTGTTCACATTCTGAAAGAGACACATAAGGCGTACTCATTGTCAGTTCAAAATTAGAAGCATCATCAACAACTGAGTGGATGAAGTGGAAACAGCTGAACTGAATCTGAATCTGAATCTGAGGCTGAGGCTGAAGGATGACACGAGAGTGAGAGACTGAGTTTTGAATTCTGAGTATTTGATTTTGAGATTGCGATTGCGATGGAATTGTTTTGGGAATTAAAAGTTGGTTGAAGTTGGTTTCTTTTGGGGCTGATCAATGGTTGTTGTATATGTATATGTATATGTATATGCATATGTATATGTATATGTATATGTATATGTATATGTATATGTATATGTATATGTATATGTATATGTATATGTATATGTATATGTATATGTATATGTATATGTATATGTATATGTATATGTATATGTATATGTATATGTATATGTATATGTATATGTATATGTATATGTATATGTATATGTATATGTATATGTATATGTATATGTATATGTATATGTATATGTATATGTATATGTATATATGTATATGTATATGTATATGTATATGTATATGTATATGTATATGTATATGTATATGTATATGTATATGTATATGTATATGTATATGTATATGTATATGTATATGTATATGTATATGTATATGTATATGTATATGTATATGTATATGTATATGTATATGTATATGTATATGTATATGTATATGTATATGTATATGTATATGTATATGTATATGTATATGTATATGTATATGTATATGTATATGTATATGTATATGTATATGTATATGTATATGTATATGTATATGTATATGTATATGTATATGTATATGTATATGTATATGTATATGTATATGTATATGTATATGTATATGTATATGTATATGTATATGTATATGTATATGTATATGTATATGTTATATATGTATATGTATATGTATATGTATATGTATATGTATATGTATATGTATATGTATATGTATATGTATATGTATATGTATATGTATATGTATATGTATATGTATATGTATATGTATATGTATATGTATATGTATATGTATATGTATATGTATATGTATATGTATATGTATATGTATATGTATATGTATATGTATATGTATATGTATATGTATATGTATATGTATATGTATATGTATATGTATATGTATATGTATATGTATATGTATATGTATATGTATATGTTTATATATGTTTAAGCGTTCAAAGCGTTGCATACTTCAAGGCGCGCAAAAACCCAGAGGACGAGATCACTAACAAGGAACATCGTAAAACTGTGAAAGCATTTGGAACTAGAAACACACGTAATTTTTGACATACGCCAACTATGTATATACTAGGCATATATATATATATATATATATGAATATATATAGATATTAAAAAGGAGTCGAGAGCTTAACCGTGGCAACGTTCTAGTTCTACTTACATACAGCAGTATATATCTATTATAATTACTTGAACAATACAGTTTTGTTTGCTAGCTAAGATAATGTCTGATATGATTTGTGTGGCTGTGTGATCCAAATGTCAATGACAAAATGACACCACACTGGCAACAGAAAACAAGGGAAATAAAGAAGATAACACACAACTAAATGCCGAATGTGCGACTCACCTGCACCCTTTGCCGTCGATGTTGAGGTGAACTGCTCCGTTGTCTCACCATAATCCCCGGAGCCATGGACACAATCCTCATCGTCGCAGGCACGCTCAGTGCCATTGTTGTTGCCGTTGTTGTTGTTGTTGTTCGTGTTATTGTTGTTGCGATCGAGGCCAAGACTGTTGCCCTGCTGCGTGGTTGTCGTCTGTTTGGTGGGTGGCACATAGACGGGCGTAATTAGATCATCCCCGCTGCCCGACTCGAAGGGCGGCGTGCATTCGTCCTCATCGTCGCCGCGACACCCGGATCCCGCACCGGAGAAGATCAGATCGTCTATCGCACCCGGATAACCACTCGCCGGCGTCTGTCGAGTAGAGTTCAAAGTCTAATTTTACTTCAGTTGATCTGGCGCCGACCTGGCCAAGCGGTTATTTTGTATGTCAGTCAGTGTTAACTGAGTTGAGTATGTGCATTATAAGTATATATATGTATGTGAAGCCATGTTTTACGTGTTTGTGTTCTTACGACGTAATGATTGTATTAAATTGTACCTAGAGCATAGAACTGGAATATCGGTGTAATTTGAGATGTGTTTTTTGAGTATTTTACAAGAAAATCTTCACTCACAAAATGCGCGTTGAGTTTCAAAAGAAGTTTTAAATAATATACTAAAATTATTATTTTTTTTTTGACCGTTTATAAAAGTGAAATTGTCCTACTTCTACTTAACCGGAAGAGACAAACGGAGCCAGATACTACGTGATTATTGTTGCTATTGTCAGTAAGTGCTTAAAAGCTACTTCAAATGTTATATTTATATCATACACAAAATCATTTAAATCCAGTCAGAATGATTTAATCGAAAGTGCTCGACTAGGAGATACCCTCAACCCAACTGTTAAACATTAAATCTTTAACTTTTGTGTTTCTTATCCGATCTTAATGAAATTGTTTGAGTTGATCAATAAGAATAGTATTTTAAGAATAATATAATATTAAATGTCAATTGTAAAACTGTACCTTTAAAATTGGGACTTCTGTTGCTACCGAAAACTAATCAATAATTGCAAATCGGACAAAGTTATCGATAAAATTAACTTGGCGTATTTTACGAGAATATAATTTCTATATTTGAAGATATTTATATAGATAACTGACCGATGAACATGACTAGACGATTCCTTCTGAAAATTGTTTTTAATTTGTAAAATTTGATTTCATCTTTTAAGACAGAAAATGTTCCCTTCTTACCCCTTATGGGTGTGTGTGTGTGTGTGTGTCTGTGTGAATGAATGTGCTGGCAGATGTGTGAGTGTGTACTAGTATATTTGTGCAAGATATAGGTGTAGATATGTGTAGAGTCATGCAGCGTTAGTGCGCTCAAACTGGCTTCATAACGAGTACAGTTACAGTGCAAACAAAATGATAATTCTATCTGCATATGGTAGTATATAATATGTTTGCTATACATATGTATGTATATAGTAATTGTATGTGTGCATGTATATATGTGTGTGTGTGTGTATGTGTGTTATATGTAATATATATAAATGTATATTCACAAATTGATTATTGCATATGCTGTGCTGTGTCAGAGAAAATAGTCAAATAGCAGTTAGCTGAGGTTAATGGCAAATTTTTGTTATTGCTGTGGGTTATTTAGCTGGTGCTGGTTACAAGAAGCGTTACGTTAAGAAAAACGCTGATGGAAACGAGGAAAATAAATATTGGAAATGTACATAAATCAAATATGGCATTTACACTAGCTTATACATTTAGTGGCTAATACTTTAGTATTTAGTTATTAAAATTTATGTGTGCAACCAAATTTCCCCGAACTTAATGATGATGGGCATTGGGCAGACATTTGTTGTTGAAGGACTTCAGAAACTGTACATTAGGCAATTCAGGGGAAAAGAGGTTCGCACAACGTAATGAAACTGATTATTATACGATATTTGGATTTAGTTTTTGTTGAATAAAGAAAGAATTTTGAATAAAGTTGGTTTTTTTTTTTTTTTTTTTTTGTTACGATGAAGAGAAATACTTGAAAAGTTGAAAGTTGAGAGGAATTCAAATAAAATTTCAAATAAATTCCCTAACCTGCTGCATTCTCTGCAGATCATTTCTATCTAATACTCCAGTTACCAATTGAACATCTCCCCGTATGGTGATATGAGGATCGCGCTCGACGGCCAAATCCAAAATGCGCAGCTTATTCACAGACAAACCGGCAATGACACCAGCAAAAGAACGCTCGATCCTTGTGCGACCGTTGCGACTAAATTTGCCGCCCACTTGTATATTGGACATGGTGTTGAACACGGTTGAATGGTGGCCTGGCAAACAGAAACAATAACAGTAACAGCGAATATCATTATTATGGGATTAGAATATATAATCTTGATCTTACCCTGGGGTGTGAGTGCCTGCACATTATAGTCGTCCAGCTGGAGCGTTGCATTGCCACCCTTGCGCGAGAACCGCACCACATGATACGCATTATCGTTGACCTTGGTGCCGATCTCGCCCAGCGGCAAATCGACACTGCCAATGTTATAGACCATAAAGATATTGCCCTCGACCAGCTCCAGTTCCATGTAATCCTGTGTGGTGGCACTTTCAATGCGCAACAGCACCGCATCCGGCTTGGTGGTAATGAAACCCAATGCAACATTATCCTCCTCGGTATCCGCTTGCGTGTTCTCCGGAAAATTGTACTGCACCATGCCCTTGTTATTACCAAACTCATAAGCAATCGATTCTGCAAGATGACGACAGATGACAATGATTAGTATGGCTTTGTGTGGCACTGCTTGTGGCATTGATTGTGTGTTTGATCAGCACCCACCGTCGTAGCAGGTCGGACCCGTGTATGATGTCATATCGCATTCGCAGGCATAGGCATTCCATTGCTGGACGCAGACACCTCGATTGGCGCACGCATTCTGGCTGCACTTGGTGGGTCCTTCGCAACCGCTGACCACCAACGAGCTGGGCACAACCGCATCGGTTGTGACCGATGGCGATGTATCGCCTAAATCCAACGATGCCAAACAACCCTCAAAGCCGGATCGTGACGAAATCGAACCGGGCAACTTAGAATACATGTCCTTAAATACACCTCCAATATAGAGTATGCCCGCCAGCTCCAAATGCATATTATTCCCGGTTAAGGTGATAATCTCAAACGAATCGTCCACGGTTAGGGTGTGCGTCTTGGGTCCTGGCCGACGAATGCTGACCTGATGCCAGCGATTGTCATTCATGTGGATGCGTGACTTATCCCTCATCGTTACAGGTCCGTCGCCCAGATCGAATGTGTAATGGATGTGTCCATTGACCAGCTCCACGGCAACAAAATCATTGCGTCGCCCACCATTGAATACTAGCAGACCATTCGGCTCCACGGTCTTGAAACGAAAGTCGATCGATATGCTGGTATAGGCTTTGAGCATGGCCAATCCCACATAGGAGTGCTTGGAGCGGAATGTTGCCGCATGATACGGCTGTCCAGATGGTGAGTTGACAAATCGCGCTGTCAGCTTAAAGGTGGCACTGGGCAGGGCCGACAGTTCCGGACCCAGAGATTTCACAATATCCAAGTAGCTAATGGGGAAGAGGCAATAACTTTAAGTACTTGCAACAAACGACTACGAAAGCGACTGTTTGAAAACCCAACTAATAAAAATGTTGATAAGTTTTGCAGGGGCAGATCTTTGGCTTACCGCTGGCCATTGAATATGAAACCCTGCATTTGTCCCACAAAGTTTGGCATGGTCGAGGTCATCTGGATCTCCTCCTCGGCATGAAAGAGGCCGCCCAGGTGTATGGATCGTATTTCCATGGTGCTGTGGCGTCCCAGTATTGTCTCAGCTGTGCAAAGAATACAGCAGAGTTTGATAAAACTCGGGGGGTTCGGGTTAATCGGGGTTTGTGCCAGCCTGGGCTTGCTCTAATATGTTAGTTTAGTTTAGTTTAGTTTAGACTAGGCATAGTACCGTTAACATTTTGGTATATAGGCATACATATATATGTATAGACGTATATTACGTACGTATTCAAAATATATGGATATTATTGATTATATGGAGTATAGTTGTTGTTTTTGTTGTTGTTGGTGACAAACGAATGTTTTAGTTACTAGAAGCACATACGCATATTATATGTATTCAAATATTAAGTAGTATATAGTAGTAGTAGAGTATATAGTAGTAGTAGTAGTAGTAGAGTATATGCATTTTAGTAGACATAGAGCTAAAGTTTGATTCAAAATCATTTCAAGCAGTTGTTGTAAGTTGGTGTCACTTCTGACAGTGAGCTAGAATTGTCAATGCAGCTTGGGTACATACTAAAGAAAAGTGCAATTACGATAGTTATTCATAAATACATATGTGTTATGCATATGCATGTGTTGTTCTTTTTAATTTTCAACTGATTAAGTTAAGAATAAAAATGAAGAAGAAAATTGATAAATTGATAAATTGTTGGCTGCAGCTTTGCTCAAATCAGAAAGAAAAGTAAGAAATAAGTGTGTAGTTAAATTAGTTCAAGATAAATAAGTTTGTAAGTAGTATTTTTCTTTTTTTCTTTTTTTTTTTGTTAGGGTGCGCTTGTCTCATATACATATACATATATATCTACACACATACATACAGTGTAGTAGTTGTAGTAGTATATGCCACTTTTTATTAATGTGTTTTGGTGAGTTATCATAATCATTACGAGTACTTTTACTTGAGGCGGTGACATTTGAAATTCGTTAGGTGCATTGCTTTAAACTAGAACGAATGTAAAACGAGTTTTATTTTTGGTTTCTTTTTGCCTAGACTCTAAACGCCAAGAACTGATAATTAAACATATAGAAATAAGATCAAATCGAAATCAATGACAACTTTTGCTGCTGCTTTTGAACAACATTGAAACTAAACATCGATTTGTAATTTATACTCGAAATCTTGTATACTTATTGTAAAAGTGTTGTGTATGTTGTGTGTGTGTGTATGTGTGTGTGTGTGTGTGTGTGTGTAACCTCGCATGTCGTTTCTTGTCTTTGTGTGTATAGTGTGTGTTGTGGGACTACGTGTAGCTAATAACGGTGCAATTGCCACAAATGAGGCAATGGTCAATGGGCACCACAATGCGCATACGACGCGTGGGCCGACGTGGTGAAAAATGATTGATATCTGGACATGCAAATGACTGCAGAAAGCGATGATGGCGATTGGAAAATAGACCGACAGAGAGAGAAAGAGAGAGAGAGAGAGAATGGTTGAGGGGAAAGGAAAGAGCGAGAGAGAGATTTAATGAGCTTGGAAATTGACTAAACTAGGTGAAAAGCGAAAAGTGGAACACAGTTTGTTGCAGCTGCTTCGCAACCATATAATTAGCCGCATTTATACTTGAATTGTGACAAGCTAAACTAAAGTACTTCAGACACAGAGAGAGAGAGAGAGAAAGAGAGAGAGAGAGAGAGAAAGAGAAAGAGAGGGGGAGAGAGACGGAGAGCGTGGCGTTGGCATGTACAGCAAGTCATGCGATTTTCGACTATTATTTATTCAGAGTTATTAATTTTTTGTGTTTGTTTTCTTTTTTTTTTTCTTTATTTGCAGGTGCGCACATGCAAACGTTGACACGTGTGTGCGGGTGTGTGTGTGTGCGCGTGAGAGTGTGTGTGTGTGTCGTAGTCTTAGTGTGCAATTTAATAGTTGTGTGCGTGCGTGGTGCAGCAAATGTCCGAAACAGTGAGTGTGTGTGGGTTTTGGCCCAAGGCTGGACAAAAGGGCTCGAAGGAGCCGCCTATTTGCCGCTGCCTTCTTGTGTTGACCAAGTTGCAACTCTGTACACAGGACACAGTGCGAAACTAAATTGTACGTTTGGACACGTTTTGGTTGCGGTTGCTATTGTTATTTGTTGTTAACGAGTACATAGTATACTTAACACAAAGCTAATTAAATATTAAATGGTGCAAAATTACAGCCCTGGGTGCTTCAAAGCATTGTTTTGCCCCCTCGTCTCAATAAGTCACAGGTCGCGTGCGTTGCGACAGCATTTTCAATTTCATTTTCATTTCATATATATATATATATATATGTATATTTTTGTCGTCACGCTCCGCATCCTTGACGCGACTTTTATCGAGCGATTTGGCAAAAAAATGCTTCACCGAGTTCTTGCGTGTCGATTTTTTTTTTGCTCTCGCCTAAAAGAATTGAAAATATTTTCGTTGTTTTTTCTTCTCTTTCGCTATTCGATTTTTTTTTTGCTTTGTTTTTTATTGTGTTTTTTTTTGTTTTAATTTTGTTTTGCGTTCTTCTTCTTGCTGTTTGCATTTTGAAATAGAAAAGGTCATTAAGATCACGTTTGTGATTAGAAAATTGCATTTGCATTCGACATTACTTGCTGTTGTTGTTATTGTTGCTGCTGTTGTTGCTGTTGCTGTTGTTGCATTTGTTGCTTTTATTGCTTGTATTGCTCTAAATGCTTTCATTTTGAATTAGACACTCCTGAAACGAACTGTTCACATACCACACATATCGTTTAAATTATTTAAACGGAATCTATTTAAGCACACACTTTCATTGTTTAGCTTATATTTAGTAGGTATGCCTGTAAGTACAAATCTTTAATATATACATCGAAATCATATTAAATTATATCAGAAAATACAATAAATACACAAATGTCTTTGATGTTGAGTCGGACAATTGAAAAGCATTTTTAATAATATTAGTAGAAAACGGAATTGTTTTTAAACCATTTTTAATGAGATCAGGGTATAACAAGAATGAACATTCGCAAACCTCAATCCATCTGCTGATCTCTCAGTTTCATTATGAAATTAAAAAAAACCGACCCAACCAGCTGATATATTTGTCCGATGTTAAATATTTTCTTTTGCTCAAACCGAATACCGTCAAAATGTTTTGTAAAAATGCCGAAATGTTTAACGGATTTTTTAGATACTTTACGTACCAGAATCGGAATTGAATTATATTTTTTCGTTAAACAAAGAACTCAAAATATTGCTTAGACAATATTTAAAATCAGGGGGCACTTAAAAACTCCAAGTTCAACATCAAGACAATTGTGTGAAAAAAATTTTGAAAGTAAATCAAAAGGAAAATAAATGATCATTAATCATGTACAACTATAAGTACTCAATATGATATTTTCAATGACATAACAATTTACAAGACAATCAAATTTCAAATATATGTATATATATATATTTATATATAACATTCAATGCGATTTTAGCAGCTGTAACTGTACACCTGTACTTGTTCATTTACAACGAATGCTATTCTTGTTATTATTATTCTTTTTTTTTTGTTTAGTATTGTTTATTTTATAAGTTAAGACATAGATTGGCATCTTATTAGTCACTTTTGGTAGTTAACGATCGCTGGTTGCTGATAAGATAATTTAATTTCAATCGAAATGGGAATTGGCAATCATAGTTTAAAAATCAAACAAAATACTTATATGGCTGTATAGAGGTATCGCAAATGAAAACACAACATCAAGATGTTTGAAAAAGTCTCAAAAAACTAACGAGAATCAAATAAATGATTATAGTATGAAGGAGAGAGATTGGCAAGTTTGAGTTTTGGGTTTATTCAAATGGGCAAGTCGTAACGAATCTTTTAACAAATTTTCACCAAACCAATAACAAAAACAAAAAAATGAATACAACAAAGTAAATGGAGGTGAAAAAGTTGAAGGTTGAAGTTACATAATTTGGTGAAAGAGGCGTACAATGTATCTGGTGTAACGGTGATTGTGAATATATGAGTATACGTATACGTATGTGTGATGATCGGACATCGTCTCTATATATATATGTATTTTCGTATATGTCCGTTAAGAAGAAAATGTGTTTTTGTGGCTGTGTGGGTTTGTCATGAGAAACATGAGCAACAAAGAAATGTTTTGGGGAAAACAAACGCACATGATATTTATATATCTTTAAGTTTTCCATAATTTGTTTATCATTTTTCTTAGTTTTTGACTTGGCGTACAACATTTTGTTATATGTATATGTGTGGCTGTATTGTTGTGTGCGTGTGTGTGTGTGTGTATATAAAACGTAGTAAACTTAAAAGCTCTCAAAGTAAAACGAAAAAGTTTTGAAAACAACTTATAAACCGCTGCTGACTGCACTTATTATTATGTATGTCAATTTTGACTTGCATTTTTCCAAATCCTAGCACCTTAACACCTTTACGCAAAGTGGGGCGTGGGGTTTGGGGTGTGGTAGAGGGTATATATATATATATATATATATACGCTATATATATATATATCTGTATTGGCTAAAAACTATCAATATAATGCACTGATCGATTATTTTGACATTGGGATTTGAATCGATTGAACTGGCTCTGCTTGGATGCGCTTTTGTGGGGGGTGGGGCACTTCGAATTCGAAATTCGGATTCGAAATACGAAACTAACAAACAGAGATGCGAGTAATAAATATGCATTTTAGCAGGTTAACTCGAGAGTCGAGCATCGAGAATCGGGAGTTTCCATTTGGAATAAAAAAACGACACGGCACGACACGTAGTAGGGCAATAGATGTGCTGTTGATACATACATAACATACCCCTGACGGGGGGAGCCCCGTCAACTTGTAGTCGCAGATTGGACGCTCTACGCGAAAAGCGTATCGTATGCCAATTATTGTCATTCAGCACCGACTGCCCAGCGAGCAAGTTCTGCAAGCGAATCGAAGATAACACAATATATATTTTATATTATTATTGGCCAGATTTTTTTGCCATCTTGATTGTTTGCTTACCTTCTCGCGATCGCTGAGCCGCACACTGGCGCGTATTCGACCAGCCACTAGGGCGATTTCGAGTCGATCTGGGGAATTGGATTCGGCACTGGTCAGCAGGAGCAGTCCAGCCGGTCGTGACGTCTTGAAGCGTATCACCAGCTCCTCTGTTTGCGTCTTGGTGCCCTGTCCATTCGCCAGCCAAATGGTCATGTGCTGGCTACCATTGAAGGCCAGCGTGGCCAGCTCACGGCCGCAGGTGGGTCCGCCGTACAATGTGGCCGAACAGTCGCAGATGGGTCGATTCCAGCCCTCGAGGCATGTGCCGCCATTCAAACAGGGATTGCCGGTGCACACATTGCCCTGCACGTGACACGATGGCTTCACAGAAGCTACAAGGCATGGCTCATTATTTAAATGACAAATATGTTTAACGTACACTCACAAAAATATATGTATATGTATAAAAATAAAGGTTAACTGTTTTAAAGAGTATTAAATATATTATTTAGTTTTGTTTTCTTTTTGTGATTACTCAAACCAAAATTTGTGAGGTTTTTCCTAATTGTACACTCACAAAAATATATGACTAAGAATTTAAAGTGATTTTAAAATAAAGTTTAAACGGTTCAAGTAGCAATCAACACATATTTTTTGTACTTGTCCAAAATTCATCTATAATATCGTTTAGGCTTAGGTTCTCCGATTGTTCTAAGTGTACACATTGTGTGCACTAATGTCATGCCATTAGCTTACTCACCGGAGTCCTGGACGCGTGCAAAGGCAGCTATATCGATCGCTTTACCACTGAGGACCAGGTCACGCAAACAGCCAACAAATCCTTGACGTAACGTCGCCGTCCAGATGGCTGCCGGCCAGGCGATGCTGTTGTAAGCCGGGCCCACGCCACCCACATACATGTGGCCATCCAGCTCGAGTATGGTGCCATCGCCGGGTGTACGGAAATCGTTCCAAACCCCATCCACACTCACCTTGGCATCGCGTCCGTTCCGGCGCAGAATGAGATCGTGCCAGTCGCCATCATCCACGCGGCGTCGCGAAGCCCGAATCTTTGACGCACCTGAGCCCAGATCCAGATGTATATAGATGTGGCCATTCAACAGCTCAATGGCAATCAACACGGCCTGTGTGCAAAGTGAAAGTGGACTTAGCAACTCTGTGTGGCTTATAAGGATTTCGAGTACTCGGCATAACTTACGTTCTTGGCGCGTGGCTGTTTGGAGCCAGTTGCTAAGATGATTATGCCATTCGGTTCCTTGGTGCGAAACTTGAAGCTTATCGAGCTCTGCTTGCCCGTCTCCCATGGCGGCAAAACCTTAAAGATAAAATGGGGCTCAGGTTTTAGGCTGAAACCAAACTTTTTGGTTGCTTAGCAACTCACCAAATGCGATTCGCGTGTGGTGAATGTGACCGGATCCTGAGGATCGCCACTGGGACATTGATATTCCAAATTGCCCGCCACCTGTATCAGCTTGGATCCACTCTTGGCCAGATCAATGAGATTCAGATTCAATGTATCCGCCGAGAACTCCACTTTGCGCAAACAGCCCACAAAATTGTTGTGCACCCGAGCGCCGAGCAAAGCTCGAGGATTAACAGCACCGCCGACATAGACGCGTGACGAGGAGAGCATCGTGAACTTGCCAGCAATGTGGGAATGATCCGTGTAAACATCATCCACCACAGTGACGAGCTGTGACACAGAGATGGACATAATATATCTGCCATACACAATTCTAGCTTCACTCATTGAAAAATCGGCCTACATTTTAGTAACTATTAGTTAGAAAGTATACATAAGACACAAAACAGCTAAACTCGAATAAAAAGTACATTTCATTACTTTTTGCAACATTTTACAAAGGATTTGTTCTAAAACTAAGTGTTTGCACTAATACTTATTATAAATGTTCTTCCTATTCACAGAAATTACTTGTAAAAATTAAAAAAAAATTATAATATTTTTGCGATTGTCGATTTACGGCAAAACTTTCTGAATTATAGAAATTGTTTTCAATGTTTTAAAAATATTTAAAAAAAAAATAAAGGAATAACTATTCTTTGTAGGTCGATTTTCATTTTAGAGTGTCTTACTAAAATGTAGGGCGATTTTGTTGCTGAGTGTTGACAAAACAGATAAAAAACGCACCCGACAGAAGCTGGTTATGGACGAGATTTCCTGAATACGCCGATGCACGGTGACCTTGTGCCACTGATGATCGTCAAAGCGCACCTTGGATGGCTTAATATGCATCTCCTGCTTGCCATTGGCCAGGCCCATGGTTAGTGAGACGCCTCCGTCGCGCAGCGCCAAGTTGAGATAGTCGGTGCCGTGTCCGGTGTAGAAGAGCAGACCGTTTGGCTGGCGTGTGCGAAAATAGAACGAAATGGCATCCTGGGCACTGACAATCGGTTCGGCGCCCGTCTGGCCCAAATCGTACGAGAGGAACTGTGTACCGCGGAACGTTGCTTCGGATGGCGCCTTCTCCTTCTCACAATACTGGCCATCGTACTCAAGATTGCGACACTCGCATATTGGACCCGAATCGGTGGATATGCATATACCACCATGCTGACAGGGATCGTTGCGTTCACACGCATCCGTCGTGTTCCCACGAACACCCTACGTAAATTATTTGGAAGCGAATTTAGACAGATGCCCCATATAAAAAGTCATACATAATCGTTGATGCGGTTATGCTGGATATAATAGTTCATTTAGTTTAAAAAGGCTTTCTGTAAGACAACAATTTTAAATATGTGTAACATTCCAAAGAATGCCCAACTCTTTGTTGTGCTGTATTGGTGAAGAAATATTTGTGAGCAACTTTGATGATTTGACAAACAGACCTGAATATTTAATTAACAATAATAATAATTACTTATTTAACAAGAGTGTTATTAGACACGCAGCCGGGTAAATTGAGTTTTGAAGGTTTTTAAGGAAAACTCAACGAATCTTTTATTAATTCCCTTATAATTTCAAGGTTTCTCAATTGAATATTTTAGGCACATTTTATCTTTTTATAATTGAGTGTATATATTAGCATTTACTTAAATAAAGTTCGAGGCACTTCTTTAATCAAAATCTGCACATTCAGACGTGCTTCAATTTTTGAAATCGAACAAGCTTTTGACGTGTTTGCAACATGCAAAAGCAAAATTTTTGTTAAAAACGGGGAATGGAAAAGATGTACGTAAATTAGAGCAAGCCTGTATATTTTATAGGTTATGCGCAAGGAAGTCTTACTCTGCTTATTTAAATTAGTTTGTTGAATTATACATAAATTAAGTAGAGTTCATTAAAATTAAGCAAGTAATTAATAAAAACCCGCTTTTCTACCAAATATCGAAAATATTTTCTCTATTTTTAAGATAGATAGTCCTAGAGTATTACATTTTTTTTTTAAATACATTCTAAATTAAACATTTCACCAGCACTTCAGAAGCAATATTCAAAAGATTGTTTGTATATGTATATTGAGGAGAAATTTTCGAGTAGTTGAACAACTTACCCTCAATCCTCTTTCGCGTGGCGGCATCTCGGCATGGTCACAAGGCGCATCGCCGCACTTGATGTCGCGCGGCTGTTTCATCTCCTGCCGCCTGGTAATCCCACCGGGCTGATCCGCGTAGACCAGATTGCGGATGGCGCCACGGAAGCGTGGCTCAAAGATGACGCTGGGCAAAGCGAGCAGTGCAAGTTTGCTGCTATACCAGTTGGGCATGCCGCCCACATACACATCCGAGTTGCTGGCAAACTTGCCAAACTGGAACTCTTTGCCCTTGGTTGATCGCTGCTGTGAAACCCCATCCACAATCAGTGAGGTCTGCTCATCATTGCGGAGCACCTGCACCTTATGCCAATGCCCATCGTGCAGTTCTCGTCCCACTGTGATGATCTGGGCACCGCCACCCAAATTGTAGCGCAACCGGAGTGCGCCCTCAACCAGTTTCAGTTCAAAGAAATCATAGGTGCCCCCATCATCGGTATAGAGCACCAGGCCATTGGGTTGTTCCGTCTTGAACTCCAGCTCCAGCGTTCCATTCAAACCCGTATACCATTTGCGAAATGTGTAAAAGGAGCTCTGCGATCCGTCCAACTGAAATCCAGCACTGATCGTTATAAAACTGGCCGCCAAACTGACAAGGAGCGCCGTCACAATTAGCACTCGATACGAGCGACGATACTCCACCACTATGGCAGGACCAAGACGAGAACGAGAATTTGGACGTGAACGTGGATGCGGATGCCGTTCGGTTACGGATTCTCTTCGGCGGCATCGCGCCTTATTGAATAGCAAATCGGAGGAGCAGTTGGTGCTAGTTGGTGCTGCATCTGCCTCGGGCAGTAGCCGCGTCCCATTGTCCTGCGAGCGTAACAGCAGCTCGGCGGTGTGATCCCTATCCATTTTGTGAACGTTCTCAATGCTGTGGGCCGTCATTGCCCCAAGTTCATAGTCCTTGGCGTTTATTGTATGTATATGTATGTATATAAATATATGTATATATATGTATATACATATATATATATATCTATATCTTTTTATCCTTGTAGCTCTGATATGTTGCACTTGGCGCGCTCATTCAGTACACACACACAGACACACACACATTGACAAACAGTCACACACTGATAAACGCACACAGAGTTGCGCGCGTAAAACGTAAATGTCCACTTCGTATTCGCCTTCGTGTTTCGTATTCGTATTTCGGTTTCGTATTTCGGCTTCGTATTCCAGTCCTTGACGGGCAGCTTTCTGTTACTGTATTTCGTGGGCGCGTGTCCTTGTATTGGTGTGTACTATTACTACACGAGACCGAAGCACTTTGCAATTTTATCCGTCCGTGTAACTTTCATTGAACTTTGCTTTCGATAGAGAGAGAGCGAGAAAGAGTGCGCGGCGACAGATACAAAGTGTAAGAGAGTAACAGGCAGAGAGAGTGAAAGAGAGTGGAAAGCTCGTATACGCGAAGTTGGCTGCGGCTGTTGTTACGCTGTTACCGTTATCTATTTGGACTATTGACTTCTTTTAACTTTTTCTCTTTTTGCTAATTTTGCCTTGTTTTACACTTTTTATTGCAATGTTCTTGAAGTTTTTGGCATTTTTTACACTTCATTTGCATAATAATGCTAGGCAAATTGCTTAAGAACGTGCACATTTTTTTTCTCTATTGGACAGTTTTTGTTCGTGATTGAAAGCCGTTAGCAGCATAATATGTGGCTAGGCGCATGGGTGGCAAAAGCTCGCCGTTTGCCCCCTCCACCCGAAGCTACGCCTGGCGCTGCCTGGGCGCCCACAAGCGCCTCAACGTACATGTACATACTAAAAATCGGGAAAAATTTTCACTTCTCGTAGGCGAAAAAATTTTATGATTATATTTACAGCATTTACAATTGTTGTTTATTATTTACAGCACATCACCAACAATTTTTTGCTTGTGCGTTAATATAACTATTGATTTCAGCTTAGAGCTTAGAGCGAATATCGCTTACACAATTTTTTAAACTTAGTTTGTAGCACACACTTTTTTTTAAACAATTTTTCAGTTACCTTTTCGGAATTATTAATTTAGCGTTATTTTGTTTTAGTTGAAAAATAAAATAAATGTGTAGGAATTTTTTGCAGAGTTTTTGACCCAAACGGGGATACAAAAATGATGTGTCGAATTTTGTTCAAATGCGCCTTTCGCTGCTCGCTGGTTGTAATATCGATCTGCGCTGCATTCACGACAAGACTGAACTGCAATTTCAAACTCAATTTCTTCGCAGTGCTTCCAATGGATAACGAAAGCTCCGTCTACGTATTAACAGATTGCCAGCATGCGACCAAGGCGACATATCTGATGTGCTACACTCAATATAAAACTCAACAAATAACACTAAAAATGCGAGCATAAAATGAGAAGTTGATTATAAAAATATTTATATATATATAAATATATATATTTATACATTAACAATCTTATTCAATACATTTTGGCACTCCACTTAATCGCTCCTAGATGTATGCTGTGGAAAAGTTCTTGCTTTGGGTTGTAGGGCATCAGAATGCCAAAAATTAAAAGCTCTTTTACTTCGACGAGCCATGCATATGCGTACTAGTAACACACATACACTGAGACATACAAACACACACACGCACACACATGCGTAATGAGCGCAGAACACGCAGGTTCATAACCTGCACCACTCGAAGCGTATTAGAAGGGACAGGATATACACACATACACATGCACATCAACATGCATATACAGGGACTACGGCGACCCGTGTAAATTCCTTGACATTTATCACACACTACACAACTTCGACAGTTCGGCGTCAAACTCGATTTACATTTGCTGCTATGCCTTAAATCGAGTGGGAGTGTGTTCGTGTGTGATTGTTGTCTGGTCGCATTTATGTGCGTGTGTTTAAATGGAACTTTAGGATTTTAGGGTGCTTGTAAAATGCAATTTTGCACTTTGCAAGGCCGACGCGATTTTATTATAATAAATATGTGTGTGAATGTGCATACATTAACGTCACTTTGCACATTTTGTGAAGGCACGCACTGACAATTAGACATTTACTGCAATATTATGCATTATTTGCATTTCATTCAAATTGTTCACGATTTCGAGGACAATATCGCGTTATCCTTGCGGATGCTTAAACTATTTTGCTGCAATGTGCTGCAGTGTGACAACTGAATGAATATGTAGCAGGCAGCTTTGGGTCGAGTGCACACAAGGTGATTCAGGCGAACATTGGAGCGTGAACTTAACGACATAATTTTCTTTTAAAGTTACGGTCTAGCTTTAAGCAATTGAATTACATTAAAATATATATAAGTGCACAGCTTTGGTACATGAATACTTACGCAGCCAAAATAAATTTAAATTTCAAATAGAAAATATTGTACAAAATTCTTAATTATGTCATTTAACTGTTTAATTCAAATTCAAATGCAAGTGTTATAAAATACGCAAAATAAGCTCACCGATCATCTCTTTAACCCCCTCCCCTGTTTTGTACATAATACAATTTTTCGATTCACATTTACAGCTGATTTGAGCTTATCAAACACTTTACAAGACTGCTCAAGTTTACTATCTATATTTGTACGAAAAAGAAATTGAACGAGCTAATTTAAAGTACACCCGAGAACAGAATATACAATTCATATACAAATTACAATAGAATTATACAAAATTATGAATAATAACGTTTTTAACAAAAGGCAGCTCTGTATTTAACTGTATAATTCAAATTCAAGCAGAAGTGTTGTAAAGTACGCGCAACAAGTTCACCGATCATCTCCTTCACCCCCTCCCCTGTTTTGTACATAATACAATTTTTCGATTGACGTTTACAGCTGATTTGAGCTTATCAAACACTTTACAAGAGCGCTCAAGTTTACTATTTTGTATTTATACAAACAAGAAATTAAACGCGCTAATTTTAAGTACACTCAAAAGTAGTCGATTTGTTGACTTATCCACGCTTGACGTCCCCACTTACGTAATGCTTTTAAGTCGCCTGACAACAACAACTCGCCTGATGTCCAGCATTGCGTCCAGATGCCTTCACTCGGAGCGCAAAGTTTCCGTTAAAGGAGCCGGCGATTTGCATATTGTGGAAAGTGGCAGCGGAAAGAGAAGTTTGCTGTTGATGCCCGGTGCTCTGGGCTCCGCATGGACGGACTTCAAGCCTCAAATTGAGCAGCTGCCCAAACTGTTGCCAGATTATACGATCATTGCGTGGGATCCGCCCGGCTATGGAAAATCGGTGCCGCCACAACGTAAATTCGATTTGGAATTCTTTCGCAAAGATGCCGAAGCTGCTGTGAATCTCATGCGTGCTCTGGACAGACCCCGATTCTCAATTCTTGGCTGGAGCGATGGTGGCATCACCGCCCTCATCATGGCCGGTCGTCATGCGGACGCCGTGGAAAAGTTGGCAATTTGGGGTGCGGGCGCCTATCTGGTCGAGGATGAGGTGAAGACAATGCAATCGATTCGCGATGTGGCCAAGTGGTCGCCACGCATGCGTGAACCCATGGAAAAACTGTACGGAGTAGAGCGTTTCGCACAGCTCTGGTCGGAGTGGGTCGATACATTCTGTGCGTTCCACAAGCAGCGGGCTGGCGATCTTTGTCGCGCCGAAGTGGAACAGATTGTGGCACCCACATTTATATTGCATGGCAAGAAGGATCCAATGATTGCGGCCGAACACATCCCATGGCTAAGGCAAAAATTGGCCAAGGTTACCTATCATGAGTTTCCCGACGGGAAACACAATATTCATCTGCGCTATGCGGATGAGTTCAACAAACTCGTCGCCGATTTTTTCAGCGACAAATAAGAAAATGAATTTTTAAATTTTTGTATAAAATTTAATTTTATTTATTTGCTGGCTGCTTATTTGATGTGGGCACGAATGGTGGGCACATAGTCATCATATTGCGCTTGGAAGAAGTTGCCGGCGACGGGCACGCCAAAGTTGTACTTGGCCACATAGTCGCGGATCTTGACGTTGAGGCGACCCTCCAATGTACTACAAAAAAAATAAAATGTTTAAAAACACAATTAGCACAATCTACGTGGGCTGAAATCAAGTTGGATGACTCACGTCTTGTTGATGAACTTGTCGCTGGTGATTTTGTCGCCCTGCTTGAAGACTAGGAAAACGTAGCGATGCAGGCCGGAGCCCTCGGATGGACCAGCGCCGACATATTCGGCCAGCACTTGGCCATTGGCGACCTTATCGCCGGGAATATTGATCACGGCCCAGTGGAGCACCTCACGCATCTTGGGATCCGTGCGGCTGGGCGCATCGGGATCGACCATGAGCAGAGTGTACGAGGCGCCAGCTTCGGCATCCCAGCTAACTGTTGGCTGATCCTTGACTTGAGTGGGTGTCAATTCCTTGCCAAGATCGACCTGAGCACCGGACGGATAGGTGATCGTAATACGAGCCTTTGGCTTGTCATCGATGATGTCGGGAATGATACCGCTGGTGTCCATGTTGCAGTTATTACTTCAGCTGCCGATATGCTCTGTCTGGCGTTAACGCAGTGACTCTACCTTCAAACACGCAACGCCGCCGCTTTTTATCGATCCGCCAGCCGGTCGTCCAATCAGTTCCGCGCACTTTTCGCTGAATGTTCGACCCACCGATAAAGATAAAGAAAAAGACACTGGCCAGCTGATATCGCCGATAAGTGCACTTGTTTCAATTTATTAGACCACAATGACAATAGCATATATGTATTTATAGATTCATATATATACATACACATATATTACGAAAAATATTAAATATAATATTTTACAAGTGGAAGAGCACTCTTAAAAAAGTGAAAAAGAACATAATATTCATTCGTAGGAAAAAATATATATTTTTTGCAACTTTATGAGTGTATATATTATATATTTATGTCTGATGTATCCTAGCCGGTGAACTCCTTGTTGCGCACCGGCACAAAGCCATCGTACTGGGCCTGATAATAGTTGCCCGCAATGGGTTTGCCCAATCCGTGCTTGCTGGCAAACTGGCGAGCACTGAAATTAAAGCGTCCCTCGCGAGTACTGCAAACCGTAAGTTGATTTTGATTAGAATCGCCCCAAGATTTTCAACAATCTTCATACACACCGTTTGTCTATGTGCTGGGGGTCATCAATCTTGTGGCTCTGGCGGTACAGCAAAAAGATGTAGCGATGCAGTCCAGTGCCCTCCGGCGGACCCGAGCCAATGTACTCGGCCAGTTCTTGACCCTGGCTCAACTGAATGCCTGGTATATTGATGACGGCCCAGTGCAAAATCTCACGGAACTTCGGATCAGCACGACTGGGCGCATCTGGATCCACCATGAGCAGAGTGTGCAGCGCAGTCGGCGCGTCATTCTCCCAATTGACTTGGGGCTGATCTTTCACCTGCCTGGGTGTCAATTCATTGCCTTCCCGTACAACAATTTCCGGCGGATATGTAACATGCAATTTGTTCTTGGGTGGCGCCTCATCAACCACATCAGGCACAAGGTCATTCATTGTATATATTTCCGTCTGCCAGGCGACGTGGTAAACGAAATCTCTGTGGTGTGATACTAATATCCGTTATCACTGTGGTAATTTCGTAATTTTTGTTATGAATCAGACCAAATGATAAGGCGATAATAGCTGGACGGAGTTACCAACTGTGCGGATCCTCACATAGGCACACACTCATATCAAAAATATATATTTATTCTAATTAATTAATATCGAAGCGAAACTAAATCAACCATAAAGTTTCGTGGCCTGCTGACTGATATGGCAAACGTTGGCTGTATATAAATAAAAGCTGAACTTTGATCGGCAAAAAGCTCGCCCAGAGAGCGTAAGCCTAACATATGATAGATAAAGCCATATAAAGATACCGATAATGAATACATATAGAGAAATTTATATACATGTCATCAACAAAAAAAATATATAAGACCAAGTTGAGTGTCAGCTACATTTTCATTTCTTACTGATAATAATAAGAGTTCAGTCAGTCAATTTGAATATATATATATGTGTATATATCATGCTTTTTATTTATTAAACAATTCGATTATTATTAACACTTTGAATATCGATATTATTTAGCGCTGATTTACAGGTTTGGTCTACTAAAAACAAATAGAGAGTACATGCTGTGATCAGGTTGAATAGAAATCTAATAATATAATAATACAAATCATAACTATTTGGGGGAATATATAGAGTACAGAGTAGAAAACATGAGCGATTTGAGATTTGAGACGCGCGCCAAGGCGTTGAATATATATATATAAACAATAAGATTACATTATGTGGTAGTGTAAATAATAATAATATATATATGTATTTAATGGTACGTAGACACATATATATATATAAATATATATGCAATTGGATTGAGGCTAATTACGTATAATGCCCGATTGCTGAAGAACTAAATTTTGGAATACGCGACAACATTTGTTCAATTTGATTGAGGAAAATTCCAATAACATCAACTATTGGAAACAATTTCAATTATTTTTTGTCTTTCTGTTTCTGTTTCTCTTTTAAATTCAAGACAACAAATTCAATGTCGTGTATGTGATACACTTGCTCGATTGCTTCTGCTCCACATCCACATTTAACAACGGGTCTCATAGAGGCCGCTGCGTCCAATATATCGCACCCATTTGACCACATCGTGATCGGAGTAGTTCAATTTGGGCTCGAACACTTTCAGATAGCGCACTTTGAAGCCAGACGGTGCGAATGGCACCTCAAAATTCATGGAGATGGGTGGACGTGTCCATTTCTTTTTGGTATCCGTTTCGAGCAATTCGATTTCCGCTGACAACTGTGTTTCCTTCATGCCCGCCATGCGTTTAATCTTCCAGACGATCGCATTCTCCGATGCCTTGTACTTGGCCTTGCCCTTCAGGCAAATCAGCTGCACACCCGACGTGTTGAGTGGTGTAGGTATCTTCACCTCAATCTTTTGGCCGAGCAGTGATGGCTTAAAGTTCGACTTGAGCACCACTTTGACCTCCATCTTGGTGCGTCCCACTTCACGCACAAGGGGTATAACACGGAATGGCAACGAAATGTCTTTGGTTGTGCGATAGCGCATCAGCTCAAATTCACCGTCCGGCGGTATAAAGCTAATCGAATGCTCCGTCTCGAATTTGCTAAGCTTGACGCACTGATGGAACTGACAATCGTCAATGACAACCACCGGTTTGCCGGAACGTGAGGTTTCCGCCTCGGAATTGCCGGATAGACCACGGCCCTTGGACTCCATAACGATTTTGTCGTTGATGCCAAACTTGCACTCGGGCATGCCTAGAATATGGAGTTGCAATTGGATTATGAACTACATATGGAAGAGCATTCGAACTCACCCGACAAATAGGACTTCATGACCACCTTGCCGGCAACGTGAGCCGACAGCACCTGACCCTGTGGACTCATCAGCAAATTCACATACTCCAGCACATCGAGGAACAGTTCGTTGCGTCGATATTTAATACCCTCGCGTCGCCAGCCAATTTGTCCAGTGACTTGTGACGTTATCTGCATTTGCTCCTCCTTCGTAGCCGACTTGATGCCCTGCTGTGTGATGAACGTTTTCAGCGTGCCCGAATCCGTATTCTGTGGATAGCCAAAGTCCAAAATCTCGTCCAACAGCTCATAGATGAGCACAAAGTTATTCTTGATGTTCTCCTCGGATATCTTGCCAAAATACGACTGCATCACCTCGATGATCTTTAGCAGGAACTCAAAGACCATGGCGGCATTAACATTCTGCTTGGTGACTGCAGCCAGCCAAATGTTGGCACGCTAAATGAGAAATACGTGAGATTAGACTGGTAACAACAACAACAGCATCCAGTTGACGTGGCAGTAACTACCAACCTTGATGTGAAAGAAGCTCGTTCGCGCTATGTTTGTCACCGGGGAGCGCACTTGCTGCCGGGCATGGATGACGTTGACCCGAAAGGCGTCCACCGCATTCCGTCCGATATCGTCGCGATAAACACGCGAGATTAGCACTTCTCCCTTGTGATTGTAAACGAACAAGCCACCAATCATTTTCGCAAGTGGGCCTGATGAAAATTCGTACTCTGCAGCAAACCACAAAATATTTTTCACACACAAATTTTGGGGGGTCCACTATCAATTTTCCACACAAAAAAATCAATTGCTCTTGCACTCCCACTTTTTTTTCGATACACACACACTGCTATCGATAGATCAATTACGAGTGCTGTTTTTCAACACTCAAATTCACAATCGCAGCCAACTTTAGGTCTGTACATGACTCTGCGGCTTTGACACAAAACATTCAGAGATTATTTCACTGTTTCTAAAATAGTCAATAGAAGAGACGTAAAGCAAAAGCATAAGCAAAATGCCCACTGAAAATCTGGAAGAGCAGGGTCTGGAGAAGAATCCCAACCTTGAGTTGGCACAAACCAAATTTTTGCTCACACTCGCCGAGCACAAACAAGATGCGGCACTCAAAACCAAATTGCTGGATGCGATTCGGGGCGATAATATGGCACCGTGGTATGAACACATATGCACAGAGCTCAACTGGATCGTGGACAATGAGATGCTGGCACGGATGCGCGAACAGAATTGCATTGCCATCGAACTGCTGGACGCCGCCATTGAGGACGCAGAAAAGAATCTCGGTGAGATGGAAGTGCGTGAGGCGAATCTAAAGAAATCGGAATACTTGTGTCGCATTGGAGACAAGACAGCAGCGGAGACAGCGTTCCGCAAGACATACGAGAAGACAGTGTCGCTGGGCCATCGACTCGACATCGTCTTCCATCTGATTCGCCTGGGGCTATTCTATTTGGATCATGATCTGATCACACGCAACATCGACAAGGCAAAGTATTTAATCGAGGAGGGAGGCGATTGGGATCGTCGCAATCGTCTCAAGGTCTACCAAGGCATTTATTCGGTGGCAGTGCGTGATTTCAAAGCTGCTGCGACCTTCTTCCTGGACACGGTCAGCACCTTCACCTCGTACGAGCTGATGGACTATCCAACATTTGTCCGCTATACGGTGTATGTGTCAATGATTGCCCTGCCCCGCAATGAGTTGAGGGAGAAGGTGGTGAAGGGTTCGGAAATACAGGAGGTTCTGCACGGCCTGCCCGATGTGAAGCAGTTTCTCTTCTCGCTCTTCAACTGCCAGTACGAGCAGTTCTACGTGAATTTAGCCCAGGTGGAGAAGCAACTGCGCTCTGACTACCTCGTTCATCCGCATTATCGGTACTATGTGCGTGAGATGCGCATTTTGGGCTACACACAGCTGTTGGAATCGTACCGTTCGCTGACGCTTCAATATATGGCGGAGTCGTTTGGCGTCACCGTCGACTACATCGATCAGGAGCTGTCCAGATTTATTGCTGCCGGTCGTTTACATGCCAAGGTGGATCGTGTCGGGGGCATTGTGGAGACGAATCGGCCGGATAATAAAAATTGGCAATATCAGGCCACGATTAAGCAGGGCGATCTTCTGCTCAATCGCATACAGAAGCTGAGCCGTGTCATTAATATTTAAGTTACACCCAAGAACATATAAAATTTATTAAAGAAAATTCAAATTATTACAAATGTAAAAACTAAAACATTTATATTATGAAACGATAGAATTTCAAGTTTTCTGTCTTTTTGGTTTTTACCTCTGTCATGTCAATAGTTGTGTCTTAAATTCGCTAATCAAGTGATTATTAACTAAATTCTTTGGAATTCGTTTGGTGTGGGGCGCTGTTCCTATTATTTGAGTATTATTTTGCATGCTTTCCGTTTTGTTTTGTACTTAATTTGATTAAATTGTAAATTTAAATCTAAGTCGCTATCAGCGAAAACTCGCTAGGTGGCGCCAGTTGCCGCTATCGAAAATGCAACGCTGCCTTTGCGCGCATTTTGAAACACTCATTCAAAACTGAATAGAATCAGTGCACATCGGCGCCTTCGTTTTTGCATTTCCAATCCTGTTCTTTGGTTAGATCGCTGCACATATTATTGTCATTATCGACGCTCTTGTTGGCAATATAGCTACGCGCCATATCCTCGAGAGCAGCCGAGTTGCGAATGCCACAGTCCAAGGGTTCATCGTTCTCGTATTTAAGCGCCGCCTCAGTTGCCCGCTGCTGTTGCTGATTGGCCTCGGCAGTGGCCTTGGCAAGATCATGCAGATTCTGCACGACCTCATCAATGTTGGGTGAACTTTGACTTAAGGCCGTCGGCACCATGCCCATGGATGCATTAAAACCGGCCAGATTTTGACGTCGCAAATCGGCCAGACGTGTTGTGCTCAAATTGATCAGAGCATTCATCATGACCTTGTTGCGTTGGTAGTCCTTGCGCAAATGCTGCCGTATCTCGGTGTGACAATGCTCATTGTTGGTCACAATGATCTCGCCGGTGTCCGTTGTGGTCACACGTGCCTTGCAATTGAATTTGCGCGACAGATTGCATTGCCAGTACTTCTTATCCTTGCGCACGTACTGTATACCAAAAGTATGTCCATCGTGAACGAGGAGCGGTTTGCCGCGTTGGCTCAGCATAAACTCGAGCTTGCCTTGAAACCAGTGTTCGCCGGGTGCGACTATAAAATAATACACAAGATTTTGGCAACAATTCAGCGTATGTGTGTGTGTGAGTGTGTGTCTGGTGTGTGTGTGAGTATAAGATGTTTGATGACGGATTTCGGACATTCACAAATGAGCCCCAAAATTAGATTCGTCTCATGCAGATTCTCTCTCTCTCTCTCTCTCTCTCCATTGACTTACCTGCCCCGGCACGAAAAAACGATGGCCATTTAAGTAGTCGAATGAGAGTATGTTTCATTTGCATTTTACAATATACATACATACATACATCATATGTACATTAATGTATCAAATATACATAAATGGTTAAAATCAAATCAAATCAAATCAATCTATAAAACAAAAATACTAACTAAGCGGCGGCTCCAGCCGCACACAATAATAAATAAATTGAACGCCTCCTTCTCTCTTAAATGCTAAACTGTTTCTGCTGCTGCTGCTTCTTAGATGTTCTCAATCTTGAAATTGTGACCGCTGCCAGGTGATATCGTTATGGAGTCGATGACATGAGCTGTTCCCGCCGCGCTTTCCGCTGATCCATCCGCACTCGCATTAATATCCACATGCTGCTCGGCATCTTCATGGCTCGCTGGCGCCGTTGGCTGCGGTGGTGGACTCTTCATGCCCAGCGGGGATTCAGTGGCGTGCATGGAGTGACTGCTCCTGTTCGATTGCGGGCTCTGCTGCTGCTGCTGCTGTTGTTGTTGTTGCATGTGCGGGGGTGGCGATAGTGGCAACAGTGACGCACCCGATGCACCCAGCTCCAAATGGGAATGTGGCGAGTGTTGCTGCTGCTGGTGATGTGGATGTGGGTGCGTCTGTGGCTGCATTGGTAAATGCATCAGATTCGGATTGTGCATAATATTTTGGATGACACTGTTGGACACGGCAGCTGGCAGCGTAGCTGGTGGCGGTCCCGTGCTCATCCCATGCTGGTCTATGCTGGTGTGCTGCGACGATGTGTGATGTTGCACGAGCAGATTGGGCATCGATTGCGTCAGATGATGGTGATGCGGATGATGATGATGCGGAGGATGATGATGCGGATGATGATGCGAACCGGAATGATGGCCTCCGGGCGATGATGCTGGTGTCGTCTGATTGCCAAATATATTGACACCCAAGCGACCACTTGAACCTGAACTATTTCCAGCCGTTGCATGATTCATTTCCAATCCATTTCCGTCGGAGATGCTGCTGTAGTTCGTCTGACCGGGATTCGGATTGGGCGTAACAGTCTGACCGGTGTTGGAACTGTTGCTGCTGCTGTTTGTTGTTGTTGTGGGCGGAAGATTGCCATTGCCATTGCCGTTGCCGGCACCGTTGCCGCCACGCATGTGTGGCATGTGATTGTGGACCCCAGTCGCGGATATGATACGACCGAGATGTGTGATGCAGCGTGCCCGGCACATGCTGATGCGATAGGACTTGCACAGCCAATAGGTCTTCATGCCCTGCTGTGTGGCGACGGTGTTGTTGCGATTGAACACACAATTGCCGTGCAGCAGCGATGTGGTCGACAGCATGACCATGTTGGTGCCATCTAATCCGGAATGCAGCAGCATCAAAATATACGTACAATATTATGGAAGATTAGTGGGTGGGGAAGGCAAATCGTTGGCGGTTAACCAAAAATATGCTTAAAACGCTTAACGCTTAAACGGATGTTATGTACAAAAGGGAAAAAAAGGGCTACGGGCTAAAAAGGTCTGGACGGGAGCGAGCGGATCGGCAAAGCTGTATGTCCAGTCGTTGCGAGCTGTGCAGATTACGGTGGTTAATCCAGAGATGGAAACCACTGGCGGAGTTTTTCTGTTTACTACAAATTCTAATGCCTAATTGAATATAAATGCGTATTAAAACAAAGCAGGAAAAATAAACAACAAGCTTGGATGGATGGCCATTAAATCAATCAATCCACTGATGAATATTTCAGTTTGGGTTCCATCCCTGTCTTAAGCCACATTATCAATTAGTATTGAGGATTAGTAAGTTGTAGGTGGGCATTGTTCATGATGATGTGTGCTGTGCGGATTATGTGTGAACCAAAAATTGTAAAATGTAAATTTCAAACCAAACAAAATAAAATCTATATGCGAAATGATAGCCAAGACAAGCGTGCAACAACAAGCAAAGATGCGAATTGGATTCGATAAACGGAGTGAGGGGGCCACCTACTTGCTGGTATGTCCATGTGATTGGCAAAGTTCTTAGAGTAGTCACTGGGCATATACAGCTCATTGGGGTATTCGGTGGCGGGACCAACGAGGTTGCCACCACCGCCGCCAAGACTGTTGCTGCTGTTGCTGCCATTGTTGTTGCTATTGTTATTGCTGCTGCTGTTGCCAAGGCCAAGGCCAATACCAACAACACCTGGTAGATTATTGGATCCGCCGCTGCTGCTGCTGGGTCCGCCACTGTTGCCAGTTGCCTTGTAAAAGTTATTATAGTCCAAATTGAAGGCGGGTGCAAAGGGATTACGCAGTGTGCCCACAGTTGCTGCAGCTGTTGCCGAGCTGGATGCACCACTGCCACCACCAGATCCGGCTGCACTATGATGCAAGCCGCCAACCTCATTATCGCGCTTCAGGCTGCCCAGATCGTAGCGTGACTCCACCATGGATATGTGCGGTATGGGTGGCAGAAAGAACTCCTCGGGATTCAGAGGGTTATCCATGCCGCTGCTGCCGCCATCCGGATTATCGCCACTCTCCCCAGTGCCAGCCGAGGAGCGACGCAGCTGCTTGCGCGAGTAAATCGACAGGGAATCACTGTTGAATTCCGTCGGCGCAGATCTTTTACTCTGCATATACAAATGATTCACATCGCCAACGGATGATCCTCCTCCTCCTCGACAGCCGCTGGGTGAGGCATTGGGTGTACGGGAATTGCTGGGCATGCTGCTCTTGGCATCATTTCCATCAGCTTTGCCACTTGTGTTGTTTTGGATGCTGCTGTTGCTGCTGTTGTTGAGCTCATCGCCGCCGCCGGCATTTGTCACTTGACCAGCGGACTTCTCCGATGCGCCACTGGAGCCGCCGCCGGAATGTGGCGAGTTCGAATTGGTTGCCAGCCCCTTAATTTGCAGCAGCTGGCCAATTTTCATAAATGACTGCAGCTCTGTGTGCTTCACATTGACAACACCCTGGTACATGAACTCCAGCAGCTCGCACATGATATTAAAGCTCACATCCTTAAGTATAACTAGAATAAAAAAAAAAGAAAGAAGAATGATGCATGAATTGAAATGCCATCAACAGTAAATAAGTGTGGAAGGGATCACATAAGTATTTTCTGCTTTTATTCTTTAAAAAAATAATCTATTCTTTAAGATGACAAAAGTTGTTTATAATCAAGAAGTGTACAAAGTTGTAGGAAATACTTATTTACCGGATACGGTTTAATGATCTATTTTTTGTGTATTACCCAGCTTAAAGTCCCGTATCTGTTTTTTTTTTTTGGCATTGGGAATTTTTTTTGTTGTACTTCTTTTTTGTGTTAATTTTGTATTACGTTCTATATTTATATATAGTACGTATGCATAATTATACGTTTTTCTGTTTGTACGACAACGAAAACATCATCATCAGCATGAAAGGAGGTCAGATTCATAGTGGAGATGTTATCATCGAAACGTTCAAATACTAAATCAATACATAAAAACAGCTACGATAAGAAATCTGAAAAACTTAAATATAAACTCAACAACAGTCGCAGCACACAGCACCAGCACCACAACAAGCAATAATTATAAAATAAGTAGCATGTCATATCATCGCCGGCAACTGGCGCTGCCTTTCGACACGGCCTATGGAAACTGTCCGAGTGTTTCTGTTTCTGCTGAGGCTAAGTGTGGGACTCCGACTCAGACTGCGAATGAAACTGAGACTACTTCTCGGCACAGTGGTCCATATTAATTCGACCCCTGTGGCCCAGTTGAAAATGTCCCAATTCAAAATCTTATATCATTTTATACACTTTTTTTCTGTTTTTGGTTTTTGGAACAGTAACTCGTAGATTAGAACTTTTGTAATTATAATTTTGGAATTGCTAACAAACTAAACATCTATAAAAACACTTATAAAATTAATGAAAATGAATAAACAATCATTAATAATCACAACAATAATTTCTACATGTGAAATAAATACAAGGATTTCGTATTTTGGGCCATTTCTGAAGATATTGTTTTGAAAATGTATTTTAAAAAATGGATTTAAAGTGTAATCATTTTATATAACCCAAAACTAAGATTTCAAAACTACGACTTGTTCCCATTAAAATGAACTCTGTATCCAATATATTAAACATGTTACAAAAAATGACAATTTTATCACAATACGAAGGATTGTGTATTTTTGATTTTGGACCATTTTTGAATATTCCATTTTGAAGACCTATTTTTAAATATGCTGTTTTCTAAAAAAGATGTCATATAAATTGTAGTCATGGTTTTATAGATTTCAGAAGTAAGACTTGTCCTCAGTATCCAAAATATTTAAATTAACTTATAGACAATATAAAAGGAACTGAACAGTATAAATCGATTCGCTATACGCTGAACTTAGTATGCAGGCAGGCACATAGCATCAACATCTAGTTAAAATAATAAAATGTGTGAATAAAGGAAAAAAAAAAACAATATTATCACTTGTTCTCAATAACAATTTCTATATATGAAATCGAGCGACTGGTCTCTCATCATCATCATCTGTTGCTTAATCTGACCGCGCGACGCTGACATCTGAGTTGCTCCGAACGCCGTCATTCGCTATCTGCGACTCGTATCTGTGCGTCGCCACGTCCGTGTTTGTAAGTATTGCAAAGATCAAAATCCGGCCAGTATACGCATAGGAGCAACAGAGAGAGAGACAGATGCAAAGAGTGAGAGAGCGAGAGAGATAGGACTTATAACCCTCAACGATCTGAAAGCCTTACACATGAGCTTGACTGCTGATCCTATATAGATACGGTGCGATCTACATTATCATTTGCAAATCCATTTCGTAAAAATGTCTAATCGATCTGTTTTGCGCTTATCAGCGATAAATATTAACTTTTACGTGTCATTTGCACGTTTTTACAGATCCGTACAATATTTGACTCACTTACAGACACAGATAGCGATACAGATGAAAGCAAGTCGAATTCATCGCAATCGATCGGTTTGGGGACAATGCGACAAAGAGATCCACAGTCCGGGCAGCACAGCATGCTTGAATCTTTCAACCAAATAAACCAATATAAAAGTGGAACGAATCTGTAGATAAACTTTGACTAAAGTTCACGGAGAACGTGATAAATAAGCGTTTGCTCTTGATAAGAAGGAACATTCTCCAAAAATACAAATTACAAGCAACACAATTCGGGCCGATGATCAGCGATCATCAATTGTCGTTGCCAGCTAGCTGGGTTGTTTATGCTTAAAATAAGATGCTTATGCATCCATATGCACTGAGAGAAATATATATATATATGAATGATGTTTGACAAATAGCAAATTTGAGACAAGGCACAAATATTTTTCTATAGTAGGAAATACTTAATATGATTTCGAATTGAGTGATTGCTTTTCACTAATAGATATTTGAAGTCACTGTTCCTTTAATTATTGAATATTGCTAATATACATAGCATATATACTCTAAAATCTTCACATTTTGTTTGTTTTTTTTTCAATCTACTTATAATCAAGATCCCCAAAACTTGTTTTAATCATGAATAATGAATCAAACATGTGATGAAGATCACGCAATCAGTTTTAGGTATATATTTATATAAATAGAATAATTGAAATTTTGAAATATCGAAATCGTACTTCAGTAATATCAATATTAGATTGTGATGAATATGAATATGTAATTGTTTTCTTTAAGTGTACCATGCATATCAGACAAAGCCATTTCTGTTTTATGCCCTGAACCCCGCTGATCTCTACTGATATCACCATGTGGAGCACCAGCACAGAACAGAACAGAACAAATGCACAGAGAAATCACAGCTTACGATATATAAGTAAGTATTTTTTTTCAATTCGATTCCAGACCGAATTATTCTTGTGACAACACCCAATTTCTGAAAGCCCGCCCACTTGAGGTACAACGACCAATAAGATTGCAGTCGATTGCTATTGAAAACAATTTTATTTTATGATTATGATAAATGTTTATCGAATCAGAACGCCAATAGGTGTTTTTTGTTATTGTATTTATTATTGTTGTCGTCTAACGCTTGTGCCTTCTGGAGTGGTCTGTGTTTGGCTGTCGCATTTCGACAATGTCGACACACTCCAACATTCATAAATAATTGTTATCTGGAAACGCCATATTAGACGGGGCAGTAGTCGTAGTCGTAGTGTTAGTGCCTCTACAACAATCCGATTAAAGGTGAGACCAGCGCTTAACTGCACTTTACCACGTATGCCTCCTTCTAAGATATCAAAATATATTAGAACCTTGATTTACCATATATGGATTTGACAAAGGTATAAACCTCATTTTGGCAACATATTTAACTGAGATCTTCAGCATAGCCTTCAATGAATGATTTAGGTTTATATAGTTTCAGGGTACTATTTTGAAAATCCATTCCTTTATTACTATATATACAAATATATTGTATATACATATATAATAATAATAATAAATCATTTAAAATACAAATGTATCTTGATCGTTTTAAGAATATGAATCAGAAGTTTTGTTTTTATCTATTTTTTGAAGAATGTGCAGAGGGATGATAAAAGTTGATTTACTATGTGTGTCATATTTTGTTAAATATGGAATAATTTACAATGATATTAAGGCAGACGGATAAGTTAGATTTATATTCAAAAATTACATATTTTGTTTAAGACAATAAGAAGGATTTGGTGTGATATTAATTAGATATATATTCAAATATGACAAATATCTATATCATCAAAGCATTGGCTCAACTTTACAAATACAAATATTTCACAGTACTTTAGTGCTTATCGCATATCGTAGCTATGTTATAGTAAGGAATGTATTTTGGGGGGCATTAGCTAAGGATTTAGTCAGAGCGATAAGTAAATCTATTTGTTGCTACTACAGTTTGACTCATAAATTACCATTTGACAACACAAGAGCCTAATAAAAACTGAAGAAAATTCATATGCTCAAAGTCTGATATTATATGATACGCTTATCTAAATGTGCTCCCGGTTAAAAAACGTAATACCAACTGGGAGACAAGGGCGTGCATTTTAGGGGTAAATAAAGAGGAATTCCAAGTACCCGATAAACGATAGAACAGAACTGGTTGATTGAAGGAAACTGTCGGCATCGAAATGAAGTGTACAATTTCACATTAATTGACAAAAATATGTACATTTTTGACCTCAATTTACTTTCCTCAATTTTCGAAAATATTTTTTTTGGCAAATACTTTAGTGCTTTTTACTACCTTCATAAATGGATTATTCATATTTATATTTAGGCTATTTTTACCGTCCCCTATATATAATTTTTGAAGCTTCCTGAATACGCCGCCCCTGCTACTAGTTTAGTATTGTTAGTCAGTCATAAAATAACAATGTGTTTGATATTTACGACAAGTTCACCGGTCGATATTATATTATCTTCATTCATTGTTACTAATATCAGCAAAAAAAAAAAAAAATACAAATAAGAATCAGCCACAGGCCTCGATCGTTGGGAGTACTTGAAGAGGAAACTATGGGTTTTAGCCAGTCGTTTAATTGTATTTTAGGTTGTATTAAGTGGCAATAGAACACACGCATACACACACACACACACACACACACACCACTGAGGCTGTGTGTGTGTGTGTGTTATCTGGCCAACTGGCCATAAGTCGAAAATCTTATTTTATGATTTTTTAAAATGATACCCAACAAAGCAGAGGCACTAAATACGAAAATAATGCTGATAAACACTCGAAGCACCAATTGCTCGTATTTATAACACTAATAATAAAACTTAAATAAAAATAGATAATAAACGAGGATTAACGTTGTACGAGGCCACACAAAATGGCGTAGATAAAATAGAAGTGGCTCTTCTCTCTCTGTATGTGTGTGTGTATTGGTCTGTTGCTCTTTAAGTATTTTGTATTTGGTATTTTGTATATTGTATATATATCGATCGTGACACGGCAACAACTGTAGAAACAACAACGACAAGGGCTATATCAATAGAGCAATTCATATCGCACAACACCAACCAAATGGAGCACCCCTAATCAATATCTCGAAGGAAAAAAAAAAGAAAAACACTTCTTCGAGTGGTTGGGTTGGGTTTTGGTGGTGGACACAGAAGTGCCGTTAGACATAGTTGGGCAATAAATGATTGTTCAGCGCGATAAAAAGATAAAATGTTTGACTTTTGTAGTTGCTGCTGTTTTTTTGTTGCTGTTGTTGTTATTGTTGTTATTTGTGTGTAACACGCAGCAGCAGCAACAATAGCAAGTAAATCATTTGGCTTGTTAGTTAGCACCTTTACTTTTTGCCTTATGACTTCGTTTATTTATAATAAGTTTTTTTTTACGCAAAAGCATTATTTATAGCGTATATTAATATTCTTTATCTTTGGAAATAATACTTTTGTTGTGTTGTGTTTGTTGTTGTTGTTGTTAGGTAGCACATTTCTACTGCTACTTGAAAGATAAAACATAGTTGTTTATTGCCGCTTGATCTGATAAAGCCACCGTGCAGCAAATGTGTGTAGAACAACCCGGTGAGGCAGGCAACAGGCAACATAGGCAAGTCAGTCAGTCAGTCAGGCGATATCATATCCATGTTCAATTCCAGAGTCCGTATCGCATAATATCTAGGTTGAGTTGAGTTAAGCATTTGATGTACATTTGATGAGGTCAGCAACGCACCAAACAGCACTTCAAGTGGAGCTTTGCAACAGGCTTCTTATCAAGGCAGCAACTGTATGTGTGGCATGGGAGTTGGAGTTGCAATTGGGGGAAGGAGGTGGAGTTGGAGTGGGCCAATAACTCCCCATTGGAACTGCAGCTAGAGACAACGTGGCGTCAACAACGACAACACCTCAATGGAGGATTATCTATCAGCTGTGGCAAGCAATAACAGTTAATTCTGTTTGATTTTTGATTTATTAGAAGCAGATTCGAAAGTGATATTTAAATGAGGAATATTTGCTGTGATCCCTCTAACACTCTAATTTCTAATATCTTTCATTACATTTGATTTATCTGTGATCTTAATAAATTGACTTCTCTCTGTGATCACTTCAATAAATTCCATGCAGCTTTCACTCCAAACTAAAACGCTTCTAATTTCTAACAAAAATTTTAAATAATATTGATTATAATATACGCTTTATTTTAGATTTGATTATTTTTATAGATCATTTTCAAAGGGTTAGTTTTAAGATGATCTCAATCAAAATCAGTTAGTCAAACGCATGACTCAATGGAAAATTCACACTAATTCTAATTTCTGTTAGCTTTTACTATATTCTCAGACCGCATTATTTAGTTGAAATTTTATGATTTTTCGAAGAAATAATTTTGTTGGTATTTCAAAAATTTCATATGCAAAATTGAAGCAAATATTAAATAAATGAAATAAGAAATATTCCCGAAAATAAGATGTTAGAATTTAAATTCATTTCTGGGCAATGGATTAGGTGCAATGGAGTAGGTGCAAGGCCGGAAGTCAGACGAATATAGCTATACATATTTATATATTATATATATATATGTATAAATGTAAGTAGTACGTATGATGAGTGCACACACAGCTGGTGAGTTATCTCGATAACTATTCAATGTGACATCAAATTTATTATAAAAAAAAGAGTTGATTTATATCGGGAGCGCTGTGCAGGTTTTTGGGCACCCGACAAGTGACGGGCGTGCTTAGATAAACTGACAGGTGTGGACAGCGGCCATATCAGTGATAAAATACAAAAAAAGCACCAATTGTTCGACATTTGTGTGTATTTTTAGTGTATTTTTATTATATATGTATGTCTGCTGATGGAAATCGCCGCGTAAACATTTTGGGCAAACAAACGCATAACTCACACAACAAATGCTAAACAGCAAATCAGAACTTGTGAAAAGAACGTGCCACAAACGATAACGTACATAAATATTTAATGGCTACTTACTGATGGGATGCTGGCAGGGATTGGTCGTGAATATCTCTTGGAAATACGGACTGCAAATGGCCAGTACAATTTTGTGTGCCTGCAGCAATTTGCCATCGCAGGCGAGGGTGACATCTACCAGATCTCCTCTGTCGTACAGATTCTGGAAGCCGCTGGCAATATTGTCCTGGAAGTTCTTCCAACAGAGCTTAAACTCATCGTCCATTGTTGTTGTTGTTGTTGTTATTACTGCTGCTGCTGGCTCTTTGCCTGTTTGGCGGCGTTTCACGGCCCAGCCAAGAGCAAGTGTATTTTATTTTTTATTTATTTGCCACGCAAAACTGTTTTATAATTGGGATTTTTTTCTGTTTTGTTTTTCCTTTTTCTTGTTGAAATTCAGAGAAATCTGAGCGTTAGCAAGTCTGTGTTTTATTGTCGTGATTTTTTTAATGATTCTTGTTTATTTGCTTTGGGGCAGTCATTCGTTGGTTCGTTCACTTTGTGGCTGACATTCACAACTGATGCTCCAGAATGTCAGGTAGAACATAAACACAAAAGATATGCAAAAAGCACGCTCACGAACGAGCGCCAAACGCCGTCGCACTCTGAGTTTTTGGATGCGAATAATAATGTTGTATTATTTGATTGAAGCAGATGCTGGCTGCAAACGTATTTGAATTGTGTTTCTGTACAACGTTCCACGCGCACACGAACCGTCTGCGTCCACAGCCACATTGACTTTGATTTTGGGTTTTAATTAACACTTTTTGATTTAAAACATTTTTATCAGAAAAGCGTGAAATGGCAGCGGGCGCTGTTTACGTTTCGGTTCGCTCGCCGTTTCTCCATCTTAAAGTGGAAGAGAGAGAGAGAGAGAGAATGAGAGAAACTAGGAATCATGCGCACAAACAAAACAGCTGTTACGAAGCAGTGCTGTAAATCGAACAATATATTGGATGGCGGGTAAAATGAAATTTAAATGTCGCTCATAAAACTTTAACATATCTGAAAAATGTCGCTGCTGGAAAATCCACATTATAAGCTGATAATACGCATACATTTAATAAATAAATACATTTTATGTAAAATCTATTCGATATAATTAATCGATACATTTTTGTTGGGAAATTTTCAGGCGCGAACTGTATAATTCATAATTGATAAAGGCTTATCTACTTGTAAAATTTCACAGACACAGTCGACCTGGCCTATGCGCTCAAAAAAAATACCGTAGATAACCCACTTTGTATATATATATTTTAAAACAAAAACAAAGAGTTCTTATCAGAAAACTGTAAAACGATTGTACGTTAACTCTATGCATGTATTTATGTAGATAGATACCATTGCCGATTGGTCACCGGTTTGATTTCTTTGATTTAGTATTTCAAAAACTTTCAACTGTTTGGTAGGGGCGTTTCTTTCGCACATCTTTCAATTATCATGGGTTGTTGTTATAGTAAGTAAAAAATATACATATTTATCAACATCTTAATGTGTATTTGATTTTGAAAAGGTAGAGGTAAATCAGTTGATTTGCCAGCTGTGCCACCAGCGCCAGCTAAGCAACGGACGACGACATTGCCGGAATTCCCTGGCACAAATGCGATCAATGGCTCCTCCGGAAATGCTGCATTTGGTGAAGGCGTCTCCAACAGAGCCCTCGAAGTGGACTAACCGAAACAACAATTGCAGAATTACACAGTACTGCATTTGAATTATATTTGAAGAAGAATTGAAGAATGAATCATCTAATATCGTAGTAATTTTCTTGACATATAAACTGTAATAAATTAAAAAAAAGCTTAATAACTTATTTAATAAAAATAAGTAATTGTTTTAAGGACTGTGACTCGGCGCCCAAAAACAACATTTTACAGCACTATAAACCCAACTGTTGCCGAAGCGCGCACATGATAAGAATGGATACTGAAAAATACTCGTGCAAAGTAATCGATATGCAAACTGCACAACACGTGCATGCCGCAGTTTTTGTGTGTTATTTGTGTTCAACGTTTTATTGGGTTTTATTCGCTGAATATTTATGAAATTCCATTTAAAAACAGTTAAAAATGGCAAAACAAACGAATAAGCGTAAAAGAAAACACGAAACAGCAGTCGCAGACCAGACGGACGACGCTGAAATCGCCGTACCAAAAAAGTTGGCAAAGCAGTCAAAAAAGGAAAAAACCAAAGATGCAAATGGAAACGTCGGTTTAAAAGAGGAGACTGTTGAGCAGATCGAGGAGGAGCCACAAGTGCAGGCTGAAATTGAAGAAACGACTGATACCCCATCCATAAAGAAGAAGGAAAGAAAACCTCGCAAGGATCGCAAAGATGAAGCTGACACCAGTCCCGATTCGGGCATTGAGCCGGAGGAGAAACTGATGCGTTTTCCAAATGATTTTAAAATGCTGCATTTTCGCAGCAAGCTGCTCGGCAATAACTTTATAACGGGTGAGCAAATTCCACATAATTTCTAGCTTTTATTTATAAGAATTTCCACAGAACTGCGCCACTTTCTGTACATGTGCGAGCAACGTCCCCGAATTGTGGCGAAGTACATTGAGAAGCGTGGCAAGCCACTGGAACTGGCTGAAGCCTTCAATCGCATCGACACAAGCAATGTGCTTCATGTAGGCTACCTGTGCGAGGCATTGCAACGCATCATCATGGAAATACTGAGCAATCAGAAGGAGCACCTGGAGTCAGCTGCCCATGCCGGACGTTATTTCCTCAAAGCGCATGGTGCGTTGCTTGAACAATTGTTGCACTCGAAGCAACCAAAGCATCGGCGTAGCGCACTCAAATTGCTTACGGCAATTGTATGCTTGGATTCGCAGTTGGGGCGGCAGGTGTTGAGCTCCTACGATATACTCTCGAATGTGCGCATCATGGGCGAAATGTTGTCCCATTCAAAGCATGACAAGTACGATGAGGACACCGTGCGCAAGGCTTATATTCACTTTGTGCTCGCCTTTCTCGTCGATGGCAACGAGCTGCTCATACGCAATATTCTCGATCGTGCCCAGTTGATTCGTGTGCTGGTGAAGGGCCTGTACTATGATGATCATGTCACCGCTTGCGTTGTGCTCAACACACTGCGCCAATATGTCCTCGAGAATTCCAGCATATTGAAGACGAAGAAGGTGCACGTCTTCGATTTGGAATGTTGCAAGTATCTGCGACGCCTCTACGATTGGGAAGGACCTGCGGGTCTGGAGGACAGCAAGAATAATGAGATCGATAAGAGCATTATGACTGAGGAGCGAGATGCAGTTGCTGCAGCTGCACATCAACTGCTGCTGCTGCTGTTCACGTCACGCAAACATGGCATCACCTTCGACGCGATGACCAACTATCGCCAGAAGCACAACAAGCTGCAGGGCAAGATTTTGGGCAGCTTATTTCGCCCATATGCTGATGAACGCAAAACGGAGCTCATCTTGAAGACACTACATGCTTGTCCCGATCTCGGCAGGCATACGGTGAGAAATTTCGCCTTCTTGGTTAGTCCGCAGCGTTTGCAGGCCGTTGATTTGCCCAAGGGAATTGATTTGCTTGCCCAAATCATTGGAGCAGTGCCGCCAACATCTTTAGCTTTGGCCATGGACAAAATGACGCTGACCGATTTTAGCTATTGGATCAAGGAGCTATGTTTGCCCATTGAGGCGCTGCTACACATCGTCAGCAAGAACATGCTGAAGAGCCCGGACTTCCAAGTGCGTCTCGCTGTCAATCGCCTGCTCCTCGCCATGATGACACAGTACAGCAATTATGTTGGCGCTGTTGCTCTGCGCGAGCAATCGAAACGTGCTGGAAACTCATTGCGTAAATTCAAATTTGAGCTGCTGAATCATTTGCTCATAAATTTTCCGCCCATCGAGAGTATACTGTACTCACTGTACCTCAGCATACAGAATAAACAGGAGCAGGGAGTCAATGTACTGGCTCATCTTTCGGTCACTCTCGACCTAATCCTAATCATGTGCAAGGATAATCGCGCTTTTGTGAATAAGACCAGTCAAATTCTTGACTATTTGGATGTGCTGCGTCCGCTCTATGAGACTAACTTTGATGAGCCACTGCCACAATCTAATCAAGATCAGCCCGAACAGTTGGACAAGGTGCAAAAGATTAAGCTGGAGCTTAAATCGATTAAGACGATTCTGTTGCTGTTTCCACGATCGCTGCATCCGCAGGAGAAGCTGTTCGAGAAGGTGTTGCGCTCCTTTATCAAGGCCTACATGCTGGACGATGCCACCGTCCAGTTGGAGGCGGGTGAACTGCTGCACAGTCTGTTCCAGAATACGGGCATGTTTGATTCCTCAAGCTATGAGATTGACATCTGGCTGGAGGCCTTAATTGGCTTCGATGCCGAAACCGTGGACATGGTGACAAGCATTTTTCTCAACATACTCTCACTGGATCTGTCGCTGATGGAGGAGGAGTTGCCAACATTAAATACGGCGGAGACCGCCAGCAATGTGGAGAATTTGCGACAGCTCTTCACCCAAATCGAACAGGGTCAAACGGTGCAGGCATATGTGGAGACTCTGACGCTGAGCAAAATGATGCCGCTGCTGTTTCAGGGCGTCACCATTGAGCCACCCTACGATGCCTATGTGGAGCTGGTGTGTGTGCTGCTCCATCAGTATCACACCAAACCGGAGCAGGTGCAGCAATTGTACAACTCTCATTTGTCCAAGCACATGGACTATATGCAGCAGCCGACTGAGTTGCCCGCAACTATTGCCCAGCACTGGCCACAGCTGGCAGCGTTGCAGCAAGCCGTGTTGGGCGAGTCCGACAAAGATTCCTTTGATGTCATCTTCAAGGGCACAGCAGCAGCAGGCGATGAGGATCACTTTGAGCTGCAGTTGGCTGATGGCGAACAGTTGCACTTGGCTGGGAGTCTGCGTAATCCACATCGCAACATGATCTATGCACACAATTTGCTCTTTATGCTCACCCAACTGGTTACCAGCCAGCGACTCAAAGCGGATCAATCGGAATTCATAGCTGATTCACTTATCAGACTGCTACAGATTGCATCGCAATTGGATGGCAAGGACAACAGCGCTGAAGTTGAGCAGCAGGAGCAGGAGCAGCAGCAGGAGACGCACACGCAGCGATTACTTCACTATATTTACGGCATTCGTCTCAGCCAGCTGCGTGCGACGCACTTGCTCAGCGAGACGAGCGAGACGCAGCTGAACTATGTGCGATTCCTGCGACGCCTCAGCGAACATTGTCGCAGTCTGGCCAAGTTTAGCAATTACATTTCCCACTACCGACTGCAACTGGTAATGGCATTGGAGATAGCCGTAGGAAATATCAGCCAATTGCAGGTGGAGCAAGTGACGCAGCCGGCACAGTTGCTGGAGTGTGTTGCCCTCGTCGATGCCTTTGAGCTGAGTGCCGGCGAATGTGTGCAGATGTTGCAGTTGCTCACGAGCCGACTGCAAGCGACGCACTACCTCAAGGCCCATCATTACTATGATCTTCTCCTGCGTCTGTTGCGTCGTCTCGCCCAGCTGCCGGAGCCCGTGGACTGCAGTGAATCCCTGATGCAGCTGCAACAATATTATGGTGAATTTTGCCAGAGTGCACCCGCTGAGCAGCTAGAACAGTTGGAGTTGGCTATGCTGGAATTTCTGCTTAGCCAGCATCATCATCTGGCCGGCTGCGATGCCGCCTTCTTCAGCTGCTTTTTTTCCACAAGCAATCGCAAGCTGAGCAAATCCGCTGTGCGAATCGCCTGCCTGCTCCTGGAACGTAATCCGCAGTTGGCTAAGACATTTGCACAACTGCTGTCGGCGCATGTGGAGCAAAAGGAGTTGATCTATCCACTATTGGATGTCGCATTCCGTCGTGGTTATCATCAACAGTTCGAGGAGGCGACGCTGCTGCAGCGTTGCTATCAGGTCTACAAGAATGGCATACTCAAAAGCATTGAGAAACCGCAGAAGGCTGCGCTCATCTATCGGGAGCATGCGGATGCGAGTGCAGCATTAATTGCCCACTGTATGCCCAAATCCGAGTGCTTGGATTACTGCCACAAACAGCTCAAATTCGATGCTGTTGAGCTCTTTCAGATGCGTGTGCTGCGAGAGATTTACAGCCAGGCCTACGAGGCCAGCAAGGATGAGCAGCAGCAAGCCAACATCTTTATTAGCTATATCCATCTGAATGTACAAATGATGGCGTTGGATTTGAAGAAGCAATCTGTGCAGCTGGAAAAACTGGAGCAGCTGGCCTATGATTGCTACAGATGGTGGCAGCAGCTGGGGCAGCAGCAGCTCGATTGGAGTCGCCTATTGAATGCGCCGCATTGGCTCAACTTTTGTCGCGGCTGCCTGAAACAGGCCATGCACATGGCCGAGGAGCAGCAGCGCACCCCTGAGCAGGAGCACACCAATGGTTTGCTCCTCAAGCTGATGGCTTACCTATGCGATCAACTGTACGCGGATCAGAAGGCGGAGCAGGAGGAGGAGAATGCCAATGCAGATGCTGCTCTGCTCTACGAGATGGCCTGCACCCATTCCTGTTGCTATGACCATCTGCTGGGCGAGCCGAGCGCTGTGAAGACGCATCTACTCCAACTGCTGGAGACGCTGGCACGCAAAGCGCCCGCCGCTCTCCACTCTGCCCACATACCCGTCATCCTGGGTGCCTATCATGCCCGCCTCACGCCCGCCGATCGCTATGCCCTGGCGCTCCTGGAGCACTACGAACGCTTCGATGTCGGTCTGAGCCAGTATCGCCCCTTCATTTGGGGCGAGAGCGCTGTGGCGCATTATGCACTGCGTGCCGTCGACGAAGATGAGCGCGCCAAGCTGCAACAGCAGGAGACGAATGTGGCCCAGGTGCTTGCGCTGATTGTGCGGCAATCCTCGCAGTACACCATCGAGAATTTTCCCATTTGGCGCACACTGCACGCCAGCCAACAACTGCCTGAGTTGGAGTTTCTTAATCCCGCCAGCAAATCCCATCGATTTGGTGACAACTCGCTGGAGCAACGTGTGGAGCAGGGCTGCTCCACATTTACGCAGGATCTGCGCCGGTTGTGTCCGAAGCGTGAGGAGATCTATGAGCGCTGCTATGATCCGGCCTTTATGCTGCCACTAATGATGCACTGCTTCGCGCCCGAATCTGTCGTGCGTGCCCAGTGGCCCGTCCAGAACGGACTGCTCGCCATGAGCTTCTGTGCTCTGTCCTCGTTGGACAAGGACATGCGTTTGGCGGCGGCGTGTTGCCAGCAACGCTATCGCACCCACTTTGAGCTTTCGAAGTTCTACGAGAAACCATTGTGGACGCAGGCCTACGATAACATCCAGTCGGGTTTAGAGGAGTTGCGTGACTCGTGGCTAGCACAGCGTCGACATCATGGTGGCAACCCTCGAGTGCCGCTGATACCCGTCCTCTTCATTGCGCACAGCTTCAATTTGAGCACGGATCCCACGCATCTGCTGTACAAGCGCCTGATGATGTATCTGCAGCTGAAGCAGAGCTTCAATTTCCAAACGATACCCGAATTTAATATATTCTTCTACTCGCAGGAGCCGGAGCATCAGCAGTATCGGGAGTTCATTGTCCAGCTGCTGAGCAATGGCATCAAGTGCAGTGCGGATCTCTTTCTGCTGGTGTCCACCAATACGTTCAAGGTGCTGCTCAGCTTTTATGGCTCCCAGTTGGGCACACTGGACACCAATCTGCTGCTGCTCTCCGTGCTCTCCACGTGCGTGAAAATACCTGGCGCCGTAAAGATTATGCTCGAGCATGTTGGCATTCTCTCCTGGTTGCAGGGCGTCATTCGTGACACACAGTTCCATCAGTTCGACATTATCGAGGGCATCATTAGCATTGTGAATAATCTGTGGTTTGCCGTCGCCGCCAGTCAATCCGAGTTGGCGGATTATGATCACATCCAGCTGCGCATACAGCGTGTCCTGCTCCATCTGTTGCCGTTGCTGTCGCCACGCATTTCCATAGCCGGCCTGGCTCGATTGTTGAATGTGCTCGCGAAAACATCCGCCAGCAGCAGTGGTCAGCAATTGATCGCACTGCCTGCTCCACAATTGGATCTGTTGCTCGACTGCTGCTCCCGCCACTGGCCAGCACAAATCGCCAGCGTGCGGCATATTCGAAGTTATGGCGGCACCTACGCCTCTCCACGCATCGAATACTGCGACTGGCTGGCCAACGATCAGAAACTGGATGTGCATTCCGTTCTCGCCCTCTTCAGTCTGCGGCACTTTGTCAGCCTGTGGTGGCAGGCGCACAATGCCCCAAAATCACACCTGGACCAACTTGTGTGAATGTGAATAGGCGCAACAACTTCTTAGTCGGATATTCAATAGTTCTATAATAATCATGTTAATTATATAGCTATAAATGTGTTGATAATATATATAATTTTGCATTGAATGAATTTCGTTTTATATGGTTTTAATCTAAGGGTTCTTCTTGTGTCTATTTCTTAACATGATTATCAGATCTGGCAAAATGAACTAATTTTAGATATGTGTTGTATTAGTTTGATATTTTATTTTCGATTCATTATGGAATTAACTATATATACATACATATACATGTGCATATATGCATATGAAAGAAGGAATAAATACTGGCACTTAAGGTGATTTACTTGACTTAATTATTGTGTTGATATAATATTGCGCATTTGCCGAATGGCAGTCACGAGTCGCGGCTCACAGCCACTGCTTAGGTTCAGATACTGATCCGGGTCGGCTTTGAGCAGCGTAAGGATCTGTGATAGCTGCAAATTGATGGTTAGACCGAGTTCCTCGAGTACATTCGACAAGTACTCAATATCCACGCTGAGCTGTGTGGCCGAGGAGGTGGGCAACGATTTGATTTGCAATATTTGTGCCTGAAACATCACACAGCATTGGTCGACTACCAGGGAGAGTAGGACATCGGCACAGGGAATCGCCTGGGTGTACTTGATATTGCACAGTTCCAAGGCTTGCTTGAGCAGTGCCGATGGCGCTAGAAGCAAAGGTTCCAGATGCTGTGGCAACGTAAGCAGATACTGGCCAATCTGTGTGATGCTCTCCTGCGGAGCAAAACTGAATGTGGGCATATTAATGCCCGGCGATGGATACGCCTCAACGGGTGGACGGATGTGCGCCAAATGCACCTCGATGGGCTGCAACAATATATTCAGTGTAATGTCATGCGTCTCGGCCAGATAGGTTTTAAGTGTCGTGTAGATCTGAGGAAAGACGCCCAGGCTATCGGCACTAGTCGCCGCCGTAGCCTCCGCTCGCCTCTGCACATAATCCCCAATGTTAGCCAGTAGCTGCTTGTGCATCGTCGGCTCACAAGTCTGGTAGATGGTGATCTCATTCGGAGCGACAGGTTGTTGCAGCTTGTTCGCCAAGATGGCCATGCGGGAATGGAGCATCTGCTCAAAGTGATGCAGCTGCAATTGGAAATCGGCCAGACACTGCAGCTGCGACATCGTGTACTGCAGCAGTGACCAGTTCTCGCTGCGTGCCGTACCCGTGCCGGTTCCAGCTGCACCCAAGCTGAGGCTTAGCTGTCGCTGGGTGCGACTAAAGTTCTCCAGCTGTCGCTTGAAGATGCCGTTGAGCACAGTGATCAGCTTGCACAGAGCCAGATCGTTGGTAATGGAGGCGCATCGAGTGCAGGCCTGTTGCAGCCACTCGTACAACTTGCGTGTGCTTTCCTCCAAATGACGCACTGCATCGCTGGGCGTTGCCTGATTGGAGAGCAAACGATCCACTTGGGTAGACAGTTGAGTTTCCTCCAGCCGTGGATATTGTTGAATAAACTTATGGAAATATTCAAAGACAGCTTCAGCCAGCTGACGATGTAACTCGGGCGACAATTTAATCTGTGACTGCTCCAGCGTAGAGCTCAGATGAAGCACAAAATTCTGATTGGCCTGTGCATACTGGGCTAACAGTTCCAGACGCTCGTTGGAGGTCTTCAACAGCTGCAGAATGTGGGCATCTCGAGTCGGCTGCAGCGCTGGCAGCAGTTCAGCGATAACAAGGAATGGTTGCGATTGAGCTTCCTCGTCGTTCTCTACAAAAAGTTGAACGCACCATTTGAGTTGGCGCTGACAGTGATCCAAGAGTTGATCGTAGAATAGCGTGAGAAAATGCTGTTGTTGTGGTATCGTCTGTTGCGACTCGGCGACGACCTGCAACTCGAGCGCCTGTTTCCACTGCTGTTGCAGCACGTTCTTCTGCACGGCACGATAATATTGCTGCAGCTGTGGCAATCGCTGAATGCTGGCAAAGATTTGCACATGTCGCTGTGCCTGCTCCAGATTTGATTCGGCAAAGCATTGCACCAGACTAGGCGATGCCATTGCTTCCAGCCGATTCTTGAAGTCCTCAACCTGCGTCTGACGTTCGGCATGCCCGGGCAGCTGTTCCTGCGCCTGTAGCGACTTCTGAAGCGCCGTCAACTTGTCGCAGACACCCTGTATTAAAGATGAATGATAATGTGTGTTAAAGATTAATGTAAGTGTTTCACATAGATTGAATTGTCACCTTCAAATCGTTGCGCTCGAAGCAATCTTCCAATTCCGCCAGCAGGTTGCCCCAGCCATCAGACTCCTGCAGTGATTCCTTAGCAGCCTGCAGCTTACTTTGCAGCGTATTCAAGCGTTCCAGCGTGGCCATACAACCACCCGTCTCCTCCTGCACAGCTGCCACTTCTTGACGCATGGCGCTCATCTTTTGCTGCAGCATTGCCACGTCGGATTGAAGTGTTGCCGCCTCCTTGGAAATGCGTGGCATGCTGGCCACCACCTGCTGGCTTGACTCCTCGACGGCATAGTTAACCTGCTGCACGTACAACTGCAACTTCGCCACGTAGCTTTGGATGAACGATGTGGCTGAGGCTGAAGTGCTGCTGCTTTTGCTATTGCTGTCTTTCTTATGATTTTCATCTCTATATTTCCTGTAGTTGGCATTGATCCAATCAGCGGCAGAGAAACTTGACTCTGACAGCGCCGAAATATCCATTATTAACACAGATTATGTTTATAAATACACAGTGTTTTGAAAAACTAGAAGTTACAGCTGTTAAGTTGCAGTGCTGGCAAATGTCATGTAATTTTTCTTACTCTTTCAACACTGCCTTATTTCCACATCATTTTATTATTGTTGTGATTAAAAATGTATAGGCTAATTATTTCGATGATAACAGATTATATGTATATAAATAGAGAAGTATGATTTCAAAAATTACACCAGCCTCTCTTGAGTAGTTACCAGCTGTTAAGCCTGCAGTGTTGGCAACTGTCGTAATCTTTCTTACTCCTTACAGCACTGCTTAATTTCGCATTGATGGTTTTGCGTTTCATGTTATTATTGTTGTGATTATAAACTTAAAGAAATATAAAAAGAAAATAAAATGAAATCTTAAACTGTAAACAAGCTATAAAGCAGGCGCATATTGTGTCATTATTTTCCCTTGTTTTGTGTTTTTTTTCTCACCCCCCTTTCCCCACATACGTACGTAGAGCGAAAATTGGAAAAACTACAAAAGGGTGGCAAATTGTTGGACTCCCTGCAGGAGAAGAGAGAGGATTGTATTCGAACCCTGCTGGCCGCTGACGGTGTGCCAGCCACAAGACTCGAGCAATTGTTTGACTTTGATTCGCCCATCGAAAGCGGCCGTTTGCATCGTCATCTAATTCCCGTGCAGGCGGTAACAGTGGGCGAAACACTTCAGATTGTGAACTACGACGCTCTCGAGGATCAGACGCAAGACGAAGAGCGAAAGGAAAGCAGCAACCAGACGTACACGAAAAGGAAGTCATATAGAGTGGCGTATAATGGACTCAACGTTTGGCAAAGTGTTTTTGTTTCTCACTGATTTGGCGTGGAAGAGTCGCTTAACCATACCAGTTCTAGTGACGACAGCCTTCCTGGTCATGGACATTCGGCTGCAGATTGAGATTAATATAGAGACGGGTCAAGTGGTAAACACTGTGAAATCTGAGTCCTACTTTGCCATATTACTAATTGAATACTTTTGCCTTGTCCACACACAGAATGCCAGCGATATGGAGGAGGCCGAGGCCTTTGAGGAACACCTGATCGGTGGTCATGATTTGGATGAGGAGAGCGAGTATTCGGATGATCTCGAGGATCACAGCGAGTACAGCAATGGAGATGGCGGCAACACCAGCAACAGCAGCAACAGCTTACGCTACAGCGTCGATAACTACGATGATCTGGGCTCCGAGTATGATAATGAGCATGATATTGAAGCTTATTTTGTGAACGATAGACATCTAGCTTCCACTTTGAATTTAAATTAAATGAGTAATGCACGAGATGATATTTACCATATATATAAAATTAGATATATAAATATATATATGTTCATATGTATGCATGCCTATAGTAAAGTATGTAACGTATATATGTATTTCGGTTTAATTATAATCACAAAAATATGAAATCAGATCTCAAAGCCAGTCAATCGTTTTGCATTTTTATTCCCATTCACATATAAAGTTTGATTAATTCGTCGCTAACTGCCGATGGTGTCAATATGCCCAGATCGGTGAAGAGCAGCGTGATATATGCCGGCGGCGTATAGTCCACCAGTGGATGCACCTTGGACACATCATTTAAATGCTTGCGCGAGTACTGTAATTAAATTAAAAATCGAGTATGAGAGCGAATCTTAAGCTTGGACCTTGCTACTCACCTTGTACTCATTGGGCAGATCTCTTTGATTTAGTGGGTAGAGGCGAGAGAACTTGAAGCTCTCGGAGAGCACATAGAACGGTTTCTTCATTTCGCGCGCACACAAACCCATTGTATAGGACCCGATGCGATTTATGATGCCGCCACTCTCCACAACGGCCTCGGCGCCGACCATAACGAAATCCACCGATTCCATCACATAGCCCGTGGCCGAGTCCAAAATTAGTGTGCAATCAATGCCCATCGCCTGCAATTCCTGCACCATCTCCTCACTGAAACGGACCACCAGGCATGAGATGAAATACTTTCGACTGCCATTTGCAGTGTACCTACCCAGAGTTTCCTGTACCGCCCTGCGTCACAAACACGTGAAAACTTTTCTTGTTCTGCGATGCTGCGATCAGCGCCTTAAGGACGACACGGGAACGCGAATGTGTCAGGATGCGACAGCCATCGCTAATGAAGCGTTGTGCCTGCTGTGAAATGACCTGTCGTGAATTGAGCAACTTGGTGAGAAAGATTTTGCCACGATTCAACATGATTTGGCGGCACTCCTCCATGTGCTTGTCATCCAAGCTCAGTGTTATAAAGCGACAGAATAACTCCCCGGCAGAAACGATGGCAGCAATTGACAAATCCGTATTCCGCATGGCTGCCACTGCTTCGCGCATTGTGGTGTGCAGAATGTGTATGGTGCCAACTGAAAGTATAACTTAGATGACTGATATAAATGTATATATATTAATATATACGTTACATTGTTTCTTTTCCAATATCATGAGCAGCGTTTTAATTGCCGCTATGCCCGAGGACATGTCCTTGTCATCTTCCAGCAGTTGCAGAAAGTACTTGACCACATCTGAAAAAGTTAACAAGTTATAAATGAAGGAATTATAAAGTAATTTCAGCTGCTTACCAAATTCTGCGGCAGACTGCGTTATTTGTGGCATTTTGACAGTCGTATTGCAACTGTTGTTCCTCGTTATCAACAATTATATTCGCTGCTTAGAACAGCTGTTTTCGTTAAGCGTGGTCGCTACACGTCTCAACTGACTGACCGATGGTCATATATAAAAAAAATTATTAAAAACATTTCATTAGACTAACCAATTGATGAGCTACAAGTATTAAATAAGAATTAAAAATCATTTATTATTATTTATGATTCATTAAAATTGTTGTTTTGTTTTTTGAGCAGTGTTGCTGCAGAAGAACATTTGGCTCGCTATCCAACACTGTGTGCCGGGGCTAAAAAGTAAACAATTGAGAACATTGACAAATCTTATTTTCCTTTATTTCGGCATACAATCGTCTCAAAATTAACTAAATATGTATTAAATTAGACAAGGCGAAAAAGCAATTGAATAGAGCGAGTCCAGCGCAGATTTGGTAAATGCGCTTAGTCGTCGACGTCGGCAGTTGGCGGAGAGCGAGCGACAATGTTTAAACTCGAGTCCTATTTAACACCAATTTTGCTCAACTACGTGGCGAAATATGTGAAGAACCTTCGCGACGAAGATGCCCAGATATCGCTGTGGGCGGGCGCTGTTACCTTTCAAAATCTCGAGCTGCGTTTGGATGTGCTCGAACAGGAGCTCAATTTGCCCATTGAGCTCGTCTCGGGCCACATACACGAGCTATCCATTCTGGTGCCGTGGACCAAGTTGACATCGGAACCGGTGCGGATTGAGATCAATACTATTGAGTTTGTCGCCAAGCTGCCCAACGAGGAGAGCAAACAGCGTCGCGCCTCCCTGCTGCACGAACAGCGACGCAAACGCAAAACGGATGTGACCAGCGATGAGCAGCAGCAGCATGCCTCTGGTGGCGCCACCACTTCGGGGTTGGTCAACAAGATCATCAATAACATCAATTTGCAGTGCCACAACATCATACTGAAGTATGTCGAGGATGACATTGTCGTCTCCATGAATGTCCAATACCTGAACTTCTGTGCCGCCGACGAGAAATGGCAACAGGCCATGGTTGATGCGAATCCCGTCAATGTTTTCATCCGCAAACTGTTACAGGTATCCGATTTGACCATATGCCTGGACAAGCGGAATACGGCTGGACGCATTGAGGTGTGCCAGGAGCCGGTACTCTATCGCTGCACCCTTGAGGTCCGTGTGCTCCTCAAATACAACGCGAACACGGTCAGCACTTCGAGCACAACTCGAATTGGTGTATTTACCAAGTCGCTGGATATCAATGTGTCGTCGCTGCAGCTGCCCATGGCCATGAGATTGGTGAAAATGCTGTTGGAACTCAAGCCCGCCGCCATGGAAGAGGACACCTTTAGTTTGGTTGAACCAGTGGATTCGGGGAATGTTCCCGTCTCGCCACCTAGCAACGAGGCTTCAAGTTCAATGCTCTGGTGGGCATGGAACCTCTTGCCTAGCTTTGAATCAGCGCCAGCTGCAGTAACCGACGAGGATCCCATTGGTCATAGCTTCGATATTGGCGTCTATGCGGAGGAATTGAATTTTCAGCTCAAGAACTCGGAGCTAATAACCGACCAAGCTATGGGCGGCATTAAGCGGATACGCTATACGCCAATCTTGCGTATTAGTTTGGGCGGCATTTACTACGAGCGGTCGCAGCTCAAGGAAAACGACTGGACGAATGTAAGGGCGGGCCTGTCCAGCATTTGCATGGAACCGCTCGGCGTCTATCGCAGTGATGATCCCATGGATCGCAGTTTAGTCAACACAAAGGAGGTAGTTGCATTCTTTTACACATATTCTTATACTCATCCGTTGATCTCTATCCTCTTTTTTGTAGTTCCTCAACGAGCGAGCTTTTATCGACAAGAGTCTGTTTGATGAGCAATACATGTTTGCGGATCGGACGTGGTGCAGCAGCAATCATGATGATTATTTTGCCCGCAACACCGACGAATATATGCTCTTTCGCAGTCCAGTGCTCGCCTTTGACATTGTCGAGTGCCGTGCTGTCCGGCCCAGTAAGAGCGCTGCGTCATCGGAGGCACAGATGAGGGATATGGGGCTGCGTGTCAAGTATCGGGTGCTATCGGCTGGCATTACATTCCATTTTTCGCAGTCGTTTCTTCAGGTTAAAAATGTAATTAGTGATTTATTGCGTCCATACGATTATCCAGGATATCATGCAGAGTCCGAAATTGATGGCATCAACACACCAGTGACCAAGAGTCAGGAATACAAGAACATGTACATGACGTATGCGGATTCCGAATACCTCATCGGTTTCATGCCCACCTGCAATTACAAGATCGAATTACGTGACATGACGGTCAAGTTCTATCCCCGTCAGCAGAGTGCGGACAGTTCGTCTGCAAGCAATCAGCATCGGTTGAATACCACTGTCAATCAATCCCTGTTGCCCTATTTACAGCTAAAGTTTAACTTGGCCGAGGGTGTCATTTGTGGCCCAGCGAATCCGCAACGTTTGGTGCATTTGATTGCCCATCTGCAGGATAAGCCGCGTGAGATAATCGACTCCTGTTACAATACCTACAAGTTCAATGTGAAAAATGTCACGCTGATGGCAGTCAATACCACACCAGAGATGGGCAAGGCTAAGCTGCTGAATATACCCAGCATGCAGGTGCAGTTCAATCGTCTGCTTCTGCCCGATCACTGGCGTCGCAATGTGACTGCTCTGGAAACGGCCGAGATACAAACGGAACTGGTCAATCTGGAGTTCTCCAAGCGTGAACTGGTCCTCATGAGCAGCATCATACCGTTAATACTGTGCTACGATGGCGCCCAGTTGGGCGTTCTCGCCAAGATGGTGGCACAAGCCAACAACACCACGGATGTAATTCGGCTGCAAACGATGATCACCAAAGTCCGTCTCAACTATCACAAATATCACAGCCACTTCAGCGTGCTGTTCTCGTTGCGCAACCTGAACGCCGATGTCTATCACACAATGATGAATATGCGCAACGTTGTCTTATCGACAAAGAAGGGTGCTGCCAACAAATGGCTGGAGTTGCAGTTACAGTTCCCGCTGGAGGAATACGAGAAGAAGCACAAAAAGATACCCGCGACGGCGGTCTGTCTCTGGCTGGAGTCTTTCCGTCTAACTCTCGATATTTATCTGCTTCAGTTTCTCAGTTCTTTCGAGAACGTTGAACTCTGCATAGAGAATGGTAAGTAATATATTTAATAATCGCCCTAGAAAATTTGAAATGGTGAATTTTTTTCATTTTTAAAAAGGTTTTCTATTATTAAAAAATGCATTTCTAAAAATGCATTTAGAAAGACGACATAACCTTCTATTCCATCTATTTTATAAATTTACTTTCTGAATAACAATTACAGAATCCTTTTGCCACCAAAAGTATTTATTTTCTTAGTTTATGTCTATGATATTTATAGTGATTATGATATATTTTTAATCACTATCATCAGCCAATATCCATATACCTAACATAACTGGCAATTGTCCAGATCAGATATGCATGGAATTGGATTGGTAATCTACGTATTAATTTCCCCTTTTGGTCTGTTTGCAGATATCGAAACGGACTTTGATACGGTTAGTCAGTCGGAAAGGTTGGCTTCGTATTCGACGGTTTCGTTTAATTCAGTGCCAAAGCTGACGCAAAGTGAAGTGAATGTGCGTCGGGTGAGTCGCACAAATAGTCGAAAAGTCTCCATACCCGCGGAGACAATACACGCGAGTTCCGAGCGCGATGAGAAGCCGGCTACGAACGCTGAACCAGTTAAAGCGGCGTCCGCAAGCGAAGTAATCACAACGCCGACGGGCATTGATTTGGGGCCGCTGATGCGTCGACTTAGCACAATGGTTGTGTTCCTCGAACTGGCCCAGGGCCGGATCGATGTGTGCGAACTGATGCTGCGCAAGACCAGCAAAGATTTGTCTGTGGAATACACTTCGATTCGAGTGCTGCGCATGCGCATCAAGTCAAGCAGCGGCGACGATGTGCTACGTGGCAATATACGCACCACCATAATGGTGTCGAACACGCCGGACCTGTGCAATTTGTGTATGGAGTTCAGTGACTTTTATGTGTGCTATCGTCGGACGACCAATACTGAAATGATTCTCGAACCGGTGCGTACAACCATCATGCTGGCCCTCTCTTCCAAGACGGCCAAGAAGCCTGCACCGTCGCGGAAACGTCAAGATTCGTTTGTTGAGGAATCCAATATTCAGACGAAGTCTCGAAAAGTGGAATTTAACCCGGCTAGTGAGGAAGATCCCGTCGAAGTCGTGGAGTCGCCAGACACATACTCAATTAATGTGCACGTGGACATGTCAGCGATAAACATTTTTGCCCGTCATGTAGGTGCTTCTTTTGTAATGAGTGTTACTATATTTCTAACTATTTCCATTCATAGATTAAACTTCTGCACGAGCACTATTCGATCATAGCTGCCATTCATAAATCGTTGCGTCTTTTGGCTCACAATAAGCAGTGCCCTGAAGTTACCAAAAAACAAATGATAGAAATTTACACAGGTAACGCACAGAATTATCCCATTATGAAGGAGTTCCTCGACCTGGATCCCAACTTTGAGCCGCCTCCTAGAGACACTGGTAAGCTAAAATGTTTCTCAATTTTTATTAAGAGAATAATAAATTTATTTCGTTTAGTTGGAAAACCCGAGGCATCCGTGATATTCTTTTGCCAGTGGACTATTCCACGGATCTCAATAGAAATGGAAAGTTTTTGTGATCACCGGCAACGCAAGTTATTATTAAGTTTTGAGGATCTGTTGCTGAATGTCGATAGGCATGAGGATTTTACCAAAATCACCACAAAAATGGAAAACGTCAGCTTGAACTACTATGAGGCGAAGGTCCTCAATGAGTGGAAACTCAAGGATAATTTCCACATTAAAATGCTGGGAGATAGTACGAATTTGCCACTGATTAGCGTTGTGGTCACAACTGTCAGTCTGCAGGATTTGTTTTCGAAAATTGGTGCTCGCAATCTTGACAAGAAACGTCGTACAATTTCTGAACTCCTCATTGAGGTGCAGCCAATTGAAATGATATTGGATCTGGATTGTATCACTGAATTTTTGATATCTCAATGCGAATTACTTGAGATAATGCGCACCGCTAATGGCCGGGATTCCAACACGTCTCGAGTCCAAGAGACCGGCATAACCACAGTGCAGGATCTGCCGATTGTGCATCTGAACAGCAAGGGTATCTATATATATGTGCCAGTGGAGACGGGAAAGAAATGCTGCACCGTCCTCTTGATGCGGGTAAGTGAAATAGCGAATCATGAGAAAAATGACACTATATTTATTTAATCTGTATTCTCGAATAGATTGAGAGCATTAAGCTGTCGCCGAGTGTGGAGAATCCGCTCGTGCGTCATCCTATACGTCAGGATATCTACAGCAAGGCCGCTGAGCTTAACATGCTGAGCACGCCGGGTGCCCTTGTCGAGGATCGCCAGTACGAGTTGAGCGTACGACAGATTTCCCTCTCCTCGGGCAATTGGCTGCAAACGCAAAAGTATCGCTTGGAGGAGACTTTGACAAATAAGCATAGCAATCCGGCGCTGGAGTGGAACAGCCAGACGCGTTCCACAGCACTGGAGTACATGGATATATTCAAGGATTTTGATTTCATAACTGTCTATGCGCCAGCCATTCGCTACGATCGCTTTCTCGTTTGTGGCGAAAGTGTCGAGTACAATTGTGTGACGGACTTTGTCGCCACGCTGAATACACATCAGATTCAACTGATGTCCTGCATTATGCAGCGCCAGCAGCGATTGAACAGGTGTGTTTTTTTAGTCCCTCTGCAAACTGTAATAATAAATATATATATATATATTTTATAGCACTTTGGATCAGATCTGCACGAAAAAGGACACACCGTTCGAGAGTGTTTCGTCAACTTCCACACGTTCCAATAAATCACACAAGAGTTTAAATGATAAGTGGTCACAAACCTATGCTAGAAAACGTGCCACTATCTTGCCGAAGACTTTCTCGAGTGCAAAGAGCACCACGGACACTGTGTTCGGCTCCTGCCAGAGCGATTCTGGCATTAATATGACCAGCAAAGTGCGCATAGCGCAAACACAATCTTTGGGACATAGCGCACTAGTCCGACATAAACTTAGCTATCCGCGCAGCGTCTCTTTTGTGGCTGGCATGTTTGCCCTGAGGGTCTACGATGTACTCGAGGTGGAGGAGCAGATGATGCTAAAACCCTTGCTACTCGTCACCATATCGCAGCCCAGTTTTATGGCAACGCAAACGCTGCGTGCATCCATCACACAGGCTTCAGTTTTCGACTTTAGCATATACTTGGCCAAGTCGATGGCCGAGCGCGATTTTGTCAGCCATAGCGAAGCGTTGAGTGGCCAATTCACCGACCCGATCTTCGAGACGCAACCCGGCACTCTGGGCAGCTCCGGAATTCCACCGCCGCTGTTAACCGTCAAGGCTCACACGGATCGCAACCAACAGGTCGAGGTAGATGTTGAACTGTGCAGATGGATGGAACTGCGGCTGTGCGAAGGCAACGTCAAGTTGCTCACCGACGATCTCATTCACATCTATGGGTTGCTCCAAGCAACGCCCTACTTTCCACAACGCAGCGAACGACCCGTGGTGTACACAACCCCGCTTCGGCAATTGAAGCTGCACTGCTTCAATGCGGATCGATTGCATCTGTCGTGCGATCGCGTCACCGTTAAATTCTACGATGAGCCACAAACATATTGCTGCAGTGCCGTCTGCCTCGACTTCATTGCCCACGTCAAGTTTAATGCACGACCGCAAAAGGCCTCCATCAAGTCGACGCTGGGCTCCATTTATGTACAGACGGGCGAACGGATTTTTCTGCATCCGTTGCTAATGCGTCTCTCTGCCGATCTACACAGTGAGACGTGGTGCGATCAGCTCCTGACTAGCATCACCCTTAAGCTTAATGTGCTGCACGTGGACGCCAGCATTCTGAACATTGTCCATATGCGCAGGGCACGCGATGGCCTCTATAATATTATGACACATTTGAATCGGCAGTGGCAGCATTTCCTGCAGCATCGCCCCATGCTGGGTCAGCCGCCGGAGGTGCCGCCGAAGAGGCTGGCACAGTACACACCCTCCCACGACGCGATTGTACGCTCCAAAACGTCGCACAAGCCGAAGCTGGAATTCTATCAGGATGATTTACGGTCGGTGTTTATTTTTTTTATTTATTTTTTGATTTACCTGACAAATATTTATTAAATTTCATTTATTGCATTTGCAGTGCTGGCGCCTTTCAGTTTGTCTATTTGCATACGGACACAATGCTGCCGATGCCTTACCAGGTGCAGATCATCAAAAAGAACTATGGCATCATTTGCTGGCGCTATCCACAGCCGCGCCAGATGAGCAGCATACATATCTATCCCGTGCCAATGCCGGTAAGCTGATCCCGCAATCACCAAAATCAATCATCAGTTTTTTTTTCTATATTCCCATTTTGTGCAGGTCGAGAATCCCATACATATCAAGTGCCGCATGGAATACTTTAGTGAGACGCATGAAACCTTTTTGCACTACTGCGATTTTGAGCTCTCCGAGATTTTGAGCAAAGAATTGACGCCACCGGAACGTAATATAAGCGCCACCATTTGGCGAGTGGTTATCATGCAGTCTCTAATCTCTGTGGATGGTACTTGCTTCGATACTGATGAGGACGAGGAACTGCAATCGGTATGCTTGCTGCGCATATTTTCTATTGTTTATAGAAATTGTTAATTCAATTTAAATTCACAGATTGATAGCAATCGTGTCATGCAGGATTTTAAGGGAAATGTGGACAATGATTTCATATTGCATCCAAAGGTGCTGGTTGGCTGCATGCGCATCGATACCACCTTTCATTCGGCGCTGGTGCCGAAATTGCAGCTGCTGCTGTGTTGCCAGCATATGGAGTTGAATTTCTTGAACCAACCAGATGTATCGGATGTGTTGCCGTCGCAGCTCAAGAAATACAATTTGAGACGCACTACGGACATCACACAAACGTTTCTCACGTGTCACGTGGACAATCTGCAGCTGCATGGATCAATCTATACACGTACTAATTACAACGTCGAGTTGGACTTTCGCAGTCGGATTAAATGCCTCGATTATGGCTACCTCAATATGCTGGACATCATGGAGCCGATGAGTTTCCATAGCTACTTGAGATACAACAAAAGGCAACATTTGCTGCACGCCAATATTTTGTTGGACAAATTGCGCTTCAACTGCAGTCCTTGTGTTATACACACACTTCTCTGTGCCAAATACCACTGGCAGGAGCTATTGCAGGAGCGCCATATTGTCCACACTCTGATGCCCAAATGCGTGATTGTCAATCGAATGCAGACGCCTCTCACCTTTGGTCAAACGGGTACCGATGAACGTATCTCGCTGGCGCCACAAGAATTGCGTGCATATTATTTCTGTAGTGATTTCCACTGCCAGGAGTTGACGTTCTTCATCGAAAATAGTGTAACGAATCAAGTGGAGATCAGCGATTCGGTGCACATTGCCCTCAAGTTCGATGATGATGATCTTGTGCGTCATTTTCGCATTGGCCAGCATTGCATTACGATCAAACAGCGCAAGTTGTCCGCCACGCAAGTGTATATCCTGGTCAAGGGACAGATCGAGCTGGTGAGCATGGTGCCCTTTGAGCTGCTAACCGAATTTCGCAACGAGGGCGTTGAACAAGCTGAGAATCCGCTGGCCCATTTGCTTGCTGGCAAGGGACGCATCTCCTTCTTTCAGACGGTGGTGCGCAATGCGGACATCACTATGCGGTTTGTGCTTTGGCTGAAACTAATCTTGAATTCCATTCGTTCATTAATCCCTTATATTGTATAGCCTCAAGCTGGGCACGGGTCATGCCAAGGGACGCACCGGTGACATTCCACTGAAGCCCAATAATAGTCTGCCCTGGCTGGTAAAAGTGCCAACACAGTTGCCGCAACAGTTCATCAGCTTGTGGGTGCGAATTCTGCGCGAGGACATTGCCCTGGACAATGGCAATGACAATGTGGACAATTTTCAGCCGCAACGGATACTCGTCAGCATTTGGCCCATCTTTGAGATCTGCAATTGGCTCAGCTGCGAACTGCAAGCAACGGAGAGCGTCACTGAGGAGCACTTTGCCATTCACGGCGAGGGTGGTTGCAAGGCCTTGAGCACTCCCACCACCCATTCCACTGAGCATTGTGTGAAATTTGATTTTCCGTATGTTTGCCGTGCTCAACATGCTTGAATCCTTAAGCATTAATCTTTAATTGGTTTGTAGATGCGCTCTTGGTTCAGCTTCGACAAGCGAATACACCTTCATGTTGAAGTCGATGGATTGGCACAAGTTCTTCCACTTTGAGCCCGCGGAATGGACGATTGAGCAGACGTTGTACAAGCTGGACAAGTCACCGAAACCCAAATGGCCGCTTAACAATGCCGAGGAGCTGCGAATTCAACGTCCTTGCGAGCTGCTTAACATGCTGGACTTGCAGTATCGGGTGCAGGCAACCCGCGAATTCTCGTGCACACTGGGACTGGAAATCGCCGCGTGGGGAACATTTATCAACGATACCGGGTTCGATGTGAGCATCTGTGTCGCAAAGGAAGCTGCTCGCTACCAGATCAGAGCCAATTGCCTGGAAATGCTGCCGGTGATCAATAGCCACTTTACTGTCGATGTGCCCTTTGGCTCCAGCTGGATTCACTCGATGCCCATTTGCATGGAGAGTCAGACACAAGCAGCAACACCTACTCCATCTGGTGGCCGCCATGTCCTGCTGCGTGTTAATTCCTTTGTGGACATCGTTGTGGTGCGCAACGATGATGTTGTCCGCATGATGCTCGACTATAAGCTGGAGGATGGACGACGGGTATTCAAGCTGCGCTCCAAGTTTGTCATTGCCAACTGTACGGATCTGATGCTGTATGCCCTGCCGCTGACCATGGATCACAAAGAGACCGCGGGACGCGTCGATGTTAAATCGCTGGACATTGCCAAAAATATACGAATTCTAATCTCTGCCACGGAAAAGCGTAATACGTAAGTGCCTCAAATGATATTTTATAAAGGATGATTATGACCTTTGCATCCTAATAGTAATATTGGCTCCACCATCGAGTTGTTTCACGATTTGAATGCGCGCAAGTCGAAGCACACCAGCGACACAGCATTTGTCTACTTTGTGTGCTTTGTCGTTAACGGCAATCAGGACATTTCCATACCGATTCCATTATCATTGCCGTTCACTCGTCGCTGCTTCAGTCTGCAGGATGGTGCCACATCCGTACCGCTAATGATAACACTGATCGAAAAGGACAATGTCTACTATCTGAATGTGTTCAGGGATACAGCGCCTGCGATTATAATCAGCAACAATACCAGTCTCCGGTTTGTGGTTGCCCAAACAAGCGCCTCGGGCAACAGCAATGTGACCTGCACCACGCCCGAGTTTGCCGGGAAGCACTTTGAGTGGCACCAGCTGATTGCACCGTTTAGCAAGTGCTACTACACACCGCCGCAGATGTATGCCAATTTTCCCGATGTGGAATTCACCATGTGCAACCTGTCCCTGTCGCTTTACAATGGTTTGTTTAATATTTATATTCTATTTGCTTATTATTTTTATGATCAATATATATTCTTTTAAGATGAATCAAGCAAAAGCAAGTTGATGTGGTCGAAGCCGATACGCACTGATAAATCGTGGAAGAAGTTTATACACGTGCCCAATCATGGTGACATCAAAGTGGTCATCTGTGATAAGCATCGAGCAATACGCTTCAATATCTACTACATTGCACAACAGCTGGAGTTCTCCGTGAAGGATTTACGCTCACGCCTAAAGCAGCCAGAGGACGCACAACATTTACTGCAGGAGAGTGAAAAATTTGGTACGGCTGCACCAACAGTGGAGCAACCAACTGATGTGGAGCCAGTACGCAGAGCACCTGATTGCATTCACTTCAGCGATGACTGCGAGACGGGATTGAAGATCTCGTTGCGTTTGTTCCTCAAGAGTTTCGTGTTCAGCCTGCAGACGAACGATCGACACCGGGATTATCTCAAGACTGAGGTGTGCAACATGTATGCGGATGATCTGATGTTAGCCTACGATGATGACGATGAGCGAAGAGAGCTGCATCTTCAACTGCCCAATCTACAGGTCGACAATCAACTGTACTCCACTGGCAAATATGATTTTCCGGTGTTGCTGTGCGCCCAGCAATTGTACAAGCGCCACACGGGTTCGCCGCAGGTCTACGATCTGGATGCGATCTATCAGCGTCAAGCGCAGCGTGTGCCCATCTCCCAGCTGTCGTTTGTCTTCTACCAGGATGAACTGCAGCTGCAAGCCGTACGCTGTGAGCTGCAGCCACTGCGTGTCTACATCGAGGATGCGTATCTCAATCAGTTGCTGGACACACTGGTCGAGTGCGCCCCCTCCAATTGTGTATACACACCACAAACCGATTGCGAACGTATCCAATTGGCAGGAGGTCAAACCTTGTTGCCGGAGCAAGTGGTTGCCCAGGCGCTGTACATTGCGGAGCCACTGCGTCTGAACAGTTTCATTGTGGAGCCACTTAGTCTGTTGCTCTCGGTGCACACATCCTCACGTCTGTATATTGCATTGGATCATTCGCCATTATCCTTCTCCCGCTATGAGCGTCAGCAGATTCTGACGGTGCCGCTGCGCTTTGGCCAATCCCTGGGTCTGCACTATTTGAGTGGAGCTATTTTTGGCGCCGGCTGGGTGGTGGGCTCACTGGAAATATTGGGCAGTCCCAGTGGTCTGGCACGCTCCTTCACTACGGGACTGCGTGACTTCGTTTCGATGCCGGTGCAGGGCCTGTTCCGGGGTCCGTGGGGTTTCTTGGTGGGCGTTACACAAGGATCGGCTTCGCTGCTGCGCAATGTGACGGCCGGCACGGTGAATTCGGTGACCAAACTGGCCGGTTCTGTGGCTCGCAATCTGGACCGTCTCACGCTCGACTCGGAGCACATTGAGTTGACGGAGGCACGGCGCCGGGCTCGGCCACAGGGCTTTGCGGATGGCTTAACGCAAGGCTTGACGGGATTGGGTATTAGTCTACTGGGCGCTGTTGGCGGATTGGCGCATCATACGCTGGAAGCGCGCAGCTCAGTGGGTGTCCTGACGGGTCTAACCAAAGGCATTGTCGGTGCACTGACCAAGCCCATCAGTGGTGCTGCTGAAATGTTGGCGCTCACCGGGCAAGGTGTTCTCCATACGGTGGGCTTCAATACGATGCCACACCAGGTGGTGCCGAGTGTAACGCGCAATATGGCATTGCATGCCAGCTCCTATCGTATCTGGCGTCACCTGCCCGAACAGTTGAGCAACGATCAGATTCTGTTCTTCCAAGAGATCACGCTAATGCTGAAGGGACAAATGCGTCCCGCGCTGCTCTTTGTCACCTCAACACTGCTGGTGATTATGGAGCGGCCAGGCGATGAGCTGACATTCATTTTGCCAGTGCTAAAGGTGGAGGTTATTGCGGATCGGGAGGATCCCTCCAAGATGTACTTGAGTCTGAAGCAAGAGCAGGCCGATGATATGGAGGGCGTAAGTAACAAATTGTTTGGTCCCAGTTTATAGGTATTCTATACATATAATTTGTACTATTTACAGCAGATGAAGTACACCAATGAGCGCATCATTAATTTCCTGAACGCATCTCGTGCTCATGCATTGGCCAACGATTCGCTGAGTGATCTGCTGCAGCTGAACGAACAAGATCTTGAGGATCCCGTGCGACGGCGGACGCAGTGCATCTTCTACATCAAGCCAAACATTGGCGAGCATCTAATGCACTACTTGAAGGTCATCAGCCAAACGCACTGAACCAACCACAATCTGTACAGAATTGTATTGTTAACTAGATGCATACATATATAATATTTATTCCATTTAGTCCTTAACGTGTCCGTGTGCCCCCACCCCGTGCAATCTGCGCCATTCCGCCAAGTATTTTAAACTCCTTTACTTTTTTATGCCAAAAAACAAAAACAAAGACAACGTGCTAAATTCTATGCAAATTACATATTTTTGTTACCATTTTGACGAGTTGCCCGCTTCCTTTTGGGTCGGGCAATAAAAGTTAAATTTCAAAAGAGACAAAATGCATTTATCTCCATTTAATTTTTGTTAAGTTTAACATTTGAGCATTAAGTCACCAAAATGAGTTTTGCCAGTTTCGGAATTTCCGCTCACGTTCACTAAGGACAATTTTGTCGTCGTTTGTGGAACACTGAACGTGCATGCCAATGCCGCTGGTCTCAATTTAATGAAATTGATTTCAGTTAAGACAAGCAGCAAGCCAACCAGCCAGCCAGCCAGTCAAACAATGTGCCGACCAGGTGCACAAATACCAACAACAATCATTGAGCAGAAAGAAAGAAATGCACACAGGACGCACAAGAGACAAGACAAGAGGAAGAGGAGCGACGTGAACTATTATTATTGGATGCATCCAAAGTAAAGCCAAACAGCCAAACAGCCAAACAAATAAGAGAATTTACTTTTGGAACACCAGCACCGCAGCAAATTGCTTTGCGTTTTTTCGCTTAAAATATAATTTATTTTGTGGTTTAGGGTTTTGGTCTCCGTTGCATATCCGAAGGATTCAATTATAGCTGCCACCTTTGCCCAAAAACCGCAGCGCCACAAACTCATGTATACACACCAGTGCTGGTAGTAGGTGTTGTGTGGTGTGTGGTGTGCATCTCCAGAATATGTATACATTTTGGGCACATCATTCTTTTAAAAAGTTAACAAAAGTTGAGCTATTTAATGGGTTTGATGGCTTTGATAAACAACGCTGCACACATGCACACTTACATATATCAATACATATATGAATATATATTTATATACGTATTTTGTACATATATACTTTGTCTGCAACTTGGGGTCACATTAGAAACGTGCAAAATGACTTTGGATGTACATATATATGGCCATTATTTGTTTAACCATTCCAAGACCATCTATTTTTAAAAGTTTAAATAGTAAATTTGTAAATAGTATTTGTATAATGTATCAAAATGTATTTAGTTGTTAATTAGAATGTAAAGTTTTGTTATATTAGCCAGAAAGGCAAGAATAAATGGCTATGAGTAGAATGCGTTCGAAGTTTTGTAAAAATTATCTACACTTTGATTTAGTTATTTAATTTTCAATAAAACTGCAAGAACAAATAAAAACAAAAAACATTATTTTTGATTTTCAATTAATTCAATTGGATTTAGCTCATTGAACAAATAAGTAATCTTAATTAAAGATCAGATGATAAATAAATATAAATATAATTCAATAATTAAGCGTTTTTGCTTAAGTATTCCTGCACTTGAATACCTAATTAAGAATTATCAAATATTACTTTCACTTAAAATCAGATAGGTAATTCCATACTCAAACTAAAACTTAATATATATATAAAATAAATATCCTCTCAGGTGTGAATGCAATAATCAATATTTATCGTACGTAATAAGATTTACTTTATATACCTTGAAAGGAATAAAGTGCTCCAGCAAATCATATCAAACAAAAATCCTTTTTAAATTATGTGCAATTTACTTTACGACTTTTTGGGGGTTCTAACAACAAAGCTGTGCCTTTCTTTTACGTATCCGCCTATTTGCCATAAGTGTGTGTGTGTGTATGTGTGTGTGTATTCAGTTAGTGCGCTTAAAAGTAGGCAACGAATTGTGTCAGAAACAGGCATTTGCCTTTGCTTTGCTATTTGCCTTGTGTTGAGTGTGCTAAATGGATGAGGTGCATCAAAGGCTGGAGAGTGAAGTGGGGAAACGGTTTTTATAGCACGGATGTTGCACTACACACCAGTACTACACACACACACATATTTATATATGTAAATATATATTATAATTGAATTAAATAAAGCATTAATTTCAGTTGCTGGAAATTTATACACATTTTCATAAATTGCGTGCAAATTTCATTAGAAAATTGAAAATAGATTGGACTCAAAATAGTTTAACAAATTCGATAGAAATTATATTTTCTGGAAGTCTGGTACTGGTTCTCAGAAAAATGAATAACATTTCTAATTTAAATCACTTGCACTGCACTCAAACGCACAAATTATCTATGCAAACTGAAAAGCACTTAGAGCCCAATAACAGAAATTGCATTGCATTATGTGTGATTGAAGGCAAATGAGATGCTTTAACACAACTACCGCAACTGGCAATTTATTATTAATTAACCCATATGACAGCTGTGACAGGCAAGTTATATTAACGAATATTGGATTTAGAAAATCATAACGAATCACAAAAGTGTTTGCACAGCCATGAAGTGTGTGTGACTTTCGTATTTCTGTTTGTGAACGATACAATGTGTGCCCACATATGTATATTTATATATATATATATATATATATGTATATATATTTGTACTTATTACGGTAAAGTGGAAATTCATAAACAGCATCCCAGTGTTTGGGGATATTGTGCACATCATTGCAAATATTAGTAGAAAGGCCCTCTAGCGATTTATAATGGCGTGATATTCCCTGGAACGCAGGCTAGACACACATGTTCAATTCCTTTGACAAACACACACACGCACATAAAGCAAATAAAGGGAAATGCAATTTTCTTCAAAATGGTTACTTATGAAATATTGATACAGCAACAACAAAAACAAGATACAGTTTCAGGAATGTATTGTAGCATGAGCAGAACAACAAGAGGACTGCGATAAATAAGTCTTTTCTACAGCCAACTCAGTCTGAAAATGTGTCAAGCACAATTCGTAAAACGTTTGCCATAAAAAAGTAGTAAATAACTCGGCAAATCAGTATTCTTGACTCAGACATCAAAATCTAGTTTTACTCGAATTTCGAAGGGAATTTATACTTAACGATAAAATCAATTGACTTTCAACAACTTCAAAGCGAAGGACATAAAATTTGGAACACCTATTATTTTCCCAACATAAAAAAACTTAGATTAGAAATGCAACTGCAGCATGTAAAAACTATGATATACTTTTAAATGATTAGTTCCTGTTTGGTAAATTATCTTTCTATCTGCTATGGGTTTCATGGTTTTCGACTTTAAATCACAGCATGTTGCAAGTTATGTTTTTATTTACTTACTGTCAAAAACCGATCAGAAATTTGCATAATCGCAAACTTTTCAACTATGCCAGGCTAAAGTAATCAAATTTGAATTCCAGATTACTGATAAACTTATTTAAGACCCAAAATCACATACATAACCATGCCCACTATCGCCAACTTTCAGCAGTTTTTGGACAGTTGGTAGGACATAGTCGGCTACTTTCACCTTTTGTTCTACTTTAACATGTGATTTTTATGCCAGAGCTGCGATTTGTGTGTGTCAAATTTGATATGTAACAATTTGGGCGTCGCCAGGCAAGTATTTGATATTTACATACATTTTTTTTTTCATCTTTCACACATCCAACGCCAGCTCGTCACCTAGACGCCAATCTGATGGTTTGGGATTTCACCAATCTGTTGCCACAGATGTTGTATATTTGTTTCATTCAGTGTGTGTGTGTGTGTGGATGTGGGTGTTGGTGTGTACTTTTTGTGGTCTTTTGTATACATTGTTAATGCGAGAAATCCTTTGGGTTTTTGAGTAATACGCTTTATTCACAAAATTCACATAGGCGCAGATATACACATACTTAAACATATATATATTGTATATATTTACAGGATAATCATTCACAACTCGAGTTGTTGTGCAAACTAAATCATAAAATTGAATTTTCAATTCATATATAAATAAACATGAAGTAGGTGTACATTTAAAATAGTATATATATATCTATATATATATATATACTATATACAAGGTTACATGAATATAATAGTAGAAAGTCTTCATTTTGCTTGAAATCGATAGATGACTTTAAACACCATATGCATGCATATAGATATATACATAGACTATATCATCATCACTTTTCATTTACATACACAGTTCATCAGAATTGTACATAGACTTATGTAATTTTATTTAACACACTCAGTGACAAATTGCAATGCATTTTCGTAATAGGATATGGAACGACGAATAAGGAATCTGTGTCCTTTCTTACTTTCATCATCTACACTTAGAAAAAGAAATTCTACTTCGAATTGAGAAAGTCGCCATTAAACTGAAATCGACCTAAAAAATGAGAAAGAATTTTTAATTTTCTTAGATATACTTCTAAATTTAGAAAAGAATTTGATTAAAATTAGAACTGCCTGCCCCTAATTGAAAACTCCAAAAATATCTTTTCATTTTTATGAAAAGAGCAATTTTTTGGAAAAAATTTGTTTTTGATTTTTATTAAATGCAGAATTTCTAACATTTATTAAAAATCTCGACCGTTTATTATAAATATGTATCAAGATTAGACATTTTTTAAAACAGAAAAGCTTTGAATGGAATCACTTTCTATCCTTATGTATATATACATATATATTCGTGCGAAAAAAGAGCTGACTTTTGGCAATTTTCAACATTTTAAAGTAGAATTTTTTCCGAGTGTATCTGAGACCTAATTAATTTAGTAGCTCATAGCAATATTTAAATTGTGGCTGGATTGTTGGTCCAGTTGTGGGTCTATCTATAATTTTTGAATAACACTAACATGAATTAATGGATATCATATTGCCCCGCAGCAATAATGTAGTTTTGTAATTTACTAAAGATAAATTCGAGACTTGATGAGAAGACAAAACCTACAGCCAAGTCTTGTCATCGGCTGCCGTTGGTGGAGGACACGTGGCCAGCCCGATGTTGTTGATGCGCCGATAGTTGTTGTTGTAGGTGGCATTGGAGCTGCACACAATCTGCATCTGCAACTCCATCCCATGCTCTGGTGGTGGTGCCGATGGTGTCGACGGCTGTCAGGACAGCAGCTGTGTGGTGCGATTCTCTGGTGCCAAGTTGAGGGAACTGTTTGACTTGTCACTGGTCCAGCGCTCCCGCATCTCCTGTTGGTAGGGCGATCGACTGCCGCCACGCAGGCAGCCTGGTCCGCTATTCTTGCTGCCCAGCTGCTGATGCTGGGCTGGCATCGACAGACGATTCTGGTGTGGCTCCATCTTCTCCGTTGCCCGCGGCACCGAATTGCGCAGCACACCTACAACACAATAGACTCGAGGAATACCCGTTGCCAGGCAATGTGAATCGAATTGAAAGTCGACTTACCACAGTGTGAAACTCGACGGGATTTCGGCGAACTGGGGCAGGCGTAGAGTATTGATTTCTGTGTGTCTGCAATGTCCAACATAATGTTAAGAGATATGAAGTCATTGGTGCTGCGGCTCAGCAAACATACCATTCCGTTTGATACGATTGTGGTCCGGGGAGCCGGAGCAGGAGTAGCGTGATGTTAGATTATCCCGCCGGTTAAGCGACTCCGCGCCCACATTCACAAAGGGACACCAGCGAAATACCATCTTGAAACCATAACGGAATCTACAAAATGCAATAAAACGCTTTGACTTTAATTGCGTTCTCTTTTGCTTGTTCCGAGTCGAATTTGCGATATTAATTTACCCATTGCAGAACGGCAAAGAGAGGCTATAAATAGCAAAAGCATATTCAAATTCACCAAACTAAGTAAAATGCCACCAATCATAGTAAATGTCTTCGGATGGAATATATTTTTTCTAATTTACTTAGCTTCGTAACAAGAAGCTTAAATTACAAACAAATACTTTTTACTAATTAAATCCAATTAATTTAATATTCCCAAAATAAGTATACATCATTTTATTCAATTAAAATATAATATTCTGTGTAAGAGTTTATTTATAAATAAGAGTATTACCACAAAAGCATACTGAGGCAACTGTCTGCTCATTAGAATATTTTGAGCCATTATTAAACAAAACACAAAAGAAGCTGACAACTACAGCAACTGAAACTCTTATTAGTATTCGATTGCACTTTCAATTAATATTCACAGCCATAAACAACTAAATTCCGCACATTTCTTCTGGTTTCTACTGTGTTTTATGCAATTTTCTTTTGTTATCCTTGCTTTTTTGCTGCTGTTCCCACTGAATGGCTAATATTCCCCTGCAGTTGCTTTTGTTTTGTTTTGTTTTGTTTTTCAACTAGCTTAGCCAAATTAGAGCACCTGGTAACCCGAGTAATCTATGGCACCTCAATAATTTGGCCCTAGAGCTAACCAACCCTCGAAACATGTCAAGCCGCTTGATTTATGTTTCACTTCTATTTTTCACTTCTCATACCTTAAACCTATGGATCGACAACGACAACCCGTTGACGGCACCTGCAGTAAGTAATAAAAGAAAAATCGACAAAAAAAAACACATCTTTATAGCCATCATCATTTACATAAGGGCGTAGCCGGCTGGCGAAGGACCTTGCTAGTGCCGTAGACTGGGTGTAGTTCCACGTGGTGGATTGTTGTCATAAAACGGCAGGACACCAGACACCCCCAGACCCAGGCCCAGACCCAGACCCAAACATGACTCCAACATCGTTGGCAACAGTCATCGGCATGTTGACTGGGCGAAACTAATTGCAATCAGTTACGTCTCCCCTCAACGGATGTGCCACCACATCAACAGTCAATTTGTGCGAACGTAACAAACACAGTTCATTGTTCATATGTCTGCATACCCAAATGTGTGCAGTGTGTGTACCTATCTATATATATTTATGTTTGTGTGTGTGTGTGCGTGTGTGTGTAGGTGCGTATGAGCATGTGGTGTGTCTCTAAGCGAGGATTGTTCAATTAGTAGCACAATTTATATGATTTGCAGCTATGACTTTAAAAGGGTTTTTACAGACACCTACTTCAAATTAAAAACTATAAATCATTTTATTTCTTTAATTTACATGAACTATAAATTTATAGTTTAAATGTGGCTCTAGAAGGCCGCAGCGAGCCTCTGCCTGTAGACAAATCCTGACAGTAATCGAAATAAATTGGGGTGTATAATAATAAATAAAAAGAAAAAGCCGATAAAAAATGAACTCTTGACATGGAGCCAGGGAAAAAGGAAAGAATTTATTGATTGTTAAAAATATTTTGTTACCAAATAACCATAAAAAACAAGATATTTAAGTGAGACAGTTTTTATTACTGATTAACGAACTGACTGAGTGATCGATTGAAATTAACCACAATCAAATTCTATCGAAATAATAAAAATATATTGATATCTAAACATAAATTTTAAATTTATTTGGTCAGAATTTCTATAAAAACTCTTGCATATTATCATTATTCATGCACTAAGTTGGTTTTATCTAGGACAAATTCATTAATTGAATATGCATCGCAATATTTTTATTGATCTTGTTTCTAGCGAGTAATAAATTGAAATACTGCTTCAAACTAGTTTTACACTGACTGAAGAAGAAGCAAAACTGCCCTCTTATTAAATGACTACAACGATTATTTGTATTTACCATTGGCAAAGCGCAAATGCGATGGAAAGGTTAATGCTAATGTCAATTCCGCGCATCATCACATTGATGTTAATCGCAGTAATGATAATGATAATGATAATGATAATGATGATGATTATTGAAGGCTTCATTTCCGGCTAACACCCAACAGCCAACAAGTTAACGAACTAAGCGACCGAGTGATGATGTGATGAAGAGCCGGACCAGCTGCGAGGATTGTGGCACATGGCACATGGAACTGTGTCAGTGTCAAAGTTACTAACGCTGCACTTGTTCAGGAGCCTTCAGCGCAAATTACGTAAATTGTGTGTTAAGGGCGTGTTACAGTCTCAAGCAGTCTCAAGAAGAAATACTTACCGTGAATTCATCCAGCAGTATATAATCGGATTATACATTGAGTTGCTCATGGCCAGCCAGTAGATAACTAAATATAACTCCTGAATGAAGGGCGCCTCGGTAATAGCCGGATAGCATGAGGTTACGATAAAGTACGTGTGGAATGGTAGCCAACAAAAGCCAAATATTAGAACTACCACAATCATCATCTTGACCACCTAAGCGGAAAATTAAAATTCAAATAAATACGCATTAAAAATGCGTTTAAAAATGCTGATGATAATGATGGTTGAAAACATAGCATACAGTTTGGGTGCTGAGTTTGAAATTAATAATTGTGCATGTACTTAAGTGGGGATTTTGTATGGATTCGTTGTGGCTTACCCTTCGCTTGCTCCGCACATTCTCCACCTGGCGGGGCGTATACTCGCCAATGGTCTTGGAGCCCCAGAGTTCAATGCCCACACGCGAATAGGTGACTGTCATCGAGACAATGGGCAGCAAGTAGGTGAGCACCAGGATCAGAATGTTGTATCTGGCAGATGGGCGACACAAGATAAGTAGATGCAAAATGCTGGATAGATAGAGCTAATAAGATTTGCATTTAGTGACCATTTGACCATTTCAATGCACAGCACACAAATTGCTGTCAATTCCCATCGTTATTCGTATGTCCGTATTTCGGTATATGTACAATGCTCTCAATTTTTATTGGAGTCTAAATTTAATGGTCTTGCGTGCCGGAAAAGCATTGAGTCGTAGCAGTTTACTATTTGATTGCCCTCATGCTTTTAAATTTGTCATAGCAAAACGGTTGTCAAGGATTGCGCATCCGTTTTACGGGAACGGCCCCCGGACAGTTGCACAGAGAGAAAAGTTTTCCGTTTTTATTATTGACATTTTAATATAATAGCAGTTGTGTCCAGTATATGACATAGATATGAATGTGAATGTGAAAAGTTATATATTGAAATTAATGTTGCTTGAACAAATGGATAATGTTTAATTAAAGCCAACAAGGGTCCGCAAAGGAAATTGGTCTGAATGAAATCGATTTAGTCTTAATTAATTTATATGCCCAATGTTAAACAAGGGAAATGGTTGAAATTTAATTAATTATGTCCAAGAGGTATTCATGTTTTATTTTTAATTCTGTTTCTGACTAATTTTGGGTTTTTTATTACCACAATTCGGATTATGGCTTGGAATTTTTGTTGAGCTTTTTATGTGGAATTGTGCGAACCCGTTCACAAGTATTTGGTTTGATGTTTTAAGCAGTATAAGTTTGGAAAAGAGTTTATTGAATTGTGTTTAATAAGTTCGTATGAAAAGGGAAACCATTATTCATATTTATAGGTAGACATACTTTAAACCAAAACGATTGACTCAAAATAGGCACAAAGCAACTATGGCCAAGTACAGAAAATACGTAACCCAAATCATTTGGAATAAGTGAATAAGAATTACTTGAAATAAGTGAGAAATACATCCAAAAAGCTCAAATTCGAATTTATGATTTTTTCCAACATTTATTTGCAACTTTTTCTTGTTGAAAAAAGTCAAGAACAAATTTGGCTCCTTTAAATACGAAATATTTGAACTTTTCGCTCCGTGTTGTGTGATGCTCTGTCGTTTGTATTTTATGAGCTCGATTATTTTTATAGCTTGAGTACATTCTAACCCATCCCGAACTGAGTCTGTATTGTCTCTAAGATAATCTGATAGCTGCAGTCAACACTGATTTCCACTGCATGCACAATTCACATTTCACATTTCACAGTTTGCCTGATTTGCTGATTTATAGCATCATGCAATTTGGCATGCAACAAAATGCTTTCGTTGGCTTGCCCCTTTTTTCCTGCTGAAAGGACACAATCACACACACACTCACACAGACATACTGACATATATGTGCCTTTGTATACTCACAGATGCTCCTGCTTGGAGTGATTCGTTGGGCCATCGGGCCACTCCGGGAAGCAGACGATGCGTGTTTTGTTCTCGATGGTCACCGGCACCTTTGAGCAGTAATACAAAGTGTTCTCATGTAGTATAAAGTGACAGCAATTGGTTTACTTGTAAAGTGCTTTCTATTAGCTAAAAATATACCTCCTCGGTTTTGAAGAACAGCAGCATCGGGCACGAGATGAGTGTGGAGGACAGCCAGATGACCGCAGCGATGGCCAAATTGCGTCGCTTGCTCATTCGCGGTTGCAACGGCTTCATAATTGCAACGTACCTACAAAAAAGGGGCATAAAATACTCTATTAATGCAATACAAGAGGCTCCAGGGCGCGCTATAAGCCGATTTTTGTAAGTGAAATCACTCAAAATGAATTAGCACAACTTCATATATGAAAGTCATGCATCCCTTTAGAAGACTTAAATTTCTTAAGATCATTTTGGTTCATTTCGTTTAAGTACATTTTAATATCGAAATATAACGTTTCTTAAAATTTGAAATAGAGATTTTTTAAGAAAAACAGAGAACATTTATGTTTGCGATTGTGGACTGCGAGTAAGAGTTTCTATCACCAAAAGATGTATGTGGAAAACCTAAACTAGTTTTTTTTAATTAATTTTTTTTTAATTGTCTGCATGTGGTATTTAAATTTCTACTTAAATATATTTGCATAAGTCTGATTATGAGGCGCACCCACCCGTTTTTTCGAGGCGCACCCAGCTTTTCTTGAAGGGTGGCCGAATACTTCTAATAGGATAGTAGGAGAGGGAGGGTAGCTGCCTCCTGATTGTAGAGAATTATAATTATCTTATACTATTCTATATAGAATATCTGGCAGTTGTTCAATGGCAATAGCCTTCACATCCTACCACACTACCGGTTGTTTTCAGGGTACGCATTATGTTGAACGTGATTGGCCCAAAATCAAATTATATTGGCAAATGGCAGGCTAATGGCCTAAAATGTTCTATGCCACATATGCGCCATTGATTTTTATGCAATTTTACGGCGTAAATTAGTTTATATTGCCACCAAATAATAACGGCTGAATTCTTTGCAGCAGACACTTTTGGTGGCCAGACGCAATCAAATCATATTTGATAGAGTCAGACAAATTGGTTATATTTTGGCACAGATGATTTGATCAATTGATTGCTTTTGATTAATTAGAATATTGTTGGAGTTACTCAAATTTATGGGAAAATCAAATAAGCTCAGTTTGTTATACTTTAGCATAAATATTTCGATCGATTGAGCATTTGATAAAGGTAATGTTTGACAGACCCTTGTCGAAATTGATGAACTGCCATAGTATTTCAAGATTGGATGGCCTATTGAATCTTGAGTCTTGAAATCCCTATTTGGCCCTGCTAAAAACGAGTTTCTTGTTAATAGAGAATGAATGTTGGCCCAAATGCAACAAGCTACTTACATGGTCTTAACCCCTTCAGCTTAACATATCAAAAGATTCGATATACTTATACACACATGCCACGGCGCAGACATTGCCTACATAATATTAAATTGTTATGTTTTTCTTCGTTTTTTTTTTTTTTGGAAGGTGTTCACAAAGTCAGGATTGATAAGGGTACTGCACCCAAATCACACAGACCAAAAAAACTTTGCAAACGAGCCACGCACATCTGCAATTTGTTGAGTACCTCCTGATGTACATACACTTGACGAAAAGGTTGTTCTAAATTCAAGTGCAATCGAGGTGGAATTTCAGCCGTTCTCTTCTTAAAATTTAATTTTTTACTTTGAATCTCGATTTTAAATCATTCCAAATATGTTAAATATGTCTTTCGCTGGCTCCAACTCAAAGATTTTCAAATTTTTAACACCGTCGGGATTCAGTCATCTGTTGTGCTTCAGTTGAAAGATATATTTAAATTTCAAGGAGAGGTCAGCAAACAGTAAACAATAATTATAAATATTAAAATCGATAGATAACATTTCAGAAATAAGGCATATGTAAATAATATAAGAAAGTTATTAATTGAAGAAAGCCAATAATTATGACCTACTTTTTTTAAAAAAGTATTTAGACATTCTTAGGTAATAAACCCATTCGATTACTGTACTTGATATTAGTCGGATACTTTCTACAAATTCTTTTTCTAGGTTTATTTATGTGCATGTGTAACTTGTTGTACAACTCGAATGTGGTAGCGTTAATAACTGACTTACCTGTCGATAGAAATGGCCATTAGTGTGAAGACCGAGGCACAGATGCTCAGCATGGCAATGAACTGCGAAACCTTGCAGTAGATCTCGCCAAATATCCAATCGTTGTCCAGCATATAGTAGTAGTTGAAGGTAACATTCAGACTGGATACCATCGCATCGGCTATGGATAAATTCACTGCGAACGAAAGGCAAACACGTAAAGTACACAAGAAGTGTGCGTTTATTATCAGTGAAAGTGAGCAAGTAGCTGAAGCAAACAAGTCACGTGACAAAGCTAACAAAACAACAAGAGCAACAACCACAATCAAAGTGGCAAATACAAATACAAACAGTCCACAAAATTTATCTCACACAAATAAGGTAACAGACAAGAAGGCAACATTCCAAATACACATTTTTATATGTATTTTTTTTGGGCATATTTTATTATTTATTTGCTTGTTGTTTATTTATGCGTTGTACATTTATAATTAGTTGAAAACCCATTGCAGGGGGGCATAATTAAACGGCGCCTTGTAAATGTAAATGGAAAATGGCGGCCATTTCTATGTTTGTACATGTTGTTCGTTTTGTAAGTAACTAAGTGCTTATTGTATGCAACGATTTACATGAATCACTAAAAACGCCGTCGACACTAACACGAAAACAACACAGAACAACAAAAACAGAAAAAAATGAAACCAAATTATTATGGGTATGCCTTTTGCCATTGTTTACTTTTCATTATCTATGTAGATAAGTAGCAGAGAAATAAGCATAAAAAGCTACATTCGCAGCAACAACCACAACAACAACCATTAAAGAAATGTTTCTCTGTTGGGCATTAGAGAGTGTTTTCATGCAACGCCTACAAACGTGTCACATTCGGCAAACGACCTGGCCTCAAGCGCCCTTGGCCATCAGGCCTGGAGGTCCTGGACGTTCTGGAGGAGCCTGTTGGCCTGTTGGCCTGTCAGCCATGTCGTTGAATATCGATTTAGTGTCGTTTTAATTAATAAAGATATAACAATAGGAATGAACACTGACAGCGAATAATGCAAATGCGTATCGACTACAAAAAGACCAGCAAGGACCACCCAAAGCAGCTATTAAAAGTCTAATAATAATTGCCAATGTGTATTTACAAATGCAAATTTTGTAATGACTTCCAAAGCCCGTGTGGGGCTTAAAGGAATTTACCTTACATAATATTTAAAATAATATAAATATTTTCGACAAGATAACAGCTGCCAGGACGAACTTTGTCTTTGGGGGGTCTGATGATGACGATGCCAGCGACAGAGACAGCATCCGCACTTTTCAGCCAGCTATTAGGTCAGGGAGCCAAGCGTATCTCACTCGCAGACACTATTATATACATACACTGGCAGTGCAACTATTTTGTCTCTTTTAATACTCTTCAGAATAATATTGTCGATTAGAACAACTGACGCTTGAGCCTGGGACCATAAAAGCAGCTTACTGAAAAATTGCAGGCCTTTAAACAAAAGCTGCCAGCTTCAAGTGTCATTCGTGCAGGCATTTTTAAATTATATTATCTAGTTAATAATAATTAATAAATGACATGTTTGATGAAAACAGCTTCTTGCTACTTTATCATGAAGTAACCACAACAATTCTACCAAAAATAACTATCCTGTGCTCAATTTGTATAGTCCGAAATTGAAACTAAATAAGTTAAAAATAACTTTTTTTGTTAGTTCGACTTAATCAATCTCATTAGTTAGTTGTCAAAGAACGAGAGTCAGCTCAAAATAATGAAAACTAATCTAAATGACAATACAGTTTTTTAATTGCATAAATTAAAATTAACTTTTTTTGTTAGTTCGACTTAATCAATCTCATTAATTAGTTGTCAAACAACGAGAGTTTTTTAATTGCATTTTTCAATTTGTATTTAGCCAATATATATTTATTATCTCTTCTGTTGGCTGGCATATTATATTTTGTATGTTGATCCGTCTGAAATTTGGCACAAAATACAAGGAAGGATGAAGAACGACGAATAATTTCCAACTATCGTCAACAAAAGACATATTTTCATGTTGAGCTGTGTCTCTTTGTTGGGATAGAACATCAAGGCTACTTTGGTGTGTATTACGGTCAAGACAGGACAAAAATAGAAAAGACAAGACAAAAAAGATTTGCGGTCTGTTTTCACACAAAATTGAGTTAATTTTTGGAAGGGTATTCAGTCTTCGGCTAGCAAAGAAGGCTTTTCATTGTTGTTTGTTGTCAACTTGCGCATGCATAAGGCCGGCGGGCTTTCAAGTATATGCAACTCACTGTGTGTGTGTGTGTGTGTGTGTGTATGTGTGTGTGTGTGTGTGTGTGTGTGTGTGTGTGTGTGTGTGTGTGTGTGTGTGTGTGTGTGTGACAATTGTCGGAAGGCAGTCAGCTGACAGCATCTGGCCAGGGTTAGTTGTTGTTCTTGTTGTTTGCTGCTTTTTGTTCGGGGTGCATTTTTGTGCGCTTTGTTTTTAATGGTTTGGGCAATGGCAGTCGGAAGTCCATACACATACACACATACACACACACAAATACATTTGTACTTAAGCATGTGCAGTAGGAGAGCCTGTTATTTAAAGGGACTTAAAATGTCTGAGTAATGCCAGTAATGTCATTATTAATAGACAGAGCGACAAAGTGAATGAGAGAGAGAGAAGGCCATAATATTTCCATTAGGTGAAATTAGTCAGAACTTGGCCTCTGAAATATAATTAGGCTACAAATATATCATTTGGGGGCCAACCATAAATTGTTGCAAGCTGAAAGTTATCTTTAAACAGATTAGAGCAGTTATTTAATATACTTGATGTGAAGCTTTGACATAATCTTATTAATAGATATGAGTGCAATGCAAGTGTTGCTTTTAGTTAACGACTGATCAAAGTTAGTTGTGTATATGGAATGGAAAAACAAGTTATAATGAGAAACTTGAGTCAATTATGGAGAAAAGTTAACTATATTTAAGTTCCTTCAAGACACATTCCTGCTGCCGAAGATGATTTACGCAAAAAATTATTTATACTTTTGCAGTGCATGTTTTTAATTAAAGTTAGTTGCCATTTTGAGGTTCGTGCATTACAAAAAAGAGCTGAAATTGTTTGTAATAAAATTACCGTGACGTATGTGCAATTTTTAACTTACTTATTGCTCATACGCAATGTTTGCATTTGCTTTTAGTTGCCAAGGTCAAATTCACTCACCTATAAAATAGTTGGTAACCGTTCGCATTCGCTTGGTGGTCAACACAATCCATACGACAATCAAATTGCCGCCAGTTGCCACTATCACCATGCCACCAAAGAGAATACTCCAAAGCACCTGGCGCCACCAGGGCACGACGAAGGCAAACGACGGAACTGGCGCTGCCGCATCCTCCTCCTCACCATCGAGTCCAAGACCGCCACCCACGTCAGTGGCAGTGAAGCCTGTGATGCCCGTGGGTAAACTGTGCGAGAATAGTCAATTTGTGTGTGTGTGTGTGTGTGCGTGTTGTGTGTGTGTTAGAAACATTGTTGAATTAGTGACACAGAGATTATGTGTGCTAAGCCTAACAAACGAACGCCTTGTGGATGTACCCTTGTATCTGTCTTACTGGCCATATACACATCTCGAAATTATTAAAGTTGCGTATTCTTATGCTATTTCACTTATTTAAAATATCTTGATGTGAAGCCAGCAAAACAAAATATTTATAATAAACAGAGAACAACAAACAATAAATTTGAGTATCGTTCCAGTTTCTGTTGCAGTTTTATTTTTGTTTCCGATTCGGTTTGCCACCCCGCTTGAAAACATGCTTTTCTGATTTTCCACGGCAAAAACAAATATTATAAAAACAAAATGGGAATATTTGTCAAAAATAAAAATTATAAAATATATACATATTTAATAATGTTTTGCTAAAAAAAAATTGAACTAATATTTCAAATAATTTGAAATATTATTTTCTCGCATTTCGCACTTCCAGCAATTGTGATTGATTTAAAACTCGTTAATCTTAATCATTTTTTTAAAGGCTATTCAAATTACATTTTACGACCATTTTCTCTCTGTGTATGTGTGTGTTGGGTTGCACATTCGCGAATGTAATTGTGCGTGCGTTAACAAATTCTTTGGGTATTTTTTTCTTTTTTTTGTATTTTGTGGGCATTGTCAACGACATTAAACCTCAGTCGGGTTCAGATTGGGCTAAGAGTGCTCCACTCGTTGTCGTCTATTTAATATTTTGTTGCTCCAATTGTTTATTCAGTCCGGCGTGTGTGTGTGTGTGTGTGTGTGTGTACAAGTATTTAAATAGGCCTTTCAGCCGCACACACGCCAACACACAGAATTGTGAGTGTGCCATAGATTTAGTGGTTTTGTTTAAAGAGGCTTCGTCGGCATTCGCCTTTATTCTCCCCCTTTTCTCCTATCTTATTGCCTGTCAGCTGTGTATAATGAGTATGTTGGTCCTTAAATATGGCAGTAAATCGGATCTCATATTATGCTTGGCTCGTTAGGAGCCACGCTGACACACAAGTAATTTAATATGTGTATACTTGATGCTGGCATACGCAGTCAGCTTAGTTAGTCTCCTAGTTGCATTTGTTAACTGATGTTAGCTGCTGACGCTTTTGACGTTAGTCCTTAGTGTTTGTTGCTCTCCAGCTCCTTGTAGCAATTAAAAAAAATCGCTTCATTGCGATGGCTGCAAAGCACAGTAGCCACTGCACCATTTGCATAAGTCGCTTCTTGTTTATTGGCCTGGTGCAAAGAGGATTATTGATTTTTATGGGTGGCTAGTTTCGCAGCTGCAGCACACAGACAATATATATATATATATAGAGGACAAAAACGAAGAAAAAATTAAAAAGAAAACAATTTCGAGCAGTAGCCGCAGGCACACGAAAATGCCATGGAAATCATATAAGAGATGGAATGAGTATGCTCGCCTATCAGATACTCCTCGTATAATTACCATAGATATCGGTTAAACTAGAATTCAATCAATTAGTTAATATAAATGAAGAAGGCACAAATCAGATATATTTTTGTAAATTAACGTGCTTATATAGATTATAAAAGATTGTAATAAAATTATAAATACAATTGGAAAACAAATGAAATATATTTTTATAGATTGACGTCCTCATTTAAATTATAATATCCCATAATAGAATATGATTTTCTATTAACAAGAATGCTTTAAATTTATCTACCTACTTGTACTAAAATTCCAACTTCAATATTCAGCACTCACACAAACATTTAAATATATTATCATATATGCATATAGTCTATATGAATACAATTGTTGCGTTCGATTCAATTTGTACATCCATTTGTATAAGTTTATTTCAGCTAATTTTGTGGGCCACAGCGAATAAAAGTGAAATAAATCTCTTGTTAAATTTTATTGTTATTTTTGCTTAACTTTTCTCTGTGGTTTTGATTTGTTGCATTAAGCCTGCCGATGCGTTGGCAAGACAAACAAATAAACAATTCGTAGGAAAGAAAACATTGAAAACCGCAGAAGCAGAAGCAATTTCCGGAATTATACTTTGACTTAACTATGTCATCCAACCCAGATGAGGCATCCAAATGGGTTTACGACTACCAAAAAATATATTTTGAATATGTCAAGCGCAACAATTATTTGTGTGTGTGTGTGCCTATCTATGTCTTTAGATAAATCTGTATAAAGTTGTGTGTGAGTGTTTGCGAAGTTAAACAAATTGTTGATGCAGTAAGACGACTGTCGATGTCGTTAAAAAAATATAATGTTTGCCAAAAAATACACAGATCGACTTTAAAATACCCTTTGTGCTGATAAGCTTATAACGGAAAATATTCCAACGAATTGCAAATAAATACCAATTTAAAAATAGGTTCTCATACTTTTACAATGATTATCTACGGTACACATCGAAAAAAATGTACTTTCAGAATTATTCATACAAAAACCATTGAAAAAAAATGAAAACTTTTTGTACTAAGCAATGTACAATTTAAATACACCCTTATTCCCAGCGGGAATGCTGTGGCAGAAGACAGCATTAAGCAGTCACAGGCACTTACACACACACCCAAACACACACACACACACACACACACCACACACCCACCACACACGCATTCATACTTTATAATATAAAAGCAAGAAATGTGAAATGTTTTTTTTGTACATTCCTATTTGTATTCGGCGTGGGCTATCAATGTAATGTATTTGAAACGGAAATAAAAAGCCATGATGGGTGGATGGGTGGTGGGTGGAGTGTACGGAAATGCCAGACTGATTGAATGGCAACTTGCATTGAGTAAATGGCAAACTGGCTGAGCGAGTGAGTGTATGCCTGACTGGATGCCACAATTATGCGTCATTAGATATGCATGATGAGTACACAAAGCAAAGAGCTGAGTAGGAGGATCTAGCCTGGAGCGAGTTCATCAGCTAAAATAATGAGCATGGTCGATGATACCAAGCCATAATGTTTTTGGCAAACATCGCCTCCTGTGACTTAATGACAGCGTTGTGTGTGTGTGTATGTGTGTTGTGTATTAATTGAATTTGAGCCGTAATTAGGCCTTTCAACTGGATTGCACACCCACAACAAATCTCTGCTGTTTTTTCAATACTATTTTATGGCGATTTATACAAATATTTTCTACACATAAGAAAATATTAAAACTTCTCATGCCATCTTCCAGCGTTTCCCTCCCCCCTCCATCCGGCATGACTTTGTGTCTTTTGTTGATAACACAATTATAAATAAGTCGGAGCTTCTCTTAAGGGTGTATAAATTTCAAAATATCGGAAATGGATCCGGTTACAAATATAATTATATATGATTATATTCTTGAAGGCCCATTTGAGACAAGCAACGCAACGTTTAAATAAATAATATACTAAGGTTTGTGGAAATAAACAGATAAAAGTAAATTGGCGTAAATAAACAAAAACAAAATATGGTTTAGACGCTTTTAATGTGGCCAATTTACGGAAGAAATTATAAATCTAATATAATTATTTGCACATGCCACTACAATGAATTAAATTATTCATATATATTTGAATTTTGGTATTTTTATTTACTTAATTTTGTTCAATCCTATTTTGATATGGCAATAACAGCGTATAAAGAAAATCTAATAGCATCCATTTAATGATTATTTTTAATTTTGTTTACTTCTATTTGGATACTGTAATGAATTACGGAACCAAAGCGGAGCTTTGCAATTCCATTATGATTTTTAATATATGTTTTAGAAGTTTAATTTAATTGGTAAACATATCACAAAAGATGTTTACTAAAAAAGCGACTGCCCAGAAATTTTGGTTCTCCATTAAAGATTTGTCAAACAAGATTTTCGAGTAGACTTTTTATAGCTAGTTAACTTCATTTAGTTTTATTGATTTTGGACAGACACTTATCGCTCAATTGTCCCGCTATTTTTTTCTGTGGAGAATCTGTTTCATGTTGTCGAATTTGTGTACTTACACCGTGCTCAGATTGTAGGCCAAACTGGGCTGCTTAAAATCGGCGAGTGGAGTTTGATTGGCCACCGCCAAAACGCTGTGCATCGCGTTGAAGAGCATGGCTGGGGCATAAGTGCTCCAGTTGCTCCAAGTGTTGTCCAGAAGCTGGTCATCGCTATTATCCATGGTTGCCGTTGCTCTGGTTGTCTTTTGTGTGTGTGTGTTTGTCCTGGCTAATGCGGCGTGTCCTTGTTTGGTATCTCTTATTTGGATTCCATTTGTTTGCTCGTCTGCCTGCGAATGGAGACAAGTGGGTAGAATAATACATTTAACTAATTTCATTTTCTGGCAAAATAATTCTTAGATATTTCCTCTTGTGGTTGCTCTTTTTCGGTCAGCCACTAAATCTAACATTCTCATTGTGGCTCAAAAGTTTGAAGTACGTGAATGTGACGAGGATGTGTGCGTGTGTGTGTGTGTGTGTGTGTGTGTGTGGATATGCTATAAAGTAAACTTCTTAGATCCTCGCCTTTTGGGTCAAAGGTCACGATTGATTTTGATTTTTATTTGTCGCCGGCCTTTGGCTCACTTGCGGTTGCGGTTTGTTTGACGATTTTATTACAAAAGACCAACAAGCAGCAAAAAGGTTTTTTGCGGTTTGTTTGGCAATATAGAAAAATGTTTTTTTTTTTTTGTCGCAACGGCCCTAAAGGGACGTGATGTCACATCAGAGTTCCTTTCAAATGTAAATAGGCCCATCCACTAAATGCTTTTGGAGTTTAATAAACGCAAAACAAACTTTGAAATTAGCACCGAATTTTGCAACATCAAAGCCAATTAAGAGTTTTGTAACTTTCAGGTATACGGATACAATTTATATTGTAAATTTCGCTCAAATTTCAAAATATCTCATTATCATTAATAGCTCTAATTTATTATTGAACTTTAACATTATGAATTCAATTGATGTGCAAGGAGCTCGTTTGGCAATTAATATGTTTATGGAACTTAATAAGCTCAATTGTTTCAATGTGGCACTTGTTCTCTTGAAACTCACTAAGGCAATTCACTCACTCATGCAGAGAATCCACAATGCGACCACATCAATCCTCACGAGCCACTCGAATGTCTACGGTTATTGTTAATTATGTATGCCGAATCTATAAACTATTCAATTGATACCAATTAGTAACATTCTGCACCTGAAAAGTTCGCGAATTGATTGTTTTTTATTACGTTACTGTGCTTATCTAATTATCTTATGGTTTTTGCTGCTTAGTGAGGTAAGACAATACTAAATGTTTGAGCTAAAGAGAGAAATACGTTGTACATTTCTGTGCCTCGAAATCTAATCACAGCAACTGCTCTCGTTGTGCATAAGTACACCCATTTCTTATCTGAGAAAACACTTTAAGTGAATTTGACAAGACTTTTCATGAAACTCTTAAATGTGCTCATTGAGAATGCTCGTGGAAATAGTTAAGAGTTGGGTTGACTTTGAGATACCTCTAAATAAATCTTTAATATTTATGAACTTTTTTTATTTTTGTGATACGAGTATATGTTAATTAAATAACTTTTAAATAAATCGTAGTATTAGCTCTGACAGACTGATTAATCTGGATAAAAGTCACGGGGAAAAGTTGATCTGAAATTCAAATGTGCAAAAAGTGTATTTTACTTATTAAATTAAATAAAATCAACATTTTTGTATGACTAAAAGTTAGTCAGAAAGTAAAGTCATAAGTAAAGTCATCAAATAAGATAATGTTCATGTAAAAATTCTCTTATCATTCGTCAGAATTCCAAAAACTAACTAATCACTATCATAATTTAACAGATTTTGGAAAGCAAGCCTTTTTGGGGGTCTATGTAAATAAGCTCTGAAAATATATCGGTCATAAATTTTGTTTGATATCATTTGAATACATAACATTCATCTATCTACAAAGCGATTTTATTCTTTGTTTTTTTATTTCAATCATCGAACGATGATACAAACGCCTTGCAAACAATAGAAAAATAAAGTAAAATTTGATGAAGAGCAGCAAGACGTTCAAGATTCAAATGAAATGTAATCCAATTCGCAAGAACAATTCACACTCAAAGAGACATTGAATGGGTCCCATGAGCTAGATTTACTCACCTTTAGTTGTTTCCTTTGAGTTCTTGTGGCAAACGGTGCATTGAGCATTGAAAATTGCTTAGGTTTTTATTTTATTTTTTTTTTTTCTTATTTTTTGCCTCACCGAAAATGGACAGAGTAAGTTTGAACTGAGTTGTGGGTGAACATTAAATCATGCTGACCTGCTGCTGACAGTTGAAGATAATTTCTTAAGCTGACGACAGTGTCAGTGTCAGTGCGCCACTTGCCACTTGCCACTTGAAAGTCGCCACTCAGCGAGATGAAAACTCACCCCAAATTCAATCGATTGTAATTTTCTCGCAAATTAAGCGCAAACTTAGCCCTTAACTCTCCGTATTTACGATGATGACATTTGCAAACAACATTTTCAAGTTTGGCTGGAATTTCTGTTTTCTTTTTATAGCTAATGATGCCAAAAATAATCCTATCGATAATGTAGAACAGCAGTTTATCAATAAATCGGTTGACGGTTTCTATTTTTCTTTGGTTTCCACTCGTTCGCCATACAAAAGCAAACAACAAAGCAGCATGCTAAAATCAATTGCCGGCAAGTTGTCTACACTGCTCAAAATAATTACAAATGTGTATAGAAAACATATGGCAATATTATTTATGTGGTCTTATGTGGGTGGGCGAGGGTTGGGTTGGAAATTGAAAAGACTACGCTGCAGTTGGGGCGACGAACGAGCATTGTAGTCTTAATGAAATGTAAACAAACTTCAAAAGAATGTTGGCTATAATTGGCAGCTAGCTGGATGGCCCGAACTGCACTGGCCAAGTGAGCGGGACGAGTGACCGAAGGAGGGACAGATGGAGAAGGGTCTGGCAACCACAATTTCACGAAATAAACTAAAAATGCTTGTGCGAAAATATTTGGCAAAATGGCAATAAAAAATACAAAAAATATATAATATATACATATAAATAGTCAACAAACAACATTGCCAACTGTCCAAAGCTCTTTGACTGATGTCCCTTCAAAGGACTTTCATTTTCGTTTTCACACAAAAATGGAGTTTATTATTTCGTATTTGTTGCTTTTACTTTTGTTGGTGTCGACTTGAAAAATAGCCAAATTGTCACGTACCAGGGAGTTCACAGTGGAAAATTGTTTAACTCCTTTTATTTACGTTATACGGGCACGTAAGGTATATGACTCTTTATACACACAAACACACAAAAATTTGGTATTTCCAACTGGATGACATTTAAATAAATTTTGACTTCTGAGTTGGGGTTTCGCTAAAAACAACTTTATCACTGAACTTACACGCGACTAAACACTGTGAAAGCCATCAAGGAAAATGGCTTCAGAATGTTTCTTTGTTGCCATTAAAAATAAGAATAGACATATATATATATATTTATATAGGCTCTACTATTAAGCGAACTGAAAAGCTATTGAGTTTTTATGTTTATGTCCAACTTTTATGTTTAGTCAATATTCTGAAATTGTCTGGACTTTTACGCTTTAACGATATCTATTGGAATCAGATTCTATTTCCATTGCGTAATTTACATTTTTTCTGCAACTTAATGGGAATTAAAATTCGAATTGTAAAATATTCTTTTCTTTATATAAGTGTATATATTTTATATATATTGTTCCCTGAATTAGGTTAAGGCTTATTAAAATTGTAGAACATTTATTGGTTTCATTTAAAATTGTGAACTATAAACCTCCATGAAAAACTTGTTCAAGCTTTATTTGTATTTAATGACTATTCAAGCGAATCGTTAACCGATTACCATTATTTTTCTTTAAGGAATATTTTATACGGCAGTATGTCAAGCAATATTCTTATATTATATTACTAAACAAGCAAATATTCTTCCAATCGCCATCAATTTATTTTTATTTTAAGGAATATTGAATATATCAATAAAATTGTTCCTAAATATTGCGCAATCTTATCTTGCACATTGTTTGAGAGTGGGAAGTGATCAACTTTTTATGACAGCCACAAGGAATAGGCATTCACACACACACACACACACACACACACAGACATTCACACACACACACACACACACACAGACACACACACACTATCAGCTTTTGTTGTGCGCTGTGATTAGTTGTTACAAAAACTGTGAGAGAAGTTCGCTCCTTCGCTGGAACTTGGGTTTCATAAATGTGGGATGTACGTGGCTTTGTTGCTGTTTGACAAGTCAAGTACAGGGTGTGCAGGCTGTACAACAAAATAAGAGAATAATAATAAAAGCGAGTCTTTCTTTTTTGTCGTTTTTGTGCGCGGCACTTGCCCCTTCCTGGCCTTTAACTGTGTCTGTGATATTAGGTGTGTGTGCATGTCTCTTTGCCGGAATGTATGCCATATAGACTTGTGTGTGTGTGTGTGTGTGTGCATGTGTGTCAATAAGGAATGGGTTTACACTTTTTGCTGGATGTGCCATGCTGGTCTACTTTTAGGCTGAGTCTGCCCGCCTCCTCATCCCAACACTTTCTTGGCCCATTAACCGAGGGAAAGTTCTAAAACAATGTTAAAATGCGCGCAAATGACAACCCCCCTCCCCCCTCCACACATCCTGCAACACACCCTCCCCCACCCACCCACAACATATATTTTCCGAGCATGACCAGCTGCTTTAACTTATACGCTTTGCATTTCAGCTGTGTCTTTTGTTTTGCGTTCACACACAAACAAAACAATGGAAATAAAATAAACTTGAATTGTAATTACCAAGGCCTAATGCAAGTACGTTGGGCTGGTTTTGTATTTTTTAATTTGCACACGTATCGTATTTGAACGAATCGAAATTAATACCATGCTACAAATTGGCCACATGCTTCCACATCCAGCTGCTGAGCGAATTCATGAGAGTAAAATTCATCAAAAATGATTTTTTAATGAGCTTCGTGAGCTGTGTGCTCCGCGAGAATTTCATAATGCGTCTGTTGTTGGTTTTCGCACCTAACAAAAAAGCGGTGGCCAAGCATTTAAACAATACCCGTAAATACTAATATAAATAAAAGGGGTGCTTAACACACACAAACACACACACACACACACCATAAATACTCATATAGATTTTGGAGCTTGCTGAAAAATTAGACTATTGAAAATATGGTTGGCAATCTGTTTCTGCTATGATTCCGATATCTGGGCTGTGGGTGGGCGAGATAAATTGTTTATGCGCTTTTAATATGTTTGCGTGTGTATTAAAATATTTTCAATGAAAGCAAGCAACCAAGTACTTAACACATTTTCTAAACGATTTGACAAGTCTTACACCCAACAGACTGGAATTCCTCAGCTAAATATACACCTTTCATCGATTTGACTTGTTCACTTCAAGTTTCGTTATGCAATTTTTCTTTGTTTTATCTAAGGTACTACATTTTATGTTTGCTTATTTTACTGCTTCGAGTAAACATTAATTTTGAATAAAAGTCAAATTTGCGTGACAAAACACAAAATATTAGCATTATCTTTCTTATTCCATGTGATTACGATCTGGACAATAAAAAGTTTCAGCTACGTCAGAATAAAAAGCAAATAGATATAAATAAATAGCTAGAACATACATACGACCTGTTGTACACGAACTATAAACATCTGTGCCAGCACAGATCTTGTTTAAGAAAAAAGCCAGGCCACCAAATGGCAAGTCCAAAGAGGCCAAGAAAGTCTTTAGGCCAGTGCCATTCAATGTCTTATCTTATCGTTATTGAGTTTATCAGGAAGCCAACACATATTAATGCCCCTGTTATGTATATTTGTGTGTGTGTATGGGGTAAGCTAACTCTATTCACAGAGGGAGACCAAAGAATCGAAGCCAGAATTACTTTACACTCCGAGTTAGATTGGAGCTTGTATTAAATGCGGGAGCCACAATAAATATTTTTTTTTTTTGCTTATTTGCTGTCCACCTACCCCAGCACTCCCCAGCAGCAGACCCTATTCAGTCAATTTATTACAATTACGTGTAAATTGAGGAACAAAGCCAATCCAGACGAGGCCATCGAATAAGATCTCAATTAGTAAGTGCAAAAAGCAGCAGCGGCCAACTCTGTCATGCACTTGTCACCATTGGGGGCGGATTAAGGGGTAGAAGAAGGGAAGGAATGGCAAGGGAAGGGTGACGAAATGGTTTCTGGCTGCTAAAGAGCTGAGAATAAAATATGTCCGTGCGTTTTGTATTTCAAAATACTCGAATTGAGATGCAATTTTGGACCTCAAATTTTACCCAAATCCAATTTGTTGTACTTTAATTTGACATTGAGTATAATTTAAAGTGCCACACATAACTCGTTTATAACGTTATTTAATATAATGTGCAACAATATTAAATAAAAACTTTTACTACACAACCACTCAATTATGAACAGAATAAAACTTTACTATTTAATAAAATATTTCTCTTACTCAAAGTGTCTGCTTTACTGGGGCAGATTGTGGTCGGTGTTAGAGAGGAAGGACTGTAATAAAATAAAACAAGTAAAGCAAGCCTAAGATTAAAGACTCCTGTTGATCGTTAATTAATTAACTGAATAATCGTTATTTGAGCATCAATATATTGTTTTGCGCTTTTGATTTTTTATCCTATTATGATGAACATTTTAATGTTGATCGATAATTAGTTAGTGGATGAAATGTATCAATTTAAGTGCACCTTTTGTTCGGAAATCGATTTATATCGATACATCGCATGCAGTTATCGATATAATAAAGTAATCTTGTTATGGTGTAAGAGAACTTATATTCCAAATTTGAAGTCTCTGGCTCTAATAGTATTTTTGTTTTGATTCAAACAGATAGATAAACAGAGGGACAGTTGGACAGGCAGACAGACAGACGGACGGCTTTTGATGTGTTTAAGCATATTTATGAAGATGCTTCTTTCTGCCAGTTATCCTTTTTTCCTATTTTTAATGGGGTTAAGGCATAATAATATGAGTGTCACTGACAAGAGGCATGAATAAGTGGATTCGTTGAAATATGCACATGATTTACTGCGTTGATAGGGGCTGCTGCTGTGCGATGAGGAAAGTTATCTTCATTTAAATTCATATATAGTAAAGGATGGATAGTGCAGTGGTGCTGCTGACCAGTGTTTTCAGCTTTGGCTGAATTGCTGGTATTGCTGGGCTTTAGTTCCAATTTAATTAAATGTTTTGATGCATGACAGCACCACAAAATAGTAGAGCACAAGAGGAACAAGCTGGAGCATACAATATAGCATTCGTTCTAATTCGCTTAAGGACCTTTCCGCCGACTGAATTTCCAGAAAGGGACACGAAGCGCGGGCGCATTGGGGCAAGAAAGTATGTACACACATACACACACACACACATATTACATATATTTAGATGTATATGTCAGCATCGCTTGAGCATTAAATTCAACTAATGGCTGCCACAAACGCTTTTGACTACGCCGTAATGTGATGTGGCATTGAGGGTCGCTAAAAGCAATTCGTGTTGAAAGGATTTCATTTTGCTAAGCTGACCAGCGAATATGAAGTGATTTTTGTTCTTTATATTATGTTAGCCAGGCCTATTGCTATAAGTACAGAGCTCACTGATCTGATGGTATCTCTCGAGTGAAGCCACACGAAGGACAAGAAAAAACCCGACAATCGTTTCCGACATTGAATGTCTAATGCCAGACGGGTTAGTAGTGCTTTGATTGATTTATGTGATTTGAGTCTGTATTAAAAAAAACACACTATGATCCGGAACACATACGCATAGAAAAATATAGCCAAATTGAGTTATGTTTCCGTTATAAGAAACGAGAACAAAAAGAAATTTGTGGCATTTAATGGCATATTTGGAATTGTTTGCCATTTGCACATTTATTCCCAAATTAATTTCACTTCAACATATCGAACAACATTTCGCACTTAAATACATTTTAAGGGTACTAAAAAATGTTCCAAGTTATTAATGGAATTTTCAAACTTGGTAACTTCACATATTAAACAAAAAAAAGTAAAGAAAAAGTAAAGCAGATATTTGCATTGTTGAAAACTCATTTTGTAGGTAGACGAAATAAATTTAATTAAAATTGTATTATGTCGTAAAGTTTGTGAGAAGGGAATGAAAAAAATAATAATAATCAAAGTGGCAAACAAAACAATATTAATACAATTTTATGGGAAAACTTAAAGAACTTTCATGATATTGTGAGTTCAAAGAACCGATTTGATTGCACACAAATGCTTTCAGTTTAGACTTGCCACTTAAATGCACTCAATTAAAGAAAAACACAAATAGATTGAGCGTGAGAGACTCCATCTGCAATTATTATACACTCGATTTAAATTTTGATATGCAATGCGTTAATCGAGCGGAAAACAAAACATTAAATACGGGCTCAGGCTAATCTTTATTATTAGAAGTGCTTAATGCTTGCAACATTTATCTTTCGATGAAACTTGAAACTTAAATTTTGTGGAAATTATTACAGATTTAAGTGGGCAAAGCTCTTGGCACAACTGAAGCAACTGAAAGCTGAAATGCTACTAAATTAAGTGAGATTGTGTTATAGTTGATAAAGGAAGATACCAACTTTAAAACATAATAATATGCATTAATATGCATTAGCAAATAATTAGAGTTTTGGGAATTCTGAGAGATTGAAGTGGGATAATTCGATTCTCAACTGAACCTCGTGAAAGTTGAAATTCCACAGAATTAAGTAAGGATAAGTTTTAGTGAAAAACAACAATGAAAATTTTCAACTTTTTAGCATACTATTAAAAGTTTTTCGAAAATTATTATAAGCTTAAGTGGGGTAACTGAATTAGGAGAGGTTAGTTTTTAGCTGATGAACGAGAATGCCAACTTTTGAATTTAATATTAAGTATTAATAAATATTCGAATATGGTTAGACACTTGTCAATTGTTATCAAATCAGGTGGGAAAACTCTGAGCACAACTGAACCCTCTCAACGATGAAATGCTACTGAATTTAAGTGAGGTTCAGTTGCTTGTTGGTGGAAATGTATACGAAAATTCGAAACTTTGACACATAATATTAAGTATTAATATGCATTAGTAACTTATTAGGTACTTCCTGTTGCACAGCAAACACGACGGCACATCTGAGAGCTGTGCATCTATATATTTGTTGCAAATTAAGGTTCTCAAATAACATTGGCTGTTGAGTGTAAAGCAAACTTCGTCGGGTCTCCGACTGTACAATTTTCAATTATTAATAAGCGTACGTTTTTTAATGATCGGGCGTGTTGAGAATATTGCCTGAGCAATGAATAAATAAAAATTGTGAAAATATTTTTCAAACTTACCGGGGGACTGGATTGGAAATGCCTTATGCCAAATCCAAACTGTGAGCATTCATTAGTGAATGCAACACGGAAAATCAAAATCGGCAATAACAAACGATTTTTATTTGTGCTGTTGTTATTTTTTGTTTTTTATTTGTAAATATTTGTTGGTTTCATTTAAAAACAACAACATTTCCATTTGTTAATAGCTCTATGGAATTAAAACAAAGCATAATCACGCACACAACACACGCATTAGTTAATTGTTTAATATTCTTCTTTCTCTTTTGTTTTTTATATGTTTATTTCGCACATGTACAATTTGAATTTCAATTCAGTGGCCCCAATTGAATTACGATTCGAAAAATGTTGCCGCCGGCATTTTCCATGCTTAACACTTTTCCTTCAGAAAACTCAATTTCAAACATGCGAAGCGTTCGCTGCCTTTTTGCTGTTTTTCGAACTGTTCGCGCGCGAGTTTGCCGTCCAACTGACGGCAACATTGGCAACGGCCAACTGTGCCAACTGTCTATGTGAATAGAGCAGCAGCAAAATGGATGGATGGCATGGCAAAATGGAAAAGGGAAACAAAAGCAGCGAAGTGCGAACTGCGAGCTGCGAGCAGAGACGCAAGTCGCAGCTGACTTTGGCTCAGCTTTCGCTTGCTGCTGCTCTGCTGAGTGCAATAAAACATAATAAATACAAAATACTAAATAGTCATTAACATATACATTTATATATATATATTATTGCACTTAACTACTATCATTTTACATGCTGCACATAAATTGTTAAATTAAAATTATGAAAAACAGTTCACATTTCAAATGAGAAACGTTCGTTTCACCAGTGTTGTCGTGCTGCATACACTTTTGTATCGCGTCTGCGCCTTATCTGGCTGCGGAGCATTTTGTGCTCTCTCTGTTTTCATACGCACATTCGTAAACAGAGCGGGCCACTAAATTGTCTTGTGGCCCACGTGCAATTGGCTATAGAGAATCGGAGTGGAAGATGCTAAATAAAAATTGAGGTGATTGTGTCTGACTCAGCTGTGTGTGTGTGTGTGTGTGAATGTGTGTGAGTGTTTGTTGCTTTAGCGGCAACAAATGTCTTGTTTCAGTTCGCATGAAGCAGCTGCAGTCAAAAATGCCTTAAATAAGCAACATTAAAGCATATAAAAATGTATAAAAAAGTTTGATTTATTGATGATTTAACGAGTACTTTGTGCCCTTGGCGCAAAAAGTGAAATTAATTGCATTTATGAGCATAGCTACGAACTTAGATAAGGCGCGGAAGAACTTAGAAAAGGGGAAATATAAGCAACAATGACAATGCACATATTAAAAATTTGTAAATCTAAAATTGCAGAACCCATTGGCCTCTTAAGTCCCCAAATACGCCCATGGTTGCAGTCTGAATAGTTTGCAATAAAAGAGAGAGAAAGAGAGCGAGATTAACAGTACTTGGTGTCCATGTCTCATTGACACTGGCTAATCAATCATCAAAGTCATCTTATCATCATCAACATCATGGCTCATCATGCACTTTCCGCACCTAGCAATATTTATTTGAGCCGCGCACGTGGCGTATACGCAACTTCAGCAACAGCTGGCCACCATTTATGGCTAGCCACCGCTGCCTGGTCATTGTGGGGCATTAAGTGCCATGTTGATGACCCATATTTAATCAACAGACTGACCTTTAACATGCTCCGTCGCCCCTTCTCCATCCAATTCATTAACGATAATCACTTTGTCAACTACAACTTGAAAATTAACACCAAGCAGCGAACATTTTTTGGCTAAATACCGACAGGTTGACAGCGTACAATTTTCTTCTTTTTTTTTGATTGATGGCCATCTTTAAGCTTGGTTCAGTAATGCTCCTTCTACCTTTGACGGCAACGCTTTTTATATACACAAAATTTTAATTTTTTAGAGCACATCCTGTTGCACGTACGTCCTGTTAATCTGGCTACAAAATATAAAAAAATAAATAAAATCCATGCTCAGCTGTATTTAATGCAGATACTTTTGAAAGTAAACCAAAGTTAAATAATTTTCAATAATTCTCTCACTAATTTCCCCGTAATAATTTGGGTATATCCACATGTAGATTAAGATTAACAGAAAAACTGTTTATGGCTTGAATTTATTATCAAAAAGTAACTTTGGCTTAAGGCATAACTGTGTCATATATGCACTCAGAAAAATAATATGGACAGTGACTGAGGAAATCATATTAAAATGCGAATAGTGATAACAACAACGATGATCATAAAATGAGTATAAATAAAAGTAAAAATAATAATAATAACACCAATTAAAAATTCATTTCTAAATAATATTTCTTTCTGAAAAATACTACAAAATTGAAATTTAAATTAAAAAACATACAAATACATATGAGAGATAAAAGACAATATTTGAACCTTATTATTAATTATTAAATATAAATGTTATTTATTAAGCAAGTCAATGTTCTGTGACACATATATATGTCTCAGTGTAGCACATACGGGCATATTGGAGCCATCGTCTATTAGTTTTTCAAGGTTGAGTCATAAAATGCCACACAATGCCCAGGTGTTATGTAAGAACTCCGAAACACTTTGATTTACGGCTAATAAACTGCAAGCACAAACAAGAGCGAAGGGAAACTTTATTAAAATATGCAACGGTCTCAATAAGGGCGGTGGCTTTTCTGAGCTCTTTTTTGTTGTTGTTGTCGTTGCTCCAGCTTCATTAGGAAAGGTTCAATTTCCATAAACCATAAAGTTTTCTATTTTCGGGATGGGGGCCAACATTAGACAGCTGGTCGTAAAGGAAATTGCTGCGAAACAGGAGCAGCAAATCAACTACAAAATTGGCGGCACGAAAAACCAGCACGAAAAACAAAACTTTTTCAGCACGTGTTGGTTGTGTGTGTATTTGAGGAGGGGAGAAGAAAAAAAAAGTGTCACCTTATGGCTTTGTTAATTTTATTTTATTTCAGCTGCGTAAACCTTTCGGGACAAGGTATAAGCTGACTGGGGCAGGATCAGAGAAATGCCGTTTGCTGACTCTTGTTAATTATGCGTATACGTGATATTTGTAACTTGGGCCCCAGGGCATATTGCGCTTGCTGCAGCTTTGTGTTGCAGCTTATGTCTCGAGCTCAACCTTGAACTCGTAAGCCATATTTACGCCACAGACACACCGTATAAGCAAACATACAGCGAAAGTCCAGCCCGTTAAAAGTGTAAATTATTATTACCAAAAAATTATATACAAATTAAAATAAATTATTGTTTATTTCAAAGTGAAGGGTTAACGTTATTATAACGAAAAATAAAGAAATAAATACTTAAGCTTTTTTGATTGTTTCCTTTTTTGTTTTCTCTGAGTGTAGCTGGTGCTTGTGCCATTTATCAGAAGCCCCCAACGGCTGAACATCTAATAAAGCTGAGAGACTCATATGCCAGCCATGGTGAATCAATGCGAATTGCCGCATGCCACAACATTCTGCAACTGTGACCAAATCCGTCCTGGCCAAGTTTGTCTTCCTCGGCAACGGTGTGGCAGCAACCTCAGTTCACGCTTCGTGTACTTTTTGTTATTTGCATGCACTCCAAATTGAAGTGCAAAGTTTCAAAATTTGAAACAAATAAAGCCGAGCCGAGATGCTCAGCCCAAGGGGGAGGGAGGGGGCAGCAAAGGAGCATTGAGCGCATGTAAAACATGGCTTATGCTTGCAACAACTTTGATTTGAATTCTGAACAAATCTTCTAGTTGATTATGTCTGTGCAGCTGCAGAAAAACTAATATTTTTCGAGATGTATTTCAGGTGTGCAGCCTGAGGTTAAGCATACTTTAAGTTGAGCAACCCTCAAGCATTGTGCAAGAATTGTAAACTTTTGCAGCACGTGGCTAAGTTGAAGGTTACACACAGCCAAGGAGCTGTTTCAAGCTCGTGGCTCGTCCTGTGTAATCACCCGAAAAGTTACCAAGAACCAGTTTTATGAGCGAATGGTTGCTTGTCCTACTCATCTGCATTTGTGTGGCAGAAAGACATTGCACAAAGGTGCCATTTGGTTGGGAGTTGGACCGAAAGACATATGCCTCGGGCATGGCCCCAAATGATCCACTAAATAGCTCCTTTTTAGATGCTGTTTAATGTTTTCATGTAGGCGGCCCAAATTAGCTTAACAACTTTACGATGCGGAAGCATGTTAACAAAAAAAAACTTGCCAACAAGTTTAAAACCTTGTCCGAAAGCGACAAAAATTCTTCAAAGATATTTGTAATCGAATTTCAAGAAGGTTTAAATTAAATCACAAGGCGTCAAATAACATGTCCTGATGGCAAATATTCAAGCAAATATTTGCCATATATTTTCTTTTTCAGTAAGGAAAACCCAAACTGTTGGAAATGCTGATGAGACAATGATAACGACAGGCGACACTACACATCTGGGCATAAGGAGTAATCATCCTGTGGCTGTAATGTGCAAATTCCAATTACCCAGTAATGAAAACCAACTTTTTCCTTTCTTTTTGCAGACTTAAGGCTCCCCCAGAGGCCAAGACAATGAGATGCCGGAGACATGCCAACAGAAATATAATTTATTTGGTTTGACGCAAGCAACTTGATGGCAGATTTATATCATTTTAATTTGTCGAGCAGAACCCTAAAAGTATATATTTGTATGACGACAATTACCAAGTTGCTCATACTTTTGCCTCTTGTTTTCTTTTCTTTTTTTTTTACTACTCAATAACTTGTCGTATCCCTTTTCGATGCCGTCAATAGCAACTTTTTGGGGCCAAATTATTTGACAAGTCTCATCGCGGTGCACACAAATGAAGAGTCTATTTACTGTTGCCCAGATTCCCGAATTCTTGCATTACATGCTTGGCAACTTAATAAAACACTACCTTTTTGCGAACGAATCCAGTTGAGCGTAAATGTGGGCCACAACCAAAAAAAGAAAATTGCATGAAAAATATACCAAAAAAACAAATAAGAACGTTGCAGTCGGGCATACCTGATTACGAGATACTCTGACAGCAAATGTGATGCCAGCTGACAACAGGTTGGAAGTACCAGAAAAAAGC